TCATTTCTTACGAAATAAAAAAATTAAATATTATTTAAATATAATGGAGTAATAAAATAAATCGGAATTTCTATTAATTTATTGTCAACTTCAACTAATGCATTGCCGTTAATATATCTAACAAATTCAGCTATTGTGTCAAATCTTCGTCTTCTTTTTGTCATTGATTTATTAGTTTTTCCATAATCGAGATGAATCAAAACTTTATCCCCTTGTTTAAAATTCATGAGCCCCGAATTAATTTGTTCACGTTTAACATCATTTAACCTTTCCATTTGCTTTCTAATATATTCCCATTCTTTTGAAATATCATTTTTCATTTCCACTGGTTTCATGTTTATAGTTCTATGCCATGTATTATTGTAATAATATACTAACTGCTGTATGATGGAGTCATGATTTCCATCCCAGTATATCTGACCGTTAACCCCTAACGCATCTCTAAGAGTTCTCATTACCGCATCAACTATTTTATTATGAAACGTATATGGAGAAGATGAGAAGTAAAAATTAATTTGTGGGAAATAATGAGCCATAGCTGCCTGAAATCCTTTATCACCATCACCCCTTATATTATCTACTCTTTCATGATCTAGTAAGTATTGAATAGCTCTTCTTGTTTCCTGTTCTGTTTTCCCTTTCACCGGAATGCAATATAAATATCTAGTGTTAATGTTAATGGCAAATAAATAAGTAAGGTTTCCTTTTGAATATTCCAGATGATCGATTTCGTATGAATATGGATATGGTGCAAATGAAGGGCGACTAAATTTTTCCTTTAACGGTTGAATTTTCGGGTCAATTGGTTTATTTAATATCTTGAAATCCTTTTTAAAATCTTTTTGCTTCTTTAATGTTTGAAATGGATATAATAAAGTGAATGATGAAGGATTAACTGAAGGAGGAGGAGGTACTGTCGTTGGAGGTTTTGGTGTTGCAAGTGGTTTAATTTTATCTGCTTTGATTTTGGATGATGAAGTTTTAGTTGTTGATTTTCCTTTCATTAATTCTGGATGTATTCTATTCATTTGTTTTAAATATGCTGTATATAAAGGTTTGATATACTTTCCCGCTTCGAGTTTATGTTGAAGGATGAATTCCAAAAGTTGATCTTCATTTAAAAGTCGGGCTGAATATGGTTTAACTAATGAATCATAAATTAAAGCTTGTGCTTCATTTATGGTCTGAAGGACCTGGGCGTTTTGCACCTTTAGCTGTTGAACATTTGCTACTTTCTCTTTTGGTGTTGTTTTCGGCTTTTTCTTCTTTTGTTTTTGTTCCTTTGGCTTTTGCGGCTCAGGATTATATAATTTATATAATTCATCAATATCTTTTTCTGTTAATACTTTATTTTTGAAATCTTTCAACTGTTTAAGTTGTGATTTAGTTTTTCCCTTTGTATATTCATTATTTTTAATTTTGTCTTTAATTTTAGAAATTATTTTATCATGATATTTCAAAATTTCATTTTTATAATAGGAATAATAATAATCCATATCATCACCCGTTATATTGTTATTATGTTTTTGGAGATATGATTTTAATTCATAATAATTAAGAAAATTTTGATTAAGTACTAAATCATCAATTAAATTTTCTAAATCTGCGTTATCCATTTATATAAAAATAAAATAAATGTTTTAAGGGTGCCCACCTCTTTGAATCATAGTATCAAAACCATTATTTACATATTGAATCGCATCATTAACGGTTCCTCCTTCTAAAACGGTATCAAATGGTGGAGTCCAGATTTCCTGATGATGATCATAAAATCCAGCAAAATTAACCGTATTATTAGGTAAAATATGAATCTCAGCGGTATATCTTCTATCTAAATTTGGATGCCTTATATGTATACCATTACTGCCCGGATAAAATCTCAAACCTTGATTTTGTTGACGCATCAAATTATTGAAATTTCTTTCTTCAGGGGTGAATGTTCTTCTCCGTTGACGTTGTGGGTGGTGGTCGTTGTTGCTGCTGTTGATGCTGTGGTGGGATTTGAAAAATTCGTTGCGGTTGATTATTTGGAATCTGAAAGTTAAAACCATTTGGTATAAATCTATTCGGTTCCTTTTGTCTCTTCTGTGGCATTTTATTAAAAATAAAATTTTAAATTCATGACTCAACCCCTACGTTTTTAAATTGTATTAAATAAATGGCATACAACATCCATTTTCACAACATACAGCCTTAGTGTGTGCTCCTGTTAATGCAGTCTTACCGATTGTTAAGCGAGTCATTGACCCGTTTTTAAGTTGTAAATTAATATTCTGACCATCAAATATCACTTTATCATTTATTATATCCAAATAATTTTTAGGTGTTAATTGTTTATTTTGTCGTAAACTAACACCTTTCATTTTTTGTGCAATCTTTTTAAAATCACTTCCATCAATTGAACCGTTGAATGATGTATAACACTTAGGGCATAAAGCAACCATGTTATCACCTTGTTTCTCAATTGCTAAACCCAATAACTTCTTCTCATGTGCTTTTTCTTCAGCTTTATTCTTTAATTTAGGTTTAAATTTCTCATCAAAACAGAAGAAATCAAATGGTGCGAATTTGAAAATGTTTTTATCATAAAATTGTTTATCGGTAACAATTGCTTGAAATGCTTGAGTGTTAGGAAGATTTGGTCGCCAGCGATTGCCCAATAAGATGAATCAGTATCACCTTCAATGAAATGAAAACGATTAACATTCATGCATTTATACATAAAATCATAAATGAAAACAAATACCAGTATTTAGCATTATCTAAAGTGAAGAATGCCTCTTGTAAACATGTATCACATCTATAAAATCTATCTTTAAGCATCACTTGATATGTATCTCACCTATTTCTCTTATGTTTTTAAACTTATTTGACATACATGCAACGCGTGCCTTCTGTGCATTCATTATTTTAGTCTTTGCGTAATTTTGCGTATTCATTGCATCGTAACCATATGATCCATTAAGTGAAATCTTGCAAAATAAACTTTTTCCTTTATTTCCTTCTAATTCAGCCTTTTGTCTTTCGTTCATAAATTCGTTCGCAAATTCATTAAAACAAGTGTTTTTCGTAAATGTTAAAATTGATTGAATATCATCGATGATAAAATGAAATCTGTCTATTAGATACCAAAGATAATAAGAAGAAAATGGTTGATATTGGTTGTGTGTTGATGCTAACTGAGTTAATTTCCTCTGTTTCTGGTCAACTGGTAGATTGTTTGATTTCATGTAATTATACATAAAACTGCCAATTGTTTTTTCATCTGTGATAATATCTAAGTTTCTTATTATCGGTAAAAAGTTTATGTAATCATTAATGTATTTTTCATCAATGTGACCCTTTACTTCAGCCACGAATAAAGTATTTTTCTTCTTAATTATTCCCAGTGCTTTTGCTTTCTTTGTTGCTGTATCACAAATGATAACACCATTCAATCTTCCCGGCATATACATTTTATGGTCAGTATATTGAATGAAATCATGAGGATTAGATGAAAATGATGAAGGATATAATGAATTAAAATCAACACCAACGAAATGAGTCATAATGTTGGTGGTGTCCTCATTTGATACAGTTTTAGTTTCTGGACTATATGAAAGTTTATTAATGTGCGTGATTCCTTTAAGATTAACACGATGTTGAACATTTGATAGACCACCAGTAATTCCATTACGGAGAATGTGATAAGCTTCAACTGAATCTAAAGTCATTGGTAAATTATTTTTTAATGCATAATTTCTTAAATTGATTCTTAAACGTTGAACATCTTCATCTTTATTTGATTTTACGACATTGCAATAACAACACATTAACTGACAATTTTCTTTGGTATGTGGTTTTTCATTATCGATTCTATCAATGTTGGTTTATTGCATATGTAAACGCTTTACCACACATTTTGCATTTAGATGAAAGGATTAAATCGTGATAGTATTGAAAATCATCCATTGAAACATTATTTTTAGTATCCTTTCTGCTTTTTCATCTTGTTTCTTATATGATTCAATTTTATATTTCCAATACTTTTTCGTTAATTCAAAACTTGATTCTATCTCTTCCTCAGGATATTTTTCATTAGGATTAAAGTCTTTATATGCTAAAGCGTAACGAATCATTGAAGCATTCGATGATAAAGAAAGATTATGAAGCATATCAATTTTATAAACAAATGTTTCTTCAATAATTTTATCGATTGGGTCAATCATAATTTCAACATCTTTATTGCAATAATGAATAAAATATTCTAATCTATTCTTAAAATTTTTAGCATCATTGAGATATATTTGATAATCACTATCTGATATAGTTTCTTGAGTTAATGCTGAATAAAATGAATCTTTCGTGAATGGTTCCTTTATATAATTCTTCTTCGTAATTCTCCCATGTGATAAATTGATAAGGGAAAAAGGATTTAACACGTGATTTATTGTTTCCGAAATCTTGAGTGAATTGGTCTAATGTCCCACCCGCTATATAATTTCTGATGTCAATAAATCTCAATTCATATGGAACGTTTGTTTTCTTTACAATGATTTGCTTAAATTGAGAAGAGAACCCAGCATTGATTTTATTTTCCATTTTGCAGTGTTTAAATCACGAAGAATTAAATTTAAATCAAACTTTCCCGAATTAAAACCTATGATATTCACTTTATTGAATTCCTCATCTAGAAGTTCTTTAAATGCTTCCTTCTGTTTTTCATTTAATGTATGGGACAAAGTCCCCGCCGTTTGCGGCTTCAATTAATTCATTGTATTGACTCATATTTGATTTACAACTAATGAACAGGTTGAAAATAAAAACTCAATCCAATCAGAAATAAAAGAATCACTCGAAGTTAAGCAAAAATTCCTCGTATATGTTTTATCATTTAATTTAACCGTTGATGATACCATGAATGGTTTTAAGTAAGCGTTCAAAGTTGCACACTCAGAAAGTTGTAATTCTTCTTTAGTCTCTAATGTTTCGAAGTCAAAAGTAATATAATATCTTGTCGGTTATAATATTTCTGCAAATTGTGAGCTAATAACCACTGATATATCTTCTGTTTCGTAATATGTGGTGCATATGGTTGCTGTCTTTTGCAATTGAACGTCTTGAATTAATCTTCCATTATTTTCTTTACATTTCTCACAATGCTTTAAAAATCTTCTTTGGTTTTTCCTTTCTGGATCATCACGGATAGAATAAACTTCTTCTTTACAATATGGACAAACTTTATAGCCGGTGAGTGCTTCAACGTCTGTTATTCTGTCAGCGTGAAGTTTTCCACATGGACTCTGTGTTAATAAAATATTTACTGTTTCAAATTCTGGATCTATCATTATTGATTCCACTAATGGAAAGTCTACCTTATTTATGTCCACGTCTTCTGGTTGAGGATCACAATAATAGAAATCAATATTAACATTTAACATTCTCGCTAATCTCTCACTTTCTGATGAAATGTCAAACCCTTCATATGCATCTATTGCTTCATTTAAATAGCTTCTACGAGTTTTAGGATTAACACCATCAGGAATGTTATAGAAGCGTTTAAATAACCTTCTACCTTCTGCTCTAATTTGATTATCATTCATTTTAGCTGTTCCGTTTTTGTTCATTTATGTAAGAATAAAAATTAAAAAATAAATAAAAATAAAGTTTATTTTTTAAAGCCCATAAAATGAATTAAGAACACATAAATTTTTATCATCTGCGACGTGACGAATACATTTTAATTTACTCAAGAATGCGTACCCTGATACATTAAATCTAATTCCTGTCTTATTTAATTTCACAACTTTGAAAAGGAATGTATGAATAGCTATAAAATGATGAGAAGATGTTTTATGGGTTGCTTCCATTTTTTCTGAAATAAATGAATAAATATAATGTTTATAAGTTTTCATATCTTTTATGTTCTTAATAACGAATGGTATAGACCTTTCAACTTCGTCTTCCTTCGGTGCTGTTCTTTCATATGAAACATTATTGGTATCTTCAATAATGAAACCACAATCACACAAAATTTTATAGGTTCCAATGGTTTCTTTTGATATTTTATCTAATAAATCAAAAACTTTATCAACACCTGTGCATTTATTTAAATAATAATTTGTGTAAATATCATGATCTTCTTTCTTAATCGTATTAGTTGCATATGTCACGTTTTTAAGAGCTTTTTTGAATTTCTCAGAATCTAAAGGGGTGAAAGTAAGATACAAGGGTATTTTTCATTATCAATAAATTGTAACTTATGTTTACGAATAAATTTAGTACCTTCTTCTGAAAGTGTTTCGTCTATTTCACCATCTAATAAATTTTGTGTTGATTCTGAGACATAATTTTTATATCTTTCTTCATGAGATTTCTGTACTTCTGATTCTGAAGCTGGGATATTCATTAAACCCTCTACTTCATTTTCATTATATTTTTCAACTTCTCTTAATTCCTTAATTTTTCATCTATTTCATCTCTTATTTTTTTCAGTCTTTCAATTTCATTGTATTCATCATCTTTAATCCGTTCTTCATAATATTCAGGGAAAACATCAGGTTCTTTAGGTTTTTCTTCTTCAGATGTGGGATATAAGAAATTTATAACATCATCTTTATTCATTTTTCCATCATAATCTAAATCATTTAATAACTCGGCAAATTTTTGACAATTTCTTAAATAATATTTATTAACTTCATAACCCACCTCCTCTAATATATCCTTTATTTCCTCGTTTGTGAATCCTAATTTTTTAACGTTGTTAGTTTTGACGCTCATTTCATACAAAATAAAAAAATAAAATAATAAACATAACTAAGTTTTAATTTTTCGTAAGACATGAATTTTTAAAGTTTATTTTTCATTCATGAAAATAATTATTTCTAATTTATTTTATTCTCTCGTACATACTAGATTTAAAGAATTCAGAACATTTCCCATAATCTCCTAAATGTTTTCTTATCCCTAACGTGTGCCAGTTATTATATGAAACTGAATAAACTTTATCTTTATCTTTACACCTTTCATCACTTCCAATATATTTATATCTCAGTTTTGATTTAGCATTTTCATATTCATTAGCGTTTAATAATTCACAGTCTTCCTTTTTAAATAAATGTTTTATGTATTCAGGATTTAATACTCTACGTTTATATGCTCCTAACTTAGTTCTAAAGGTTTTTCTACAAAATTTAGGAATTCCATCCTCTTTAATGTCATCAATGATTTCCATTTCATTATTTTCAATTTCTTCTTCTCGTTTATGAGGTCTTTGATTATGACTCCATTGATTCCATGAAATTAAATATTCTTTATCATTATATTTATACCTCATTAGCTTATTTTGGCTTTCATATTCATTTAATAATTCACAATCTTCATTTTTAGATTGAAGTTTAACCCATTCAGGATTTAAACAATGTTTAATTAATCGCGGAATATCTGACATCATCTATATATAGCTTCTTTTATAAAAGATAAAAAAATAAATTATTTTAAAATTAATGTTAATTTTTTTAATGATTTATAAATAAATATATTTTAATGCATCGTCTATATATAGATGTAACAAAAAAAGTCACTAAACCCGTCATATCCTACTACTATGGCTCAAATATGAAAATGAAGATTATCCATGGCTAATTTGTCATTTTTCATCATAATTTAAATAATGTAAACTTGTAAGACCAATTTTATACTTAAAATCATCATAATATTAGTATTCAATACTAAATTTGAAAGTGTAATGATTATATACTGATGTTATCACCAATACCTTTTTGGGAAAAAAAATCATGATCGAATATAAAAAGTGAATGAAATACAAAATATTAATTTAATTCATGAAATGAAATTATGATGATAAAAATTTTGAGAAAAAAGTATAAAGACGTTTCATAGAAATGATTGTATGTGTTGATTCAAAAAGTGAGTCAATTCAGATCAAAATAAGAATATTGGGAAATTATTTATAATTTTGCATCATAAATAGAATGTTATCAGCTACCTTTGATACATTAAATAGAATGTTGCATGCTAATGATGATAGTGTATGGAAGATCTACTTTGAAAATCAATTTAGAGGCGAAGAAATTAAAAATTGCCAAAACTGTGCAATACCAGATGGCAAAGGTGAATATTACTTAAAACAATGCATATTCTTTGATTGTAGTACCCAAATCATCAATTTTAATGTTGATTCGAAGACTTCAATCCAACATAATCGTTGTGCCTTTAGTAATTGCAGTTCAAATCAAAAGGGATGTTGCATTCGCTTCAGAAGTACTTTAGAAGCTTCAATTGTTCAAAGAAAGTTTTGTTGTACAAAATGTCAAAGTCAAAATGAAGGTCAATTTTCATATGTCGATTTTGTAAGAAATAGCATAAGCAATATCACTGAAGGTTCTCTTTTTGATTTAGGAAAAGAAGATGCTGGATCTCGTTCAATTTATTCAAAAGGAGGTAATATTTTAGTTTCATCAACAAATTTCTCATCAAGTACAACAAATCAAGAAACTTTTGGTCATTTTGAAGTAATCGTAAATAAATTCATAAAAATTGATTATACAACCGCTGTTAATAATGTAGCAACAAATCAAGATGGTACAATAATATCTTTAACTTATGACTCGGATATCAATTTATGTAATATAATAAATAATACCAATAAGAACTCATCATATGGAATTATTTACCATAATTATAATAGATTTACAGTGGAAATTTGTTCTTTTATCAACAATAAATCTCCAGAAAATTCTTGTTTGATATATGTAGATAGAAAAAGTCAATTTTTAATAGTAAGCAATAATTATATTGACAAATCAATTCCAAAAACATGTAATGCAATAAACGTCAACATATTGAATCCAAGAGAACCATTTACCAACAAATTGATTCATTTTTCAACTGATTTTTGCCAACCAGAATTTCAAAATATTAATCCTATAAATAAGACTAGTCAAAATGAATATTTCTATCGCAAATTGAACAACCGTCGGAGATAAATTATTCACTGTTATTTGATTAACTAAATTTAATAATAGAAACGCGCAATATTTCTTATGTGCTGATTCATTTATGTACTGGCATCTATGCTTACATTTCCGATTAATGTATCAAACAAGGATTTTGCAAATTAACACTAAATTGATAATAAATATAAGGGTTACATTATTAGCGTTTCATTTAATAAATGAATATGGTTCTGAGTATTGAATATGAAGGATATTGTGTAGTTCCCAAATACTAAAGAAACTCTGTAATATCTTTTCTGATCAAAAAGATCTGCTAATCTTTCAAGAAGACAAATTTCATATTTCAATTTTGTTGAGTGCTTTGCTTTTATCATCGAAAGTTCTATTTTTGATTTAAGAAAGGAAGATGCTATCTCATCTGCAATTGATACAATAAACAATATAATACAATAAATTTATATCTTTAACAAGGAAAAATAATATAAAATACAAAACAAAAAAAATAAATAAAAATAAAAATTATTCGATTTTCAAGAAATCATTTGGATCAACAACAAAAGAAACAGGAGTGAGATCAATAACAGTTTCATCAATTGATACTTCTCTGATATCTCGTACTTTCAATGGTTCGATCTTAATTTCTTCTTTTTCGGCGTTTTTCTCTTCTTTCCTTCGTTTATTCAAGAAATTGACGTCGTTTGGTGAAACATAAAATGATGATGACCATCTCCTGATATCACTAGTGTGGTATGATCCCAATGCTGATTTCTTCAAAAGATTGTATGTGTCCATCTGTATATCAAATGGATAAACTTTTGGAGGATTGTCAAATGTAGATGTTGTTATGATTGCGTACTGTTTCGTACCGAAATGGTTAACAAAAAAGTGACAGAAAACCTTAAATTGCGCGGCAATTTTAATTAAAAAAATAAACATTAATTTTTGTGATTGATATTATGCATTTTATTTATATTATATAAGATTTAAATTTAGGGGAAAATTGAAAAAAATAAGATTGGAAGTCTTTAGGTAAGAAGGAAAGGGCAAGAGATATATAGTGTACCTATATACCTCTTGCCCTTTCATTCTAAGTAGAAATGGGAGAAACTTTGTCCGCATCATAAGTTATGCGGACAAAGTTTCTCCGATTTCTAATGGGAATTGCAGGCTATGAGGCATTGATATATAATCAGTACCTCATAGCCTACAATTCCCCTTATTAGACTTCCAAACTTTGAGTTAATGTCTTGACATTAACTCAAAGTTTGGAAAACTTCTCGTAAGAATCAATCGTCAAAAACCTCGATTGCAGTTATATTCATTGTGTTAAATTTGATTTATTTTGAAATTTTTATAAATTAAATTTTATATAACATAAAGCGTTATGAATTAGTATTTCCATATGAATTTTATCTCGAAAATAGTAATTCTGTACAGTTATATTTCGGTTAATTTTGGAAATTTCTAGGAATACTTTAAGATAGTATGATTATATATAACTCTGCCTTCATGATTTATTTTAGCTTTCGCGCAAATATCAGTTAACTTAACTCCATTATTTGATTTTGTGATGGCTTCACAAAGCCAATCAATATCAATCTCTTCTGGAGAATGTCTTCTCATCTAGAATATTTTCAATACTTTACATACAAACATTTTTATTTCTAAAAAACTTTTTAATTTTTTCTAGGATATATGAATGAAAATAGTTAGAACAAGATTTTGAAGCTCAAAACATTAAAAATTATTAAAGATTTGTATAATATGATTAAAAATGGGAAATAATATGAGGCAATATAAAGGAATATGAATATTAAATAAATATATCTAAATAGAAAGAATCAGAAAAATCAAATTATTGGCGCCAAAAATGTCACCTTTTTGGTGAGCCATTTCGGTATGAGATAGTTATGATTGCGTACATTGATGCCAAAACTCTTTCTGTTGGAGGAGTATGCAATGAATCCAATCCTGCAACAACATAATCGGCCCAATTAGAATCAATGTCTGCTTCAATCTCGCTTTCCAATGAAACAATGTTGAATTTAAATTCTGAAACTAATGAAATGAATTCAACTGACAAAGGAACTGAATAAACACGTTTCAAACAACATCGACATATTGTCTGGATGTGATCTGGAATCAATGAATCTTTGAACTTCTTAAGTAAATCAATAGATCCTGAGATAATAGATGTTGCAAAGTCATCTGATGAATCTTCTAACATGATTCCATAGAAATCAAGAAGTTTTTCTGCTTGTGTTGTTAAATTTACTTCATCTAAAAGTTGTTTGTAGATTTCTTCAATTTCTTTCGTTTGTTTGATCGATCGATCATAAATAGTCTTGATCCTTAACAGTTCATTAGACTCAAATGTTGTAATACAATTCTCCAAAATCTCATAATTTTCTGAATTTGTTTCCAAATCAGACAAAAATGGCAAGAAAGCAACAACAATTACATCAGGATGATCAGTGATTGCTACAGGGTTCTTTGAGAAGTATTTCATGAAAATAGGAAGTGCGTTCTTATTAATTCTTCTCGCGAAAGGAGCAATCGATATAAATCTTATAGCGAATTCAAAACAAAATTGAGAACATTGAGGAAATTCAACATTATTTGATAAAATTGCATAAATAGCTTCCATGTAATTCCCGAAATTACTATAATTATCGAAAGGAGTTGCACATAAATGGAAAGTCACTGATGTCTTTAACAATGTCATGAAAGAAATATCAAGTTGTCCTTCCAAAGATGACAAAATAACCATAGCTCTTGTTGCATGCTTTAAAGATCTACAACATGTTGCCCAAATCATTGCTTCATTTGTCCATGTTTCAACAGCAGTTTCTGAATGATTTGAACGCAATTTTTTGGCAACTTCTGATACGATTCCATGAATAGTTTTGGATTGATCCATACTAGAAGTACATAATATCTGTTCTACTTGTATTCCGACGTCTTCGCCTGCAATTCCTATTAATGTATCAAACAAACCTTTCGCAACATGATAAAACAAAATAGAAAAATGTAAAACAGTTGTGAAATAAGGTGCAGCGTTTTCTATATGGTTTTGGAAACATAACTGCAATATAGGTAATGACCAAAAGATTCTTTCAATCGATAAATTATGGATCATACAGAAATACCAATAAGAAAATCTACATCTTTTTGCCAAAAATTTACAAACAACATCTGAATGTTTGTTACAAAGTAACTTAAATATTTTCGCTTTCACTTCTTCGCTTTCATTGTTATACAAAGAGATCATGACAATCTTAGAATTCTCACGATTTGACATGATTTTGTCCCAAATTTCTGCAAACAACAATAATTGTTCTTCATCAAAAACATTCGATGTCAAACACATCTCATCAATAAAAGAAAGAACATTATAGATGCGATAGAAAGGATCAACATTAGAGATACTTGAATTTGTAGGTAACAGTTTGATCTTCGAAAACCATGGTACAAGAATAGACACTAATTTTTTCAAAGGTAATTTTCTGTTCGCTCTTTCTTTTAAGATATTTAAACCGAATTTGATGACGTTTTCTGTTGCGAAATCAAACAATGTGTAAATAAATGATGTGTCATCATGTGATTCTTGTATAATCACTGTTGATTTCTCACTTATGAAAACATCAGCTAATTTCGTGAAAATCGTGATCGAACCTTCGTAATTCGTGTCGAAAATGGAGTTCGCGAACAATACCATTGGTCCTATATGCATAACAAGTGCTGTACTGTTCATACAGTAATCAATTGCTTGGATGATCGCATCTTGAAACATTTGCGCGGTATGAGGAGGTTCTATGAACGCGGAGATGATGAACTCGGTCATAAGAATGTCGACGTGGAACGTTAAAAGGAAATTAAGGATCAAATACCCTTCGGCTTGAATATCTATTAATTTACACATGAGAGAAGGGTCAAATTCGAATCCATTAGTGAAGATCGTGCCTGCACAAAGCACAGGGACTAATGCATTTATGGCATGTTCGTGTAAATTTTCGAAATTTCCGGGGATATTAACCCATTGTATGAGAATTCGGGTCATTAGCTGTCTGGATGGAAGCGGCCACTCATCCTCAGTAACTTTACCGCTGATGTTGTTGAAAACGGCTGATACAATCGTACAATAATTGATGCACATTTCATTTTTCACTTTTACAGTCTCAATTGCTTTCGCATCCCATCTCATTTCGGTCGGAGAACACATTTTATTAGAAAAGAAGTACTTTTGAAGTGATGCCAGAAATTGAACAATTGTGTTGAAAACGATTAAAAAAATATTTGTGAAGAATGACGGGTTTTGAATGACTTTTCTGAGTGCAGCGGTTATTTCTGGGTAAAATTGAGGATCTAGTTGAGTAATGATGGTAAACATTGATGGCAATACTTTGTAGTTCATCAAATGCATGGCTTGAAGGAGATGTGTGATATGAGTTGAATTTCTTGAGCGAACAATGGTATTTATGTACTCCACGCAGCTTTCTATCACTGAGTTACTATCTCCATCCTCGCCAGCAAACGTAGAAACCATCATGGAAAGATATGTAACTGCATTTCCAGTTGATTCGGGTGTAAATGCTGCTTTACTGATTGTTAAGCCTGTTGATCTTATTTGTTCAAGCATTTCAGGCTTAGTTTCGATGATTATTGTCATTAAAGTGGAGAAATAATATCTCCAAATCGAATCATAGTTCGAAGAAGCGACAGTTTCCCAATCTGGTACGTCTATGATGGTTTTTATGTTGGATGTTGTATCGGAAACGTTGGAAATCCTAAGAAAACTGATAACTTCCTCTTCAATAAATTCTTTTCTGTCAGAAAACAGTTTTATGAGCTGAAAATCACAGTTCTTTGCTATGTGTTTGATAATAGTTGTTGAAATGATCCTTATGTCGCGTAAACTACTTGATAATAAAACAATACACAAAATTGTGATTTTTTGAGCGAGTTCTGTTGAAATTGTTCCGTTTTTAATAACTAATAGTATTGTATCTAATGAATTACGTCTTAATTCAGGAGATCCGTTGAAAATATTATCAAAACAATGTTGAATAAGAACAGCATCGTTTTTCTTGAATATTTTTGCGATAGATGTTTGCGCTGCTAGATGTATAAGAGCATCTGAACATGACAAAAGCGTTAATAATGATTTTGCCAAAATTTTATCGTTCGCATCGTCAAACTTCAGAATTGAGCTTGTAACTTGAGCCAATGCGAGTTTTGATGTATATTGTGGACCAAATGTACATAATTTATTGACTTGCGAGAGGTGTGGCTCAAAAGTTAATCTATTTTTTGTAATAAACAGTTCAACGTCTTCATCTGTTGATCTGGAGGTTAAAGTATTCAAGAATGGATCATATCCTGCCATTGGAATCTTTTCTAAGCCAGATAAATCATGAATTACAAAAGAATGTGAAATTGCTCTGATTCTTTCGAGCTGTGCTTCTGTGTACTTTGCTCTTTCAATAAAAACAGGTGTAAATATATGGCATAGAGCATGCAACGTTAAGTTATGAACAATATCTGTTCTTTGAAGAGCATTTGGCAGCAATTGCTGGACAAAACCTTCATAATCAAGAGCAGCAAGCATAACTAGTATATCTATAAATACGCCTGGGCATGTTTCCATGGGAGATTTCGTAAAAAAATTCTCCATGAAGTCAGAAACGTATTCGTTTTTAGTTTGTGGCTTAAAAACGTATTCTTCTGATAAGAAATCGATGAATTTCATGTTGTGTATGTTTCCTCTTATTAATCTCAAAAAAGCAGTTGCAGATCTTTCCAATTTTTCAACAGAAGCGTATGTTTGTAAACTCTGCTCTTGTAGAACTGTTGAACTCTTGGGGCCTTATCAGGTATCAATGGAAAGAGACTTGTAATTACGTCGATTGCTCCACTTTTATTTTGCTCTGAAGAACGAAGATTCCAAGAGAAATCAAAGATTTTGTTTAAGCATTCGAGTCCACATGTTGATAATGAGATAATGTTTGCAAAACATGTCAAAATGGGATTTGTAAGTATTTTCTTTCGTTTGTAGAACTGAATGTAGTTGAAAATTACTTCAACGAACTGTTCATTTCCATGAATATGTTGGCAAACCGTGATCAATGGACCGAGATTATGTTCATCGATGAATTGTGGAAAATATTTAATGATTTCTGACATCTCTATTTGTGAAACTCGACTCAGTATAATTGACCATTTACGAAATAACTCATATTCGGTCATTGTAAACTGTGTTTTTAAGCGACTTAATATAAATATCGAATTAATGAGCTTAGGAATTAGATCTTTTGGAAATAATTGCCTATTTATTAATTCTACTGAGTATTCTCGAATAATATCTGATATAACAAAGACTGCTAAAAAATTAAGGAAATTGTTCTGATTTGCTGTAGTTTTTATAGATATACCTGGATAATTTGAAAACTGTTGCGTATTGTTATCGTAACTATTCAGCCTGTCATTGAATTTTGTAAGCATAACAACGAGAGACGCAGTTTTATTTGGTAATGCGATGGAGATGATCGTTTTCAGGAAACTAGAGTATGATGGTAAGTAATTAGGGACTGATATGAATATATTGTAGAAGAAATTATCAAGTTCTTGGATTTTATAATTTCGATTTTGAAATCCTTGATCAAAATTCTTCATATTGCGTTCAAATTGATGGTAGAACGATTGTAATAGGCCCGAAAGAGCCGCATCAAAAATTGTTCCACTCATTAATTTGTTTACACAGTCACTAATAAGAAAACGAAGTTTACAATAAATTCAGAGTTCTCAAATTTTCATTATACTTTTGATTGTCGCTCTGAATTTCACTGTCTTATGTAGTAAACAGAAATTCATCAAAAGTGACACCTCAGAAAAGCTAAAATATTGAATTTTTGGAACTTTTGATAGAGCACGTTTTTAAATATTAATTAAAGTAAATGTATATTTTGTAAAGATTCTTTTTAATAAAAAAATAAAATTTTGAAGAAGAACACAAAATCTTCTGAAAAATAATATCACATAAACTCATATTATTTTCTAATATATAACTATTTTATATAAAAATCCAATTCAATGATCTTAAAAGCAAAAATTGATATTTCATATGGTTTTATGATAGATAAGCATTATATTCCCACTCATTATATTCGTAAATTTTGAGGTTTATCCTTCGCTTTTAAGATCATTGAATTTGATTTTTATATAAAATAGTTATATATTAGAAAATAATATGAGTTTATGTGATATTATTTTTCAGAAGATTTCATTCTATATGCCTATGAAAAGTACTCTCAAAACTAACTTTTCCCTAATTATAATTAAATCTAGAATATTGTATTATGCTTAGTATTATTTCATTTTTCTCATTCAATTTAGAATTTACAAATGTCAAAAAATTGAGAGCTGTCACTTTTGATGAATTTCTGTTTATTACATTAATTGAATTATTTTCTTTCATTCATTGGTATTGTCATCTAAAAAGAATAAAAACTCGAACAATTTACTATCGATTATTTTTGTCACTTTTATTGTACAATAGAAACGGTATTTTCAATTGATCCTGATGATTTAACTATAAAAAATCTGTTGAATTTACTTTGATGACTTGTACTCTATAAGTCGATCATATCTCTTCTGGTCAAATTACAATACTGATGTTTATTCAGAAAATTGTTTTAGTAAAACATGGGTTAGCTAGTAAAGATATATGTATGACATGGATTTTGAGCTGATCTGATGACGTTTATATAATGTAAATTGAAGTATGAAGAATAATTTTTTTTCGCATATTGAAATATTTTTATTGTGGGTGTGTTTGGAAACGATGATTAATTTATGTTGGAAAATTAACGATGAAATGTTATCGAATGGTAGTAATAATCATTATTTATTGTTTCATAGGATATTGATTAGAAGCTGAATCTAAAGTTTTAAGTACAAAAAATTCTACAATACACAATCGTAGAATTTTCTTCATTTATGTTCCTCAGTTATTATCTTTTTGAATAAAATTGAAATCTTTGGCTGCAGAAATAAAGATAAATAATGGGATATATATAATAAAATCAAGTTAGCAAATACTTATCAGCTCTTTAATACATATCCTATTTAATAATACTGCAATGTGTTGTGCTGTTTTATCTTCAATATCTATTGTTTTAATATCTCCTCAACTTTTACGATGAGCCTCTTTCCATTATCACTTTATTATACTGCATTGACCTTTAGCATTAATGTGAAGCGCAGTGCATTGGAGATAATATTTTACAATAATATCAATGCCATTAGAATAAGAAGATTGAAATTTATTCGAATCCATGTATTGAGGCAATATAAAGTAAGCAGCTCTGATGTTTCTAAACAATCAAAGGCGTTTCTTTATATCCATTTATCATTGAAACATGAGAGTATTGTTAAATGCTGCTCTCGAATCCCAATTTTCTGCATTAATGCTTACCCTGTTTTTAAATAGAGCACAATGTGATTCAATATGTTGACTATTGTATTCTAAGACATTTGAAATTCATGACCAAATCTGATATGGTAAAAATAGTTAATCGAGAATAATTTACATTTGATATCTTTATAAATTTTGTTTAGTTTATCTTAGTCTGTACAATATTGTTGTCTACTAGTAAAAATCTTTAGCTAACACCATAATTGCATCATAATCAAGTTCGTACATGAAATTGGCAATTTTCCTGTCTCATTTGTTACCACAAAGTAATTATAAAAACTGTTAATGAAGATTTTAAGCATGTTGAAGATTTGACAATCAATCCATTCCAACGACTCAATAAACGAAACTCGGAGCACACAATGAAAATAATGTATCTCGTTTATATCATTCATCAAATGTGAAATTTGATTTATCGAAATTTTTCAGAAGGAGAAGAATTTTCACAAAAATAACGTATCAATGATTCCAGCTTTACCCTATATTATTTTAGCAATTTTTAGTACAATTGCAATAGTTTTATATATTGCAGGCTGTGCAGTAACTCACAACTGGTGGCCATTATTTGGAATTTTAATGCAAATAGCAGCAATTATCTTCTTCATACTTTTTACATCCAGAATTCAAGCTTCATACGTAGATGAAGAGTCATGGTTTGCTAGAATGTTTACAGAAGATTCAACAATCTTCTTCGGTGTATTATTCCAATCAAGTGCAATTGGCTTAGTATCAGTATTTTTCCATTGTGATACTATAAGTAGGGATTGCTTTTTAATGCAATTTTTCGGTGATGTTGCGCTCATTATTGGTTTCATTGTTTACGTTTACCTGAAAACTAGAGCAGCTCAAGTTTACGCCGAATAAGTATGATATTTTCTAGTTTAGTTTTTATGCCTTGTTTGATTATTTACAACTTAATTTTATTTGATAAATAAAAATTTTATTTACTATGTATAATTACTTAAAATATGCATTACTAAGAGTATAAATTAATAATGTTAGTATGTGTTATATCATGGATGATATGATTTTCTTGAAAATAAAAATCAATAAGAAACCTTAACTTTTCTATTAATATTTTGGAAGTCAGGGATGTGGTTATTCTTTTAGAAACCTGAAAAAGTTATTTATTGTTAAAAAACGAAAATATATAAGAATTTATTTTTGGATTCAAAATGAATAAATTATAAAATTTTAGACAGCATCTCTCACTCAGTTATTATCAATCAGAAATTAATAAAATCAAATAAAGAATAATAAAAATTATTGGTTATCGTTCTTCTGTTCGTTCTCCTTCGCATCAACCGCTGGTGCAGCTTCATCCTGAGCAGGTGCATCATGGCTATCCTCTTCTACTTTCTTTGGAAAAGGAGGTGCGACGAATCCAGGATTTTCCTTTGGTAAACCAGGGAACGGAGGAAGTGTTGGTGCTCCCTGTGGAATGGATGCACTTGGGAATGGTGGAAGTACTTTCTCTTCTAATTGGTCGGAGTCACTTTTTGGAAATGGTGGCAAAGTAGCATTTCCCTCAGTCTTAGGGATTTCGGATGGCTGAGTGCCTGGGAAAGGTGGTAACTGAGCATTACCTTCTGGCTTTGGCAATGTGCTATCTTGTAATCCTGGGAACGGAGGAAGATTTGCGTGTACCGGTGTTGGAGTTGCGTCTGCTCCTGGGAATGGTGGAACCTTTGCTTCAGTTAGCTTCTTCGGGAATGCTTGAAGTGATGGAGAGTCATCGTCGCTGCTTGAATCTGAATCTGAGCTCTTCATTGCAGGTGGAAGACCTGGATTACCCATAGCGCTGAAGATTGTAAGATCAGGCTTAAGTGGCGGTGGTGTAGGAAGTGTTGGATTTGGTAATACTGGTGGTGGAAGTCCAATTGCAGCTGGGAATACAGAAGGAGTCTTCAGTTTAAGGTCATCTGAGTCGGAATCCGAATCTGATGAAGAATCTGCAAGTTTCAGCTTAGCACCTTTGTCCTTTGACAATCCAAATACATCATCGCTGTCATCTGACTCGGATTTCAATGCTGAGTCTCCCTTTGGCTTGAAGAGAATTTCTCCATCATCGGAAGAGTCTGAATCGCTACCTGAGCTCGATGAGAATTTCTTTGCATCAGCTCTGATGTATTCTATGTCCTCGTCTGAGCTTGATGATGATTCTGATGACGAGAATAGTTGTTCTGTGTCAACATCGTCGCAAGCAGGCCGAGTTCCTGCAAATCCTTCTCCATCGTCATCGTCGTCTTCTTCTGCATCGGAAATAGCTGATGGAGGATGTTCGCCACCGAACTGGCAGGACATTTTCTCAGCGCGTGTCTTTACAACGTTTGTATAAAAATCTGACCAACCTTCTGTAGATTTTGCGATTCCATCGAGTACATCCGCGATCGGGATGAGGTGTCCGTTGTAGGTATTCTTCGGGAATTCAGCCATGAAGAGTTTGATTAAATCTGCTCTTTGTGCGATCGCCTGAAGATCTTCTTGAGGCATATTTGTAAGAGAGCGTAAGATACCCTTGCGGAAATATGTACCAGTATTAGAGAAAACTTTGAGGATGATTGAATCATCTTTTGTAATGAAAACGCGAAGAGCTGCAGAAATAACAGCCTCTGGCCTTTCAAGAGTAAAGTTATATGATGCTGCCTCCGTTTCGATTAACTTCTTAAGCTCTTCGTTTGGTGACATTTCCTTTATCATTCTTTCGAGGAGCATAAAAGCCTCGATATTGATAGCTGGCCTCAAGCTATCATTTTTGGCGATTGCAAGTAATTTTTTAACGATTTCGATTTGGCAGATTAAACGGAATAATTGTCTGTTGACTTTTTGCTTTGACTTTGTCATATTGTCAATAGCTCTTATTATGTAGAAGTTGTTTGGAGTGTTAGGATCAGAGAGCATCTCGTTAAGCATCTGCTCCGTTACAATCCAATTTTGATGATGATCTGTTGCAAGGACTACAAACAATTCGCATAATGCGATGTTGTTCATATCCTTCATGAGAAATTCTTTAAGCGTTGTAAGCTTAGAAAGAGACTGGCCGGATGTATAACGAGCGATATTTTCGACAATTTGGCAATAATTGGCACAGCATCTCTGATTTTTGGCGAATTGACTTTGTGGGAAATCAACAAGGCGTTGAAATAATAATTTGCTCTTATTTATGATTGCGGATGACGATGTTAAAACTTGTACAGCGCATCTCGTTGTTTTGGCAGGAAGCTTAGTATCTGGAACAATATCGGTTAAAACTAAATCTATTAAATGTGAGTTATTATCATGATTATCGACGAAGAAAGAGATCAAAGCTTGAAGATTATTACGAAGAGCCGTTGTAAGTGCTGGCTCATCAAGAATCATCTCTACTGTAGTGTCTGGCTTTGAAAGCAATTTTGTAATGCCGGAAAGGTTCGGCCCGCTGAATCTCCAGCTCATATACCTTGATAATGCGAAAAACCGCAATTATTTCAGAAACATAAAAAAAAATTGGAACATCTGCCGAAGCAATTTCCTACCGATGGATTGGTAATCTATACATGTTGTAATGTGCTTTCCAATATGGTTGCAAAAAGCGGGGAACGATACAGAAATTGAGAGACCCCGGCCCCTTAAGCGAGAACCCAGCACGGGGAAATGAACGATATAAAATGTAGTTTTTTCCTTATTTTTATCTCAATTTTTAATTTTTGAGAGGAAAAATTCAAGAAAAATATAGAGTTTAACGAGAAAAACATATGTATTTTGAGTACTCTTTCTATATTTTATTAAACAAAGAAATCAAAAATTCTCCGCTACACGGCAATATTTTTTGGAAACCCACTTTTCTAACCGTGGATTAACTCAATTTTTTGAGAACTTTGAGAGGAAAACCGAACCCATTTACGGCTGGGGCGTTATATCTCGCTATCCAATCTTTTTCAGACCGTTAGAATTGCACATTGACCGCCGGGTTACCGAACCCACATCCATTGGTGCAATTTCCAATTCGGTTTAAGATCATTTTATTATATAGCAAAATTCATGATAATATCATCGGAGCAAATTCAACAAAATAAAACTCGATTGTTTAATGAAATTACAAATTAAACCTTCCATATTACAGAATTATATCAATTTTTACAAAAAAATCAGTTATTCAAGGTAGTAAAAAAGAAGTATTAGTAATAAAATGAATATTTACTTAGATTTCTTTTGATTACGGCGTCGTTTTGAATTGTAAATGTACAAGAAAATCATTTTCGCTTTGACCAATGCTTCTGATGCACGGCAACTAAGGGAATCAAAATGATGCTTCTGATAAGAGAATAACCTTTCAACAGCTGCTTCCGTTGCTGCAGCCGATAATAATTTCACTGCAATACGTGCTAGCTCTTTCCATTTCTGGTTGTTGACTAATGCTTTCCAGAATTTATACAGATTTGGTTCACTCAAATCGAAGCTGTTTCTGTGTAATCCATATTTGATCCATTTTCTGTACTGAGCAAGGAGATTTACATATTGTGTGTCATCGTAATCTAAAGAATGTGCAATCTGGTATAATGCGATTGACATCTTATCTATCGAGTTACCTGATAAATCACAAAGACCTTCATAATCTGTTTTTCCATCTTCCTGTGGATTTAATAAAGCTTGAGGAGTTAATCTCAGCTTATCATTGCGATATGGCTGTCTTTGTGCAAGCTGTGGATGCAAGACTGAATCAAAAGTGACTCCATCTTCAGGGCCAAACTGGCCATCGTGAAAATCTGACGATGAGGTATCGTCAGATCTGTTAGTATTATCTTCATTTTCTGTAGATTCGTTAGTATTTTCATCGTCCGGATCGTTAGTATTTGAATGATTTTGGTTTGCTGCAATATAATTGTCAATTTCTTGATCTGATATAGGTTCTACGGCTGTAACCGATTGGTAGCCTTCCGGAATAACTTCTTCAAATTCTGCAATTTCTTCCTCTTCGTGATAATCCTCATCAGTTGAAGACTCACCATCAGATTCTTCGAAGATATCCTCTTCTTCTTCGACTAATGGCTGATATTAAGCATTCGGGTCATTTGCCCTTTCTTGGTCAAGGGTCTCTCCAAATGCGATACAGTCTGGTATACCTTTAATTACATCACGAACTAGTTCTCCTTCCATAGGGTAATTCGGATATACAAATTTCGCGATGTTGGATTCAACGTCTTTTTCGGAAGCTAAATCCGGAAATGCTTGGCGAAGTTGTTCTCTTCCAGTAAAGGTCAGTGAATTTGCGAGTTCAAGCAGTCCTCTGTTGCCAGTTCCTTCAAATCTGGCCAAAATACGCATTTGAAGGTAAACTTGGGCGCTCGAAGCTTCAGCTACAATATCATGAATCCTTTCGTGGTATTTCTCTTGAGTAAATTCAACATAGAATGCATTGGAAAATTCATCAGATGCACGGCAATACTGCACAAGAAGATCAATAGTATTTGCAGCAGTCGTTTCATCTCTCTCGAGGAGATGGACCAACTCGTAAACTGGATAGAATATGATGAAAAGACAAGGCAAGGCAAACTCCAAGAGATATCGTAATGGACCAAGAACATCTTGTATTGCATCCTTTAACCGGGCCGGAGTTTGGTATGTCAGCTTTTTCAACGTTTCATAATGCTTGACAAGCCATAAAATGATATCAAATTCACTTGTCCATCTTGTTTTTACGTAGAGTGGACATTCAACTTTGAAGTAACAACGAACAGGCTTAGAGCGGAGAAAAAGTGAAATCTTATTCAGATTTTCAAATACTGGAAATTCATGTTCCATTGCCAAGGAAAGGGTATGCGCTGCACAAGGGATTCTGAGAAATCCGTCTGTTTGAACAAAATTGTGATCACATGCAAGGACTTGAGCAAGCAAGTTGTCAGTTACAACGGTTCCAAGTTTTATTCCATTTGAGGCCAACATTGCCAGAGCATCACGAATGGCACGATCATAAGAATCTGTTGTTCCGTCAAAGCCGGTCTTGATATCCAACGGAAAAGGATAACCATCATGTACCGATGGGCTATAAATCATTAAGTCAAGAGTCGGCCTACCACATGCAGTTCCAGCATCAATTAAGAGGGATATAGTATGGTCGAAGTAATCTGATAGACTTTTTTTGGCTGCTTCTTTGGAATCTTGCAAAAATTTTTCTGTAAGTTGAGCTCGGTTTATAGACTTGATTATATCATTAATTTGATCCTTCTTCTTCAATGTCATTCCTACTTCAAGAATGATTTCCACAAGATCACGGAATGAATCAGAAGATATAGCATTAAAGGAAATTTTGTTACAACCAATAAAAATCTCAATAGCTTGAAGAACCTTCTCTTTTGAAGTGAGAACTTTATCAAAATCGATAAGTTTTGTATAATAGCAAGTGTGGTCTGCTATTAATTTATTATCATTGTAGGATTCTAAATAAAATTGATGTAGACATTGCTTCCCTTCTGCATTTTTTGTAGCGCATCGAACAATTTTATGATGAGAGTTATATTTAACTGGCACATATCCTTTAGGTATTTCATTAGGAACACCTGTTGGCATGGACCAAGTTTTATCATATCACATGTCAATTACATTTTATCGTTATCATTTCATATCACATGGCTGTACCCCAATAAATTCTTTTCCCCGGCATTTGTAAAGTAGCCCACTTTTTGCAACCTTATTTCCAATAATGTTGCAAAGATGATAATTTTGCCTGACTCGCTTCGGAGATAAAATTCATAAAAGAAACAAATTTGCTTATTATACGTAATTGTATAGAATTATGTAAAGAAACTCAAGAGAATAGACCAACTTTCAAAATTTGACGCATTTTCCCACTCTTTAAAAACGGATGTTTGATTCGACTAAAAGAAGTAAAAATGAATAGAAAATAAGAGTATCGCAACACAGAATTAATAGATTTAAAACAGAATCAATAATCACGAGTCGAATTTGGATAGTATGTTAATGGGTATGCTTACGTGCTGCATTGTTGTTAAAATAACGTGCCAATGCAAGGTTTCACCCATAATTTGTAAAAGAAAAAATTCATTTGTCTTTTGAGAACAAAAAAAGAAAAGAAAAGTTAATAAAAAACACATATTTAAACACAAATCAAACATATTTCTTAACGTGATTAAAAATTTCATTTTGGAATTGATAATATGATTTTCGGAGCTCCTCATCCTTATCAATCAGCTTAATCACAATATTTTCGAGGTTAAGCCATACTTGTCTTTCTCTTGAAGTTAATGCATCGATGAAATCGACTGATTTTCCAAGAGTCGCTGAGATCATGCAGATGGAATATATCAAATCATCATTGTTGCAATTCTTTAGGGCGTGTTTGAGAACCATGTCTCCGCTCTTCAAAACATCTTCAAGTTTTGCAACGTAATCGACCATTGATATGATATAAAGGAATCTCTTGTGGAGAGGAACCAAAGAAATACTCTCTAAACCGATGGAAATTCTCATATAGTACTGATTTATCAATAATCTCTTTGTTTTAGTGACTCCTACGCCAGAAAAGCATGGAGGGAGCTCAATTCTTGTTAGAGATGTATCCATATGATATCTCCATTGTTCTTTTAATCGAGAAACCACGTTTCTGACATTATTTGTATAAAAATTCTCCAAAATCATTTCGTACTTAGTAGCTAAGAAGAGGATTGAAGCATGTGGAGTATTTAGAACATCTCCAAACTGAGAAATGAAATTGGAAAAAGTTGCGTTTTTGAATCCGCTTGATTTCACGAATTTCATGATCTGCTTCTGTTCAATACTGAGAACAGTCTTGTCATATAGCCTGTCAACGTTAGAAATCCATTTCTTAAGGAGATTCAAAGATGACTTCAATTGTATCATTTTTTCGAAGTCCTGGGATTGTTTAATGACTTGGTTGTATTCGTGAGCGCATAGGTAGTCAGCAAATGATATCTGTGGCCTGTCATTCAAAATTTTCTGACATTTTTCACATGGTTGTTTTCCATCGGTAATTTTGGTCACGCATTCTTCACAGAGTCCTGTAAGGTCTTTAGCAAATTGTTTGTTGAACTTTGAAGACACTTGTGGGTTCTGGTTGCACCAATTTTGAACTGTAAGGTTTTGTGACATAGAATTGATATCAATGTATCTCCAAACGCGTTCAAATGCTGGTATTAAGTATTCCGGTGCTTGCAAATTTGGCTTTTCGAAAACAACATTTTTTGTCATTTTGTTAATTGTCACTGCAGGTAACATTTTCGGATACATTTTAAGTATGATAGGGATGTATGATTTATCAGAGATACTTAATCCGAGTTTGACTAATATCTTCGGTAATTCAATGCATTTATTTGCTGATGCAAACAAAATACAAGCATCTAGGATAGTAGAAATGTATCTGATGTAATGCTGTTCGAAATCTGATGATCTGGCTGGAATGTCAACGATAGAAGCTATATTGTAAAAAACAGGATTTTTCGAAGGATTCGATTTGCAAATTTCTATTGAGCGCTCGGCGACTTTGATAAACGCATTGATATGGTTTGAGAAATGAGATGCATTGAGTAACATGCTGATTTGTGGTATCAAGACGCTTTTCACTAAAAATTCGATAATTTGGCAATCAGTGTAGCCTTTATGAGATAACAATATCAAAAGATTCAAGTGTGTAATTGGTAAGAGACAAAGATTGTTGATAATGCTCACAGAAAGGGTCTTGGCATGAATTTCGATATTTGCTGCGGGAAGATTCTTTTCTGCTAACTGAATGTCATGGCAAAAGTATGTATTGACATCTTCGTATACAGCTTCAACGTAATATAGAGTAACTGAGGATAAAAAGAAAGGTTTCAAAACGATTTCAACAACATTTGAAGGAAGCTTCATAACAACATCCATGTAGAATTGGTATGCGTAGGCTAAATGTTCGTGGCATGAAAAGAATCCAAATATCGATGGAATAACTGAGTAAACAAAGAATTGGAAATTAAATGGCTCCAAATCCTTATATGCGAAGTCAGTAACTATAGATAATTGGTCAGGACTCTGGATAAAGAACTCGTAAAGCTTGCAAACGAAGTGCATTTGCTGGGCAGTGATTGTTTCAGTAATTTTAGGGACTTGAGATATATATTGAAGAATACCTGCTTTCGTTGATGGGAAGAAGTTTGGTAATTTGGATTCTTCTAGGAAGTTACTCAACATCATAAATCTTTCTTTTAATAATAAAGTATCTGTAATGCTAGCGAGACAATCAACGCAATCCTGCATCTGATCTGGTGTATCATATGGAATATGGGCATTCATATGATCAATAATTTCTTGCATTTAAGTGAGTAATCTCAGTTTTTATTGTTCTGTAAATAAATTGAATACAACCAAAAAAATTAAAAGAAGTATAAAAAGTTTGAAATATAATTCCTGTCCTGAATACATGATTTTCAGAGATTTGTAAATTTCGCGGTATGCTCTCAATTTTCTTGTTTTTTAAGGGTGCACACGAGAGGATCATGTAAACTTCAGAATTTAGAACCTTATTTTTAGGCATTATCTTGGCTACCTATTTAGGCTCGAAAAGCAAAAAATATCAAAAAATACAACTTGACTTCATTATGACCCTTTCATGGAGGTAGTTTTTATCCGCTAGTATTTTCCCTTTGAATCTCTTTACAATTCGAAATCAAATTCAAATCTCAGTAGAAGAAAGGAAGAATCGACTTACTACGGTTGTAATACGAATAAATACATATATTTAATTATTTTTATTTACATAATAATTGTTTGAAGCTCATATTCCATCAAATTTTTAAATAAAAACATTCAAATGTTGAAAATGTTCATATATTTTAATAGGGTTTTGGCACTTTATTGAGGAATTACTACATACATAGTCGAACTGAACTTGATATTTTGAAATTTAAATTATTTATCAAAATTAAAATTTAACTTGAAATTTATAATTATTTAGTCATATTTTGCATAATTCTAAGTAGATTTTGTAAAAAATCAAGAAAGAAAAATTTTAACGTGCTTTATTTTTTCTTTTTTATAATAATATATATTATTATATAATTAACATATTCATAATGTTTCACCCTTTCAAAAATATAATCCTCCTCCTCCCAAATAAACGTACATACGGGTGGCCTCTTTTTTCAAAAAATTAAAATTTGAAATTTTGGGCTCAAATATTAGAGATTTTTTCAACCTTCAACGATATATGTTGTCTATATCAGACCTCCTTTCTTTTTGATACTTAACATTGTTCCTAAATCTTAGCCGTTAAGGCTGTTCTGAAAATATTTTTTTTTTCGAAAAAATTCGAAAAAAATTCTTAAAATTCAAAAATCCCTTAATTCCTGAGGATTTTGGAAAAAAGTTTTTACATGAACATGTGTATATTATATGAAGTATATTGATAAGGTAAAAATCAAATTTTATTGCATATTCATCGAGAAAATAAACTAACGAATCCCTCAAAATTGAGAGGGTAATCCTCCTCCTCTCAAATAAACGTACATACGGGTGCACCCTTAAAAATAATTGGAAATTTCCTGAGAATTACCTTGATTTTATGATTTTTGTATTTTTTTTGGAAATTTCACATCATGTATTCTGCTTTATTTTAGTCATATAAAAGTATTTGGCTACAAAAATTTTCAACAATGCTTAAAATTGATAAATATATTTTGAAATATTCATATTACTCATAGGACAGAAGAATATAGTTCAAAAATGTGGTTTAGTAACAAAAATATGATAGTAATTTTAGTCAAAGTATTAGATTTTCATGATGTTATCCGAAATTCCTAAAAATATCATGAATCAAGATAAACATTCAGCATATGCTTGTTGTAATATTGTAATGTATAGAGCAAGTAAAATATGATTTACCGGTAGAACTAAAATTTTTATTGAATCCTTGCCTAATAAATACTGTGAAGGGGTTGCACTGAATGTAGCCTTCAAATGAGGTATAAATCTATAAGTGTTTTGTAAAAATGTAAGAATTTTAGTCGTATTGGTTAAAAATCGTCTAATTTCTACATATATTGTATAAACGGAACGCAACTTTGTTAAAGCAGTCTACACACTCATGATTGCAATGAAGATTAACAACAATAGTTGGAAATGAGAAAATCAGTAAAAATTAAAATGGAAATAAAACATAATTGGAATGGATCGGTCGACTATATTCCCTACATATAGAAGTTTCCACATCATTGGACAAGGGAGTTGAACTCCTATACTTTGAAGCAATTTTGTGAAGAGAAATTGATTTTATTTTACATTTATTTTTTCTTTCACTCAAATGAACATTTTATCGATATACGATTCTAGCGGAAACAAACTTGTTCAATATCCAGACAGTCCATTAAAAGATGACGAATCACTTAACTTTCAAGGTGTTTTATCAATAATTGGACCAATCACAAAACAAGATCAAACATTTCTATTTACTCTAACAATGGGAAAGCATTATGTTGATGTGTTTTATGGCTTTAATAGATATGTTATTTCTGTAGTTCCAGATAATACTATATCGGAAATAAAGAATTGTAATTCATTTTATGCTATTACTGCAGGATGCTTCTTTAATGACTATATAATACGAAATTCTACAAATGATCAACAAAAGGCATCCATATATGATTCATTCATAGAATTAATACCGACAAACCCACTAAACTCAATAAATTCTTTAATAAATTCATTACTATCCAACGAAATCGAATATGTTGCTTTCGTAACTCGAGGTAATCGAGTCATTCATTCAATTGGTAAGCCTTCTGAAGAACCAGAAGATTTTATCTTCTCATGGTGTGCTGCACTAGGGGCAGTCGATTCTCTTGGAGAGGAACAGTCTGCTAGGGTCGACGGATATTCTAAAATTTTTGCTTTTAGAATGTATGATTGCATCAACACAATATGCTACACAAGACATGATGTAAGTTTACCAATAATAAACCAGTTTGCAGATTCTGCTAATAAAGTTAAAACAGGAATTTCAAACTTATTCCAAAAGACAGAACGATTCTCACCAAAACTACCAGACCAACCTTCATCTGGAGGTGGAAGAACACATTTCCAGAGATTTTAACTCATTTTGTTTTAGATGTAAAAATATTTTGTCATTTATTTCAAAAAAAAATCATGTTTTTCACTTATTAAAACGTACACAAACATAATATTTTATTTCAAAAGATTCATTGCATCTTCTAATAAGAAGTCTGGAATTGGAAGATCCGAAAGTTCCAATTTCTTTTTGAGTTTTAGGCGTCTTAAGTTAATGAGATCGATATAATCTCTTCCATTAACTATTAATTTGTCTTGGTAGACGTCTTTCAATCGATTGCCTGCGTCGATTAAAAGGTATTCTGATTTTGAGTATTCTTGTTCAAGATTAACAAGAACAGGACTGTATTTATTGTATTTGAAAGCATCAAAGGCCAAGTAATCTTTAATGTCTCTGTAGTATTTGTTGTAATATTTGGCTTTTTCGAAACAAATTTCCCAAGCTCCCATTGCGTCAGAGAGTTTTGAAGTTTCTTCAGTGGATTGAGAGTATTTTGCGGATAATCCCAATCTATCTTTAATAGAAAATCCAAGCTCATTCCAAATTTTTGATAATCTTAGGAAAATGTTTTCACTACGTATATCTATTGATGAAGTTCCTGGCTTATAACTTTTGAGGATCTTCATTACATCTTCGTTGTTCGATTCTATTGGTTTTGGCAAAATTTTTACGGTTGGAGGATTATTTTCTTCTTCCTCTTGGAAATCATGCATACTATATGATTCACGTTCGATTTGTTGTGACTTATTTACTGCGTCTTGTTGAATTTGAGTTAATAATAATTCTGAATCATTCCATTCTCCAGTACCAGTAATTTGTGCGGCAAGAGGTATTTGTTTCCCAAGGCTATCACTGATTTCGTCGATCTCTTCTGGCTTGAAAGGGAAACAAATTTCTCTTCTTGAAAATTTTGCTGAAACATGATTGAAATTCAAGTCATTTCCAATGAATTTCAAGTCATCAAGTATTTTCTGACGAGATGTTCTTGTTTCTAATGGGTCATTCTGGTCCCAATAATTATTGATCATTTGTTCTTTTGTTAATGATTTGGTTTGTGGTATTTCCTTCTTTATCTCAACAATTTGTCTCTTTCTGTTGGGGTTCACAATGACTCTTGTCGTATTTGCGTGCTTTTGGACGATTTCTTCTTTTTCTTCTTTGATTTCTTTGACTTCTGGTGGTGGAAGAATCAGTTTCTGGTTCTCTATGGCGAACTTGAATAACTCCGATACATTTTTATTTGTATCACCAAGTATTTTGTCCAATGAGTCTTGGCTAAATCCATAATGAGGATTAATTTTATACATCGCTGGCAAATCTTTAGTTGCTGTATTTAAGTTCTCCGTAACTATTTTTTCTAAGTCAGTATCTTTCTTTTTGATCTCAATTGGTTCTTTGACAACTTCAATCTTCTTTTCAGGCTTAATTCTGTATAATTTCTTGAGGTTATCAGGTAATTTTGAGTTGTCGAAACGGTCCTCCTCAAGATCTTGCTTGATGATTGCATTAGCAGCTTCCTGAATATGCTCGACGAAAAATTTCATTGTTTTCTTTTCGTCATTAATTGTAAAACGCCTTTTTGTACTTTTTTCGTGCTTAATTTGTTGTGCAAGTTGCAATGCACAGTCACCAAGCTTTGAGACAGCTTTTACGAGATATAATTGCTCTTTGTACGGTAAGCGACGCAATTCTCTTTCATATCCTTTAAAAGAGTCAGTGTTAAGCCAAAATGCTATCTCTTGATCTTGTTTTATCTCATCGTTATCATCCGATTTCGGAATAGTTTTTGATGAAATCTGCTTTAAAGCAGAATTTTGTGTATTGTAGTAAAGTCTCTCGAATTCCTCGGAGTGAAAATTATCGAGAAAGCGTTGATTTTTCACTCTATTAAGATAACCCAGTGCATTATTGAATGCATCGATGGGTGCTGGCGGTTTTGAGATATCTGGAATCGGAAGCTGAGTTTCTCGCGTATAATTAATTTGAATTTCGTCTCTAGAACGTGGTGATAAGAGTTCAAGGCATAGTTTGGAATCATTATCTTGTTCTTCCACGAAAGTTTCGTGGAACATATATTTCTGAATTGAATTGTTCAACAATTTTTCAGAAGAGAAACCCAAGTGAGAAATACATGAAATGGTGATTTTTATAAAAGTATTGAGTTTGAATGGTATTGAAAATCAATTTGCAATTCAATGCTCCAATTTTGCATTTTTTGAATTCAATAATTTAATTATTATTTACCCATTCCAGAAAGAGAAAAATAATCTTTTCAATTTCAATTGAAAAGTATTGAGCACAATAGAAAATGATCTGTTCACAACATATTCAACAGTATGAGATATTTATTTATAAATAAAATTTTATAAAATGAATGTCACTTTTATTATGGCTCCAAAGTATTGAATCTTCAATTGCCATGATTTGCATAATCCAGCAAAGTTATTTTTTGTTATTTAATTAAAACGTTGAGTCTAGCGCCCTTTCCCATCTTCCTAAAATCCAAAAACAAATGAAGAAATTCCAATTGACGCAAATTTGGTAAGATATTTTTGATATTTGATATCAGAACATCTATTGCGTTCTTGAAGAATGAACAAGGAATATTAATTTAATGCATTATTTCTTAATATCTGAAAATAGACATAATGAATTATGGATAGTTTTGGAAATTATATCAATATTACATTTTAAGAGATATGTGAGATTTAAACTACAACGTAATCTCTACCCAATGATAAAGATATTAATAAATTTTATTGAAATTTTAATCGGAACTCTGCACGATCATAAGATTTCACTTTTGCACTACAGTAAACGTTTCCCATATTGTCATTATTAAGAAAGCTCAATTAGTGTGTTTTTCTTCTGATTATTGAATTTATTATTGAATAAGAATTAATACAAAGATAGAATGTGAGAGAGAAATGATTTGCCTGTAATGATTTGCTAATCATTTAATTTTATAAAATGATTGATATAAAATTTTATTCAACATTTCCCATTTTACTATTAAAATTCACTCTGAAGTATCGTAATCCATGCTAGTACAGATCTTGTTGACAATTTGAAATATTTCAACAAATGAGTTAGAAATAAAAATGAGATAAATGAGAATAATATAAAATTTAAATAATATAGACAAATCTAAAATTATTTCTTAAGATATTTCAGAAAGAGTGCAATTGCTTCAAAATCAATTGAGAAAGGAGCAAGTAAAATTGGTGGCGTTCCTGTTATGTCTGGTGTTGTCCAACTTGCTCCTTTGGACAAAAGAACTTCCATTGATTCGTAACTTCCATAAAGAATTGCTCTGTGAAGTGGAGTTTCCCATTTCTTATTCTTTACATTAATGTAAGCACCATGTTCGATTAGGAATTTAACCAATTCTGGGTTGTTCTTCATTACTGCGTAATGTAATGGCGAATCGCCATCTTTTTCTGTCATTGCGTAAAGATCTGCACCTTTTGAAATCAAAAATTCAGCAACTTTTGGATTTGGATTTACAGCAGCCCAATGCATAGCAGATTCTTGATCTCTGCATCTTGTATTAATTTTTGCACCATGTGAAATAAACAAATTCAAAAAGTATATATCATCTTTTTCAGCAGCAATATGAAACGGTGTATTCTCTTCATTAGTCATTGCAAAGACATCAGCGCCATGTTCAACAAGAACTCTAGCAACTTCTTTATTATTGTTTTCAACAGCATTGAAAAGAGGTGTTTTGAGGAAAATATCTTTCGAATTAACATTTGCGCCGCTTTTAATTAATATTCCTGCAATTTCAGCCTTGTTGTTCGAACTCAATCCACTTAAATGTAATGGAGTAATGCCTTGATAATCTTTGCAATTAACATTTGCACCGAATTTGATGAGTACTTCAACAAGTTTTGGATCATTACATTACAGCGACATGCAATAAACAAGTGTCTTTGTTTGTGGAGTTTCCTGTCCTAACGACATCGCGAAGTACATGCAAATTTGTATAACAATCTTTAATGTTAATATCAGCACCATTTTTAACCAAAATTTCAATTATTTCGTAATAACTATTTCTTACTGCCATTGTCAAAGGAGTTTCTTTATATCTATCCCTTGCATTAAGATTTGCACCTTTAGAAATGATTAATTTCAACATTTCCTTGTTATTACAATCAGCACAAGTATGTAAAGCAGTTACTCCAATAACATCTTTTGCGTTGATGTTTGTTACCTTTGAAAACAAGAAATCAATTAATTTTGGATTACCAAATTCAAAAGAATGAATAAAAGGAATATTATAATAATTAGTTTCTTCAATATACAAACAGAGAGTTACATAATCATTGAACTCAGCACTTGAATAAGGATCATAAGGAACATGATAATTTTTGTTTAAAAATGTTGTTAATTCAACATTATGTGCAAGGATTGCGTATCTCATGCAAGTTGCATTTGGTGTGAAAACTTTCATGCATTCATTAGCGATATATGTACTTCCGCTTAAAAATGAATAATAAATGCAATTATCAGTGATTTCCATGTTGAATTTTGTTCTTAAATATTTAAAACATTTTGGTGAACCATGGAAACAACATAATTCCAATAAATTGTATCTGTTTGGATAAAATGGACTATCTACTTTTTTATTAACGTTCTCTCTCGATACTAGTTTGGAGAATTTGTCGACATTGTCGTACATTAATTCGTAAAAAATTGAATTTTTTGGATGCAAATCTAAAGTGTAATTTTCTTTGGAATATTCTTCAATTACGTCATCTTCTGGAGCACCAAACTTGATACCAAACTCTTTTGTGAAAAGTATTTGATTGTAATGTTGCAAAACTTAAGATCTGGTTTGTATTCGTTATATAGTTTTTTGATTAGCTGCCAATAGGCTTTTAAGTACTTGTTGCGATAAAATGGTATCTTGCATACTTGATTAAAGATAAGGGATGGCGAAATATTGTTTTCTTTGATAAGATTATTTTTAATTAATTGGTAAATTTGATTTATTGCCTTAGGACTGTCATCATGCAGTTTGTATAAATTATTCCAAGCCGAAATACAGCTTTGATATTGCTTAATAAGAACAACACTAATTCTTTCTTTGTTTTGGGACATTTTATGGCGGCTTTCGGCTAATTGTCACTTTTCTAAAATATTTTTCTCTCATCAAAAGATTTCAAAATATATCTGTTTTTTTCCCGGCACAATAAGATAAGTTTAGCGGTTAAGTTTTTCCATCATCATAGTAATAAAAATTCAACATAAGAAATATTTTTAACAGAAATAAAGACATTTACACGAATATCTCCACAAAAATATAAAATTGCACATGATATTTCTTGATTATAGAATCGAAATACATGAAATCGATTGTCCAGTGAAATAGGTTTCTCTTTTAGATGCAAATATTTAACAATATGAAAAATAAATATATATTGATGTATGATGATGCTTAAGACTATTAGATATTTAGATGTATGATGGTGCTTAAGATTATTTAATGAATTTAGATAAATTTATAAATTGCTTTAAAACAACCAACAATGAACCGTTTTATTTTAAACTTTGTAACATAATAATCAATTAAAATATTTCCCAACGAATCTCTAAAATTTATTTCTGCCCCTTTGGAAATCAAAACACATGCTGCTTCTATACAATTAAATTTTGCTGCAATTCTAAAAGCAGTTTCGCCATCTCCATTTTTTGCGTTGATATCTGCTCCATGAGAAATAAGAATATCTGCAACTCTATCTGAATTAACAAATGCTGCATATTGAAGAGGAGTCCATTGCATATGATCTCTTTCATTGATATCGCATCCAAGAGAAATAAGCGTTTTAACAATATATTCATTATTTTCATGAATAGCAGTATATAGAAGCTTTTTTTCTTGTATTCCTATCGAATTGTCATTTACACCAAGTAAAATTAAGGCCTTGACAATATATGTCTTATTTGCCCATGTCAGCAAATTCAAAAGAGATAATTTTCTCGGATTTTCAATAGTATAATCAATACCATTTGATTTCAAATACCACATAGGTGGAATATTAAAGATCAAACTATAGTCATACATTTTCATGATTTTGTTTGTTGGTTTTAATGCAATAAAAATGATTGAAGATTATAGTGCTTCATGCAACAATTTAAATTAAGTTGAAGGCGTTTCTCATTCATCAGAAAAGAAATAAAATCAATATTGTGAGATATAATTGCATATTCCATGCATTGCTCACCGGGATCCCTATATTTCAGACATTCACTTATGATACCTGGATTCCCTCCAAGAAATGAAAGACAAAGACATTGATATGTAATATCTGCTTTAAATTCTGATAGTAAAAAATTAAAACAACCAATTGCGCCATGATAACAACATAATTCAAGTAATGTATATCCATCTTCTGAATTCGGATAAAATTCACTTTGTAATTTTTGATTTTTATTGAACGAAGGATTGCGTGTATATGCAATAAAAAATTCTTTATCATCATCCATAATTGCTTTATAAATTGAACCATATTTATGGACATTAGTCGAAAGCTTTAAAGAATCATACCATTTAAATAATTTACACTTCTTTTCATTGAAAAGAATTCCATATTCTTTATACACAAAATAGTCGAAAAGATTTGAAATTGTGTATATTTGAGAATGATCAATTCCTTCAAATATCTTTTTGAATATCATCCAGTATGACTTGAAGTAACCATTATTGTATATTGCAGCATCTGATATTATTTCGAGAATCTGAATTGGCTCATATAATTCAGAGTCAATGAATACCTTTTTGATTTCTCTATAAATTTTCTCGATTTCAACATCATCGTATGTATGGAGTCTATATAGTGCATTGAATGCATTAACATAATCTTTGCATACATCAATAAGCACAAGATAGTCTTCATACTTCATGAATATTTTTTGAGTGTGTTACATATCGTTCAATGCTCTCTATAGATCAAATTCAAATACATTTGATATACAACTAATACTGATGTCATAGTCACTCAAATACTCATTAAAAAGATGTTGTAATTTAAATTGGCAAAAAACTTTGGAAATGCAAACCAGATAAATATCAACAATGCATTGAAATTATGCAAAAAGAGCAAAGTTTGAATAACTATTAATGAAACTTTATGTTTTTTGAAAATGTATTTTTGATTAAAGTTAATTGGTTAAAGAAGCTCATATTTTTATGTATAAGTACTAATCGTAACTTTCACTAATTCAAACAAGAAAATCAGAAAAAATAATTTACAAATGAAATAAAATGAAACAGTTTATTCAACAGAAAAATAATATAAAAATTACTGAAGTTGGTTCTTGACGAGTTCTGCGTATGCTCCACCTTTTGCCATAAGTTCTTCGTGGTTTCCACTTTCAATTACGTGTCCTTCCTGTAGAACAAGGATTTTTTCAGCGTATTTGACGGTAGAAAGTCTATGGGCGACGATAATAACTGTTTTGCCAACTCTGTAAGAACCGATTGCATCTTGAACGAGTCTTTCTGATTCTGCGTCGAGAGCTGCTGTTGCTTCATCGAGGAGGAGTATTGGAGCATCTTTCATGACAGCTCTAGCGATGCAAAGTCTTTGTTTTTGACCGCCAGAAAGAGAATTTTGGTGAACTTCAGTAGAATAGCTTTGTGGCTGCTGTATAATGAATTCATGTGCATTGGCAACCTTAGCGGCCGAAATAATTTCTTCTCTGTGTGCTTCTGGTTTTCCATATCTGATATTATTTTTAATTGACATAGAGAACATCGTAGGAGTTTGAGGAACGAATGCAATGAAACTTCTAAGTGATTCAGGAGCGATGTCTTTGACGTCAATACCATCAATTAATACTTGACCTTCTTGAACATCGTAGAACCTCTCAATCAACTGAAGAATTGTTGATTTGCCGCATCCACTTTCACCTACAATAGCGACAGTTGTATTTGGTTCGACAACAAAGTCTAATCCGTTTAATGCAGGTTTTTCTCTTGTTGCGTACTTGAAAACGACATTCTTAAACTCAATTCTGCCTTCTACATGATCCAATTTTCTTCCCTGATCGCGTTTTATCGATGGTTCCTTCTCCAATATTTCCAATAATTTCGCTGACGAAACGTTGGCCTTCTTGAACTCAGCGAACAGCGAGAAAATACCTGCGAATGCGGAATTCCACATATCCGAGATAGTCAAAAACACTACAATTACTCCTGGCTCGCATTCTCCACGAGCTGCTTGAGTTCCTGTGATGTAAAGTATCATTGCGGCTGATCCCCACTGGACAATGGAGCTGCAGAACTCTCTAACACCGTGTATGTAACTGTTCTTTTTGACAACTTTGTGTACATCGAATAATTGTTGTTTGTAAATTTGATATTCGCGTAATTCAGCGTCAAATGAACGAACAGTTCTGAAAGAGGTTAATATTTCTGTTGCTTTGGCTGAAACTGTTGTGGAACAGTTGTTGTATTCAAGCCAAAGAGCATCAAGTTTTCTATTTCGAAGACGCTCAATAATTACGTAGAGAGGAGCAACAAATAGAAGGTAAACAGTAAGTTTCGGTGATTTCGTGAAGCATACGATCAAACCAATAACCCAGGAAACCATTGACTGTGCTAATTGAAGGATATTGTTTGTATAAGCAGAATATGCATTTCCGACATCATCAGTGATACGAGCAATGATTACACCGGTCTCTGTTTGATCATAGTATTCAATATCATGATTCATGAGTGCTTTCATGACTGCTGCTTTAAGATCTCTTAAAAATTGTGGTACAAAGTTTGATTCAACAATGGTGTTGAGTACACCAAGAACAAAAGTAATGATAACAGTAAGGTATAATCTATTCGCTACATTGTTGACTTCTTGTTTGAACTTGTTACCATCTGAGAAATACTTGTCAACTAATATAGTTGTTAAATCACCTTGGATAAGAGACATAATATAAGGCATTGCTGAACTTGATGTCTTTGTGAGCAATGTTAAGAAGAATAATGACTTATTCTGTAAGTATTTGAGAATACGGACCAATTCCCATCCTGTAAGCTGTATATCGATCTCATCGGCTGAGCCGTGAGGCCTCCATAATTGCCGTGGTGGCATCTAAAAAAATTGAATTGATCAAAAATTTTACTTCGCTTGAGCTGAATCTGACCTTAACAAACATCAAAGTAATGATCATTAATGATTACATTGAATTGCACGTTTTTTGTGAAATAATGATGGAGATTATTTTTTTTATCTTAAAATTTTTGAAACAATATCAATACATTATATGAGTAATTTTGCAAATTACCTCAGACTTTTCAGAGGATTGAGTGGCAACTCAATCCTCTGAAATAGTCTGTGGTAATTTTTAGTCTCTACACTATTTCAATATAAGCTCCATTTTTAAACAGTTTTTAAAAATCGAGCATTGAAAAGTGTGATGAGACTTATAAATTTTCAATCGCGATAATTGAATGAAAAGTTTGCTGTTTGATCTGAATTCTGTGATGGAATTAAAATCCTATTTAATATCATAATAATGCCTCTTGACCTTTTTTAATTCAAATTAACCTCTAATGCCTTAAATTTAATCATTATATTTTCCGTTTTTATTCAAAATTGTGATAAATTTTCATGAATCAACGGATCAATTTATAAATAAGGTTTTTCACAAACTATTTAATAGCGGCCATAATTACAATATATAGTTTTTTATAGTACTCTAGGATGCAGACAAAGCAAGATTTTAGAATTTTGATAGAATTAATTTTTTTTATTTCAATGATAAGGTTTTCAAACAATAATATTATGTGAACAAGTTAACAATAACAAGAGAAATTATAGTATTGTGTATGTAATTTCAATTATGATGTCTATTTAGATTTTTTCTTTCTTTGAGGTTTCTTTGGTGTTGGAGGAGCCGAATTCTTTTGATTTTCGATGGATTGCTCCAATTCTTTGATAATCTGCTTAAGATTCTCATTTTCTTTCTTCAAATTTTCTAAATCTTCTTTTGACATTAAAGAAGCTCTATAAAGTGCTGTCAATCGTTTGTTTTCAGCATGCTCAATTTCAAGTTGCTTCATTGGTTGGAATGTTAATGATATAGTTTGGTAAGAAGCTGCTAATTCTTTTTTCCTTCGATTCATCATATCTTTTTCGAAATCGGAGGCCATATCATAGGGTATTTCTATAAGATCTTTAATATAATTGAAGCTCTTTGGCTGGAAGAAAGAAGAATAATTGAATTTTGCGTTTTCTGAAGTGTCATATTGTAATAAGAAGTCATCAATGAAATTAATGACTCCATTCATTGTACATAGTTCAGCTATTACCTTCTCAGTTGTCTTTCTTAAGTTGGAATTTGTTTTATTCCATAAATTCGTCTTTTGATTTGTTTCTTTCCACATATTATCGATTTTCTCCATCAAATAATATAAGCAAGTACTAGCTTGATTTGAGAAATCTTTACTTTCCGGGTTTTCTTGCAAATCTGCAGCTAAATCTGATAGTCTATTGTAGCTCAATACAATATCACTGAGATATGTAGGGCCAATTTTATATTTCGTTCTTAATGAGTCAATTATTTTCTCTAAATTATTGATATTTGCTGCAAAATTGTTTGCTAAATTTGATGTTGAAAGATAATCTCGGAGTCCTGCAATTGCAGATTTTATTTTTGCGGCTTCTTTTTCATCGATTGATTTACTTTCTTCTGATATCGCCAGAAAATTCTGTATTTTTGCAATTACCGAATCAATTTTGGCCTTTTTAACAATACTTTTGATACTATTATATGCTTCTTCGTCTGTGACAACCTTTAGAAAGAGGTTGAGTTTACTAACCAATTTTGATTCATTTTCATTCATAATATTTGACAATTTTATTATCCCGATGGATAAACCATAGACCAATTAGACTAAGTTTATGTCTATAACGTCTTTCATTTTCGGCAAATGAGTGGTACTTATAAGATAAACTATCTGGATTGAATCAAAACGGGATTAAAAAACAAAATCTTTTGTATTTCTATGAAGGGATGTAAATATAGATTGCGTGGTTTGCTACCTCGATTGTATAAGCAACGATATTATGCTGCAAGCAAATCATTATGCCAATATTAGATGCGCCTTATAACAGAAAATACAATGAGGCTATGAATATATTGAAGTTCTCATTTTTAGATTTAAGATTTGATTACATTTTCGGGTAAATTGACTAATTTCACATAAAAATTATAAGCATTCAAATTAGATGCACTAAGTACTTAGGGAAAATTCTTCAAAAACAAACATGCAATCGGATCTCCATCAGTCATCAAAATCAGAATCATTAGATCCCCTGCCTTTTATCAGATTCAGACATTTTTAATCAGAGCTCACGTTTTCCTTTAGTAAAGAATGAATGCCAGTCAGTAAAAAGAAAATGTGCGAAAAATAGTTTCTTAAAATGACATTGGATATCTACAACATCAAAAGGAAACAGTTCTTTTTGAACGGTAGATATTCATAATTATATGGTATGTGTAAAAAGAGCAGCCAACTAATAGCGCCCTCTGTGTCATACCAACTAAACAATAGAGATTGAATAATTTACATTTGATTCTTTTTTTATTGGCTCGTTATAAGATATTAGTGCAAAATTGAAAGACACTATAGAGTGACAAGCACCTTTTAAAGATTAAAATTATGAAATCATGATTTGACATTGAGTGAAGATTTGACCATAATGAAACATATAAAATACAAGCACATGATATCCTATGTGATGCAAATTTCAATTTTCAATATTATGATTAATATGATTCTCAAATCCCATTAAAGATTTCGGACCAGTGATTTAAATTCTCGAGATTTATTATGTGCAATTAGCAATCAATAAAATAGAAACAAACGCAGTAGAATTAAGGTTCAATTGAACAATGCAATTGTCAATGATCAAATTTTACAAGAAAGAACAACTGCAATAGAACAAATAAGTTTCTTTCAAGATGTAAAAATACTTTTGACATACCATAATTCATTTGATTGTTTTAATTGAGGTGGGATATATGAATTATATAAAAAATCAAAATTGAAAACATATTCAAAAGTAAAAGATATATTTTCATATTATATATCTGTTGCTTAATATTATTTTCTAAAATGAGGATGAACCGGCTATTTATATATTCAAAAGTTGTAGTCCAGCAATGAATGCGAAAATAAGGAAAATGCAATGTAGAGTAATTGATACATAGGTTCGATAATTAAAATAGGTCATGAAAAATAAACTCAAATTTACGTCAACCGTTTTTTAATTCTGCAAACTATTTTATAGCATTATACATTTATAATATAAACAATTGTTATTTGAATACATTCAATAATTCTGAAAAATGGTTAAGCAAATTGAATTTTCAATTGAAACGCTAAATTTTGAGAGATTCTCAAATTAATAAATCAGGATCCAATTACAATTTATTCCAATGAACGACATTTATTTTTTCAATCTCTCTCAAATTCAACTCTCCTCTCAAAATAACATTTCAATTCAGATTATTTTATGATTGAAAACTGTTCCCTATTGTTTCTCTAATAAAAATTTTTAAAATTTTCGCAACCTTATGATCAAACGTGCTTCAAATTTATTTTTAACAATCGTGTTGATATTTTTTTATACCCCATTCATCCTATAAGACAATGATGGCTAGCATTCAAAACATCAAAAATTTTTCAGATAATTCATTTTTTTCTTTAGAAACTATTATGAATAAACTAGAGATTGACTTCTTTGAACAGCATGGATATCAGTTCATTAAGACCATTGCAAGAGGTGGTTTCGGTGTCGTCTTCCTTGTTTATTCACAATCTTATGATCAGTATTTTGCAGTTAAGAAAATACCGAAAGAGAACTTTAACTGTGCAGAAATTCACTGCCTTATTGAAATAAATGATCCTAAAGTCTGTAATCTATATCAATACTTCAAATTCTCTGATCATTACTACTTACTGATGGAATATTGCGACACTGACCTTGCCCAAAAGCTTAAGCAAGTCGAGAAACTTACAGAAGAAGCGACTAGAAGACTCGTTCACGATGTAATTGCCTGCTTAAAAGTTTGCCATGACAGAAATATTGTCCATGTAGACATTAAACCTTCGAATTTCTTATTTGATAACTACGGAAGAGTTAAGCTCTGTGATTTCGGTCTTTCCAAAATGTACCAAGATCTTCCTTCCAGCTACACTTTCCATGGTACAAAACATTTCATGGCTCCAGAAATATTCCAGCACCGCCAGTTCAATCCGATCATTGCTGATATTTGGGCATTAGGAGTCACAATTTATTACATGGTTACTCAACAATACCCATTCCAAGCCCAAGATGAAAAGTTCCTTCAATTCAACATTGAAAAGGGCAAATACAATGCAGATCTCGTACAAAACAGCTTACTTAGAGATCTTATTGCCAGATGCCTTGAAAAGAACCCTCAGAAAAGAGCAACTGTTGATGAACTCTTAGAAATGCCGTATTTCCAAAACTCTACTCCAACACTTCGTGATATGAGACGCTCCGATCTCATTCTTAAGCCAAAAATCCCATCTGTTAAATCAAACTACATTTCCAGGTCAACTTTGGCAAGTGTTCCAATTAATTACAATCGCTTACGCCTGAAGAACAATAATGCGCGTTATTCTGCTAATTTAATCTAAAAATTGTTTGTATTTCTTTTCTATGTTAATTTTAACTTTTTTTTCTTTATTTGTTATAATCGAGCTGTGCTCAATGTCTACGCATGAAACATCTAATCGATCATGTGGTAAAGACAATCTGATTTTCGAACAAATTTAATTTGGAGTTAATAATTATTTGCGATCGGATGGCGTTCTTAATTTTTATATTATAAATGTTATAAGTAATTTAATGGAACTATTAATTATTTGAAATTGACTCAAAAGACGACAGATTGCCCGTATTTTCCCCATAAAACGCTAAAAGAGAATTAATTTTAAAATCATTCAATTTGTTTCCAAATTTAACATCTTTTTGCATTTTCTAATTTAGAGCAGCCATTATTTTTTTTTAATTTCATTACAACATTCTTTGATATGAATGATTCCAACAGAATATGCTGCATTATAACTAATATATTATCAAATCATTTGTAGTTGTGAAAATGGGTGGTTATAAACACAATAATTTTCGAAAATGTTAAAATTTAGAGTTCAAGAACAAAAAGAAATCATATTACATAGTTAACAATACTTGACTTAAATCTTCGTCTTGCTGAGCTTAATAATAAGCTCTCTTACCATCTCAAATCGGCGCTTCTCTTCTGACAAAGAGTAAGAAGCCTTCAATGAGTCGGTGAGAATAGCACGTGTCTTTTCCTTAAGGTTTGTAACCATCATCATCCTCTTTGTATGAGGGAAGTAGGCAACTTTCACCTTATCATCAAAATTGACTTGGACATCACGTTGATCCATTCTGAAAAGAGTGGCGTTATCTGATCTAAGCCAGTATTTAATATGTGCAAGTGGTACATTCTTATCATATCTAACATCTGGTAATGTGAACATTGATGTAAGTTTCTTCAAGAGCTTAGAGAACTTCTTTAAAGTTGCAACCATTGGCTCACTGGAAAGAAGAGGATCAATCAATTCTGGTTCTGTAACATAATAATCCCTATAGAATTGAATGAATTCTTCGTGAGGATCCATAATCCATCTTTCATTCTCTTTGGTGATCATACCAACTGTTCCATCAGCAAGAAGATAGCTGAGACCTGTTCTCTTTGAATCATCGCAGAATCTTGAGACGAAATACTTTGGAATTGTGGTTTCTTCACCAACACGGACAGGACCATCAACAGCATCATTGACAATTGGATTGTCAAGGACATTCTCATGCTTCTTTGGAACTTCTGCTAATAGAGCTGGCCTTTCTGTAATTGGTTTGTGAGAAACAATTGGCTTTTGTGGAACAATAGCAGTAAATTGACCGCCTGTAATGAATGGATGGCAAAGGAGTTGCTGAACACTTGGTCTTAAGTTTGGATTGATCTGAAGTGTTGATTTAATGAATTCCTTAGCATTCTTTGAAACTTGAGGTTCGATTGGAATAACATAGTTACCATTCTTGATATGCTCGTATAATAACTTTGTCTTGATGCAATCGAATGGCTGCTTTCCAAACAGCATGACGTAAACAGAAACGCCAATTGCCCAAACATCAACTTCATAAGAATGTCCTTTGGAACGGAGAATTTCTGGGCAAAGGTAGTTTGGTGTGCCACAAACTGTAAACTTCTTTTCATCATCATAATCAAGCTTTGCACTCAGGCCGAAATCTGCAACTTTGATCTTGCCATCAGCACCGACAAGGTAGTTCTCTAACTTGAGATCACGATGAATGATACGGTTATCATGAAGATAGCAGACACCGCTAAGAATATCCTTTGTGATCTCAACAACCTTCTTCTCTGGAAGTCTTCTTGAACCACGTACCATATCACGAACTGACTTGCCTGGACAGTACTCTAAGAGGATGTAATGGTAACGAGAATCTTCATAATGACCAAATGATCTAAGTACGTTTGGATGATTCAAAGAAGATTGGATAGAAATTTCTCCTTTAAGCTTCTCAATACTCTTTGGCTTTGTGTATTTGCTCTTGTTAATGACTTTGATTGCAAAATCTTGACCTGTTTCAGATTCTTGGACACGATAAACTGCAGCGAAACCTCCACGACCAAGCTCTTCGCGACGCTTGTAGCTTGTTACCTTTCCATTTGGACCCGGAAAGAAAAATGTAAGAGGTACAGCGCTATAAGATTGCATCTTGTTTTTTGCTAAACGTACATCATTATAAAAGTGACGTTATTTTTGTATTGTTTTTTATGAGATGGCACATTTTCTTACGATGAATTATTATTTATCATGAATTCTATTAAATTATGCAAAATTTTTATGAATGCGAAATTTTGGATTTCTTTTATAAATAGATGAAAGTGGTATTAAGCATTGCACATTCCTAACCTATCCATTTTAATCAATGTTATCTTCTAAATATTTATTTACTATGCTTAGATTTGGAAGTTGAAATAATAATTATTAATTAGAGAGGCATTTTATGTCAATAATAGCTAAAAATATCAAAATATATAAATTATAATATACAACATGAACAAAACACTTTATTATTAAAAATATTATAATTATTTTGTAAGAGCAAATGATGATGCGGCATCAATAACAGGTTCTTGATTATTACCGTCATCATCAGATGATAACTCATCGAGCGCGTAAGTCGGGCGATCACCCATACAAAAAGCTTCTTCATCTTTCATTTCTCCATTAAATTCTTTGTATCCAATCACGCGCGCAGAATAACATGACTGATACTGTTCAATGGAGAGTCCGAATCCCAATGCATTGCACTCAGAAGAAATAATAATTTCTTTGATTGTTGGATTCGATATCCACATAAGAAATATCTCTTGTAATGGATCCTGTGACCATGGTGTAAGAAAAACCCCAACATTTGGTTTTGAATTAGGAGAAATCTTATGAATCTTTTGAGTTATTGTTTTGGTCTCCATATCTATATCTTCTTTACGGAGTTTATCACAATATCGTTGTGCAACTTCACACCATTGAAGAGATAATAAAATTGGCTTCATTCCTTTGATGGAACGATAATCATTCAAAATCATTAACATTTTGGATGCATTTGGATAACCCATATACATCTTTGGTATCTTTTGATGATGAGTTATGCATTTTCCAAGAAGGAGAATGCACCCGTATGTATTTTCGTTGATATTATCAATTAAAAATGAAACGTGAGTATAATCTCTGAGTATTAGCTTTGGATACATTTTACTCTCTCGAATTATTCTGATAAATTCATCTACAGGCGAAGTTTCTCCTTTATGAACTTTCTCGAAAATGTAATTTGCTTCTTGGCAATTATCAAAGGTATTCTTGATAATAAGAGTAGATAAGTCGTTGAATAATGATGGGTTTGAAAGCTTTAAGTTCATTAACTTTGATGCTGCTGTAATCGAAACAATCAAGGGTTTAACGCTATTTTTCCTACGGTAACAGTTAACATATCTTGTAACAGCTAGTAATGACTCCTTTTTGGATAGTTTGGACTTAATGGTTGCTAAAATTTGAGTACAAAACCATGAGCCATTTGCGTTTTCAGCAACTCCAATACCAGTATGAGTATATTCACCTTGTATACGAGAGAAAGATGAAGGTTTTCTGAGCCAAGATAAAATAATTGTTTTACCTGGATCATCATTTGGTTCGCAAGTTGCAACATTTTCAGAAAATGCTAATGTAGTAGGAGCCATTGCCTCTCTGGAATTATATCCGTAGTGACCAAATGGAATACTATTCTTGGACATATTAATTGCATGTTCTCCAGCAATAAAGGAAAGTTCTTTAGAATAATTTAATGCAGGGAGCCCATATTCCGTTCTTGCTTGATTTGTTAGCTCAAATAGGCGCCGTAGGACCCTATCTGGCTGACATAGAGGCCCTGTATTCATTCAATTGAAAATTTTGATAAGAACGCATTGAATTGATATTACAATTACTCAAACATGTTTATGAAGAAGTTTTCATAATATATAAACAAAAATAATTAATGATATTCAATTCAATAAATTGAATTTTTGCCGTTTTTTCAATGATCAAATCGAACAAATATTACAAGTAATAATATGTAGAATAAAATTTATTAAATTGTATACATTTACATTCAGTCAATTTTCAAAGATCCATATTTCAATTGTGTTTTGAGAGCTTCTTTTCATAGGATATTCCCCTCTTTCATTTATTTTAGGTCATTTATTTTATCATTATACCGCTTATTCTAATTATATTAAAAATTCAATAATTGATTTTATTTTCCTAAATTCAAGATTTCAATTTTTCGAATTCCAGTTTCGACAAATGCAAAATTATATGCCAAAATGAATTTAGATGACTTGTAAATCATTACACATGCTTAATTTTGAATTCTTGATAATCTCCTTGTATTTTTCTCCTTTGTTTTAATTAAATTCATTTCCCTTATAGACTTTTCAAACTCCTTATCTGAAACAGCATGCTATCATTCTTGGTTTCAAATGAATAGTTTTCATACCGATTTATTATTAACAAATGGTTTTGCAGTACTAATAATCTATGCATCTCTAGTTTATACAGGAATTCTAGCCAAGGTCAACTTTTGTATAATTTCTGCAATATTATAAAGTCCAATTTCAGTAATTTAAGATGGTTCATATGTATGCATAATTAATTGTTTTTCTTAAAATTCCGATATCAGTTTTTATATCAAAATCAAGATATTAATTGCGCTTTTAATATTTTAAGCTTTGTTGATTTCAATTTAGACAAATTTTGATTCGTTCGTTACAGAATTATTAATATCTGAGAAATTATTTATTTTTATAGATATAGACGTCTGCAATAGTAAATGACCCATGTTTTTTTATTAAAAAAATAGTTTCACTGTAGAGATTAATTTTATAAAACCTTGGAATATTTTTTATAAAATTTAAAAAAATAGTCACAATTAAAGTTTTAAAAAAGCAAATCGTCTTATTTTGTAGAAAACAATAAGCTGAACTTACCCGATTTAATCCAAAAGACAAAAACCTCAACCCAAATAACAATCGTTTCTTATATTTTGAATTCAACGGTTTTTTGATCATACAAATAAAAAGGTTCAAATTAAGGATCAAATTACAAATAAGGATGATGCATTTTCTTCTAAAAACGATGAGACAATTTTATGATATTTAAAATTTCAATTCCGATCAAATTACAATTATGATATTTAAACATCATGATAAGATATACAGTATGCAGAATTATTCGGATTAATAACCGTTTTGACATCTCATCTGATTTGAATTGAATATCAACTGATGGTCACAATTTTAATTGCTAATGCCGTACAAGGTTATCGACATTTCTGTCTGGCAAGGCGACATTGATTTCAACGCCGCTCGTGATCAATCTGGCGTCCAAGGCGTTATGATTCGCTGCGGATATGGTTCTTACAGCCCAGCCCAAATTGATGGACAATTCCACAACCACATGAGAGCTGCTATCGCTGCTAACATGCTCATTGGTGTTTACCACTATGGTTACGCTCAATCCGTTCCAGAAGCCGAAGGTGAAGCCGATTTCGCTATCAGTATTTTCGACCAGTACAGACAGTGGATCAGATTACCAATTGCTTACGATATCGAAGATCCAACAATGAACGTAGGAAGAGATTTGGTAGGTCAAATGGCGGCGGCGTTTGCGAATAAGATCAGGGCAGCAGGTTATACTCCAATGTGTTATTGCAACTTGAACTGGGCTACGAACTTCATTAACATGGATATTGTCAATGCTAATGGTATCGATGTTTGGATTGCACAATACAACTCAGAATGTCAGTATTGGGGTCCGTACGTTATGTGGCAGTTCACTGATTGCCTTCCAATCGGTGGCTATTATGCTGGTGTCGATGGCTCTTGGTGCTATAAGGATTACTAAACCAGCTAATTAAAATATCTAAGTTTTCAAACTTAATTTTTAAATATCTACCTTCTTACTTCCTATATTATCTTTTTTCATGATTATCAGGAACACATATATTTCATCATTTTTTGAATGTTGATTACATTTTGCTAATTTTACTATTATATCTCTATAGGTTGGCTATCTAGGATTTTGTACAAAATAATAATGTAATCTCCGTGATCATAACAATACTTGATGCAACAAGCAGCTTTTGCTTTAAATGACTCTGATCTTCTATTTGTTCTACATTAAGTTAAATATTTCCAAGCGTTCATGTTATTGGTTCTCAAAATTTCTTACTAAAAAAATTAATTCAAATAAATAGGAAGAAATCATTATTACAAACGTGCTTCATACAAACAGTATTACATACTTTGCATCATATTTGAGCGCAAACCCAATGATATAATTTTTTTTTCTGGATATATCTTTTCCAAGTGATAATATAAATATCTTGCTTTATTTCTATTAAATTGTATCTTTATTATCAATAATTTATATTTTTTTAATTTTTTTTTTATATTGCTGTTTCTATACCATGTATCAATATGAACAATAATATCTCTTAGATGTTTCTATTTCATATGGCTATATAATTTGCGTTTCTAAAAATATTATCAATTTAGAATTCTGTGCAACCATATTTTCGAAGAACATCTATAGCTTGATTGTTATAACGCTTTATAGCTTCTCCTAGTGGTGTTTTGTTCCCTTGGTTCTTCGCATTCTTTTTAATTGTTGGTTGTTTACATAAAAATTCGCAAATTTCAGGCTTATTCCATATAGCAGCAATATGCAAAGGAGTATTATCATAGTTATCTAAATCATTCACATCTATAAATACTATAGCGTACTTTACACCTTCTAAACATCCGCAGCTACAAAAATTATGAAGAATTGTTGAGGAAAAATTACCTCTAACTAATGCATCTGCCCCATGTTTGCAAAGAAGTTTAACTAAGTTAAAGTTACCTTTTTGCGCAGCTTGTAGTATCATATTATAACCAAACTCTGGTTGACGAACTTCAGAATAATTTTCATCAACAGAAACTTTAATTGTTTGTTCATCCCCTTGAGCAGCTGCATTTTCAAGTATCTCATAGATTTTCAAATGGTTTTGTTCTGCTTTTCGTAAACTTCGAAGCATTATTGTATTATTATTTGTAATTTTATTTTGTATATTTTTCTGAGGTGGTGTAAACGAATCATGATTGATTTGTATGAATGCTTTGATATCCGAAAGGAATTGGAAGTTTAAAACTTTCGATAAAAATTCCAATACTTTTGTAATATTTGAAAATTCAGAACCGAAATCAATATGCACATGCTGTAGTATCTTAAACATATCATCACTTGTGAAGAATTCATGAACATTCTTAACAATTTCGAAAAAATAATTAATTCCAAGACTTGTGTTATCTAAAATGCAACATATTTGATCTGTAGTTCGCAGATCGTAAAATGTCCTATCATTTATCCATTCATCGATCCTGTCAGCATAGTACTTATAATCAATAGTCATTCTTAAAATTTGGTCGTAAAGAAAAACAAAAATCAAGATTTTGCAAAATTTAATCTTTGTTTGGAGTACTTTGTTTTTATGAATTTTTCAATTTTGAGTTAATAAAAAGTAGCCGTCAATTTTTTTCATAAAATTCCCAGCGTAAAAGAGGAAATCTTCAAACAAATCTTATTAAACTATGAAGATGATTATTGAAAGAAAAATTACCACAATGGAATACCGATCGGTAATTTCGACAGTTTAGAATTTAAAATTTTTTATGGAACTGTTGCGAGTTTCATAAAGAATTTAAGGAATATAAGCAAAGATTTGAATCAAAATCTTAGACCTAAGCCGATCGCTTCGCTCGCGGCTTCCGCGAATTACAGATCAGCAAAGATTTGAATCAAAATCTTCGAACTAAGCCGATCGCTTCGCTCGCGGCTTTCTTTATTATTTTAAATTTGCATATTTCCATCAAAAGTTCATAAGGTAAAAAATTTCGTTTATTTTTACTAAGAAAAAAAAGGTTTTTGATAATAAATTTATTTTATTTCGAAAAAGTAGCAATAATCGTAAAAGGGTATTGATAGGCTTGCTAAAGTAACTAATTTTAGCTGTCAAATACTTTTGTATTTTGAAGTAAATTAGTATAAATTTGTTTTTACTTTTATTTCGAAAAAGTAGCAATAATCGTAAAAGGGTATTGATAGGCTTGCTAAAGTAACTAATTTTAGCTGTCAAATACTTTTGTATTTTGAAGTAAATTAGTATAAATTTGTTTTTACTTTTATTTCGAAAAAGTAGCAATAATCGTAAAAGGGTATTGATAGGCTTGCTAAAGTAACTAATTTTAGCTGTCAAATACTTTTGTATTTTGAAGTAAATTAGTATAAATTTGATATTATTTTAACTCCCTTTGAAAACCTCAATTTTCCATACAGAGGGAACGGGAATAGCATCCAATATTCCCTGAGAATGGTTGCGCATTCTCAGTTCCCTCTATATTTCGAACGAAGCTCTCATCGGTCTTTTTTTTAATACTAAACGTTTTTTTCCCCTGTCACTTTTAGCTAAAATTTGGGTTTGCCCGTAAAAGAGCTTTCACAATCAGAAAAAACATAATTATTGCAATGTTCAACGCAATTATTTATAAATCGTCATCGATGATTTCTAAAGAAATCAAATTTGAAAGATTTCAAAGCAAATGGATTTTGTGATGGAATTAATGTTAGGCGAATTTAGAGAATAACCTGCATATAATTTATATCAAGATTTTTTTATGAGAAGTCGTTTTTTTTATTTCTGTTATGATTTTAGTTATTGAAAGTCGTTTTATTTTGTCGAAGTAAATAAAAGAGGAATTAAAATAAAATTCTAACGTTTCGAGTAACTTAGCTATACTTTTACTTTGAAATCCAAAAATCTCATAAATAATTTATGATTTCTAATAAAAATTAAGATTATACATTGAAACTAATATACCAAAAAGTCCATTAGACAAAATACTAATCTCCAAAAGAGAGTCGTTGTATATCCTCGTGAAAAAAAAATCGACTTTTTTTTGAGAAGTAGTAAAAATTTTTGTTGATGCTGTAAAACCATAAGAAAGATCTAAAATAGAACACGACGAGTTTTGTCCACATAAATTTTGATATACTTTTATGGTGTATGTTATTTTACATTTAATATTGATATTTACCAAAAATCATATCTGATCTACTGATTTTTCACTGATATAAACCATTTTACTTTCAAAATATGCTATTACATAGAAATATATTGTATGTTATACTTGATATTTCAGCCAAAAGTCTGTTTATAAATTCAGAATATTAATCCACTTTTATTGAGAAGGAAAACATAGAAACATCCTTTAATTAAGAACTACACCAATGTGGCAGTCTTGATATTTTCTACATTTCTGAGTTTTGCAGATCAAGATTTAATTGCAAAAGGAAACAGAATTAATACTATGAATTTAATATAAAATCTAGGGGTACCTATTTGCTCATCATAAATACGAAGATTTAGTAGATGTTGATCCAAATTTTTGATTTTTGTTCAAAATAATGAGTTTTGAACTTATTAACTAATTAAGTACGCTTTAAAATCAGCTCCAATCAATTCTTTTTAAAATAAATACCGCTTTATTGATTAGAGTTATTATTGCTAAATCTTTCAACTTACAATGATAACAAAGGAGGTGGCAGAGCGCTTGTTTAAAAATATTCTAGAATCAAAAGATACACTGAATAACATATTCCAAGCGTTTCAAAAAGAGTTTGATATTAATTTGCAATATCAAATTCTTCATTTGCTATCAATATTATTGCAAAATGGTGTTCTCTCGCACGAATCGAAATTAGTTACACTATACTTAATGATTTCGACGTTTCCAGGCCCAGCTGTTTCAAATCCATATTACAGTTTATTTATATTCCTTTACGAATCACGATTTGAGTCACCAAATGAATTCCCTCCGAATTTTATACGTATTCTTGAGAATGTACTATGCGGGAATCCCCTTGAAATTGGAGATAATTCAGTAAATGAAGTGTTTGGTCTCTCAGTTGTAGCTGAGCAACCCAAATATCAAGCTAAATCTGATATAAAACCATCAATTATTCATGTCGATAATCAGGTTAAAGATGATCCAAATGCAATTTCTTACCATGACCTTATTATAATACTCCTTACAGAAGTAGACTTACAACAAGTATATACTCCACCACGAATCTCAGATTCTCCAGAATTATTCCCTTATTCCCTTGAAGAAGCTCAACAATTTGATACATATACACTCCCAATGAATTGTTTCTTATATGACGACCCAAAACAGTACGGAAATATACTATTTAAAAGATCACACGAGCAGAAACTAACAGACGAAGAATCTCATGACTTAGTTTTGATTATTTCAGCTTCTCCGGAAGTTCTAAGGAACATTGATGATAAGCAATTATCATTTATGATCGATAACAACCCAAATGTTGCTAAGAAATACATCGAAATTTGGTCAAAAAAGAAACCTCAAATTTTTGACACCATTGCAAGCCTTCCTATCTCATTAAGTGAAATCGAAATAGTGAAGTTTTGCTCTACATTACCGAATATTACTCAAAAATTCGTTGATAAATGGATTACCAACGGAATGAAGACAATTGACACCGAAAATGAGAATTCTCTGATGGCTGAAGCAAGAATGTTTTGCCGCTTGACCTCATTCATCATACAGGAGAATGCAAATCAGATCGGACAAACAGTTAAAATGGATCTTAAATCTTTTTGCTTAATACTATGCAGCAAAGGCCTCGCCGAAGCTCAAGAGCTTTTTGAAAGGCTCTAATATATTATAATATGTATAATAAACATATGCTGTCCTTAATTCATTTTTTGGTATTTTTTTTTTATTTAACAAATTATCGAAAAAATTTGTTTCATTTTATTGTCTTTCCTTATAATACATATCATATAAAGATATTAGCTATAAAATACAAAATGATATATGAATTTACCAAAAAGTTTATTGTTTCATTGAAACAGGCTCTTTTTATTTCATAGACAGAGCTTGGTATCATTTTATTCCCTATGAAAACCATGTAAATATGACATTATCTTTATCATGATTAACTTATTAGATATAATTTAAGGAGAAGACCATGACAACACATGAAGTAAGGCATATACATTCAAAACTTGCTCATTTAATTGAGAATTAAATCGACAACATAGCGATTCATATAAACAAATCTTCATAATAATACATTATTATTCCAGATATTGTTTGATATAGCCAATTTTATGATTGTATCAAAATCAAGGAGCCAAATCATGAAGTATTAATTTTTTATAGAAGAAATTTTGAAGTATCTCCAAAATGATAAGGGATTTCACTGCAATATTATTGAATTCCTAATATTAATAGGGAATAAGCTCTATATTAACTATTCCTTCCGATATAACTGCATTCACAATTATCACGATTGTATTGGAGGATCATAAAAACGATATGTAAATCAGTCAAAAAGAACCTTATTATAAATCAGTTTATTGCCCTCTATGCTCTTATCCTAAAGGTGACTTTCTGAGGGTGCTCCATTGAATCAATGGCCCTACTATCCAATTGTTATCAATTAAAAGCTTAGATTCGAAATAATAGATAAATAAAATATGACTGATATATTAGAATCATCATATATTAACATTGGTAAGACTCTTCTAACTGTTGGCTTAGCCAAACCACATTTAATTATTTCATCTAAATGTGAGACAATTATTGATGGATCCAAAGATAGTTATTGCTTCAAGCCAGTAAGAACCACTATTGAACAGTTCTCATTCCAAGATAATCCAAAACTCACTTCAATTGGTAGTTATTCCTTTTATAATTGCACAAACCTCAAAAGTATTGATTTGTCAAAATGCACAGAATTGATTATTTTAGGACAGTATGCATTTGCTAAGTGTAACGCAGTCACAACTATTATTCTTCCAGAAGAATTGCGAACAATTTCAAGCTATTCTATTTCTGAACTTTCAATAACTTCAATAAATATTCCTTCTACAGTAACAAAGATCGAAATATTCGGAATTTGTTATATTGGATCACTTCATACAATTACGTTCAGTAAAGGATCCCAGCTTAAAGAGCTCGTTTTCAATGCTTTTCTAGTTACAAAGTTCACAAGTTTCGAAGTTCCAGAGAATATTACTAAGATTAGTGGTGTTGCATTTAGTGGAGTGGGAACAATGACAAGCATCCGTGTTAATCCATTGAACCAAAATTTTTGGAGCGATACCAAAGCAGTTTACGATAGTACTAAAACAACAATTATCTATTGTGCTTCTGTTATTGGAGATTCATATGAAATTTTACCTACTGTTACAAAAATCAATGAAGGATGCTTTACGGGATCTCGACTTAAAACTATAAATATTCCGCCAGCAGTAACAGTAATTCAGCAATATGCATTCAGTTGCCAATACTTGCAGAATATTCAATTGCCACCAAACCTTACTGGAATTCCTAATAATTGTTTTACAGGTACTGCTCTAACATCTGTTATAATCCCAGATAAAGTTACATGGATTGGTTCTAGTGCTTTTTCAAATTGTTATTCACTAACTTATATTTATGTTCCAGAAAGTGTCACTTCTCTAGGAGGATCCTGTTTTCCATCAAACAAAAAGCTATTCATCAACATATCTGAAAAATCAAAGTATAACATAGATAAACAGTTAATTGTCCTCACTAAAGACAACACTTCCATTACTCAATCATTAAGTTCTGAAGCCAACATTAAAATTCCGTCAAAAGTAAGAATAATAAAGGCCGCTGCTTTTGCTAAAAGTCAAAGCTTAACAACTATTTCATTTGATGAAGATACAGAACTCAACGAAATAGAAAATGGAGCCTTTGAAGATTGCACTAAACTTACGAGTTTTTATTTTGGTTCAAAATTACAAACAATTAATGCAAAAGCATTTAAGAATTGTCCTCTTTCAATGTCTTTAAGTTTTTCAAATAAATTGGTCAAAATTGGAATTTCAGCATTTACAAACACCAAATTAACATCACTCACATTTAATTCTGCTTCAGATATAATAATTGAAGATAATGCATTTTCAAACTGTATATTGATTCAACAAATATTATTTATCTGTACGGGAACAATTTCATTAGGAATGAATTGCTTTGGTGGATTAACTGCACTTCAATCTATCCAAATTCCAGGAAATATCATCTCAGTTGGAACTAGTTGCTTCTCGAGATGTTCTATTAGATTAGTCACATTTGATCAAAATCGAATTTCTTTCTCTTCACTTCCTGCATTAATTTTCAAAGATTGTGATGCATGTCACTTGATGCAGAATGTCTCAGTAACACAGGTATCACAGATATTGAGATACCCGATAGTGTAAAATATTTGAGTACACAATGTTTCAAAGACTGTGCAAGTCTCAAATCAATTACTATCAAGTCAACAAGTAATCTCGAACGAATTGATGTTGGAGTATTTGATGGATGTTATAAATTCAGCAATGTTAGTTCATTTGATTCCAGAAACTTTATGAGTGAGACCGGTGCTATTTACAGTCACGACAAACGCAATATGTATGTTTATCCACCTGCATCAACAAGAGTATACTTTATTCTTCTCGAAGGTGTAGAGCGTATTGAGAATGGTGCGTTCTCTAGTTGTTCAAATCTAGAAGTCGTTACAATTCCAGATGGAAACATCAAATACATTGGTGAGAATGCATTCAGAGGATGCATAAATCTCAAGCAGATTACCCTTCCTTCATCAATAAATACTATTGGTGCAGGTGCTTTCACATACTGTCCTTTGCTTTCATGCGGTGTAATTATTCAAAAGTCTACTTCAGCATTTGTACAAATGGTGCAACAAGCAGGACTTGATTTGAGGTCTCAACTCCACTGTTCTCAATTTTCATGCAAACAAAATTCTATATACTCATTTAGTCTTCCAATGTCTTCCTATATTGTTTTTATTTTAATGTAAAAATGAATGATGTTAAGGATTATATCATTAAAAGTTTTAACCATATACATATAATACTAAATTCAGAAAATTTATATAGTTTTTGTCTCTGCTATTATAAACTCCAAATTATCATTGTTCAATGGATTTATTACCTGCCCCACTAAACTTGACACATTCTACAACTTTTCATTGAAATATCATCAGCATATGAGATCATTTTTATGAATTATTTTTCTGATTGAGATTTGTGGTTAACTATAAGCATATTTATTTTTATAAAGTTATTGGATATTCATAATAGTACATTATTATTCCAGATATTGTTTAATTTGGCAAAATCTTTTGATTTTAAGTTCTTTATTAAAAAAGTATATTGAATATTATAAGAATATTTATTTTATAATTTATAAAGTTATTGAATATTCATAATAGTACATTATTATTCCAAATATTGTTGAATTTAGCCAAATCTTTTGATTTTTAGTTCTTCATTAAACTATTTTTCCTATGTAAAGTCTCCTAATCGTTTTCCTTCCTCAATATTGAGTGAATTTCTTTCAAAAATTTAAGAGACTTTACGAGGGAAAAGGAGTTTAAAAAAAAGTAGATTGAATATTATAAGAATATTTATTTTATATTTATAAAGTTATTGGATATTCATATCTGACCAAATATGGTAATCGTAATCAGATTCTTCTGGCATTGTATGATCGTAAGAAGCAACGCAGCCGAAATCAAAATCTTTATTAACTTTACCGCAGCAATCGTACTCAATTTGAACGATATCCTTTATTTCGCCGTCCATTTCAATTTGAGTTATTCTTTCCATGACTTGTTCACCTGTTTTCGGATCTTTGAAAGCAACTCTTGATCCTCTGTGTTGTCCCTTAGGGCAGGAGTGAACAATATGGCAGGATTGGCAATTACACTCTGGGCACTCGAAATAAGCAATTTTATTGTAAACAGCTTCAATATCATGTTCGAACTGGTCCTTAATTTCCTTAATCTCCTTGATACTTGAAGAAAGAGGATACATATAAATTGCAAAATCTGTAGTACCTTCAGATCTTGTTGCTGGCTTTTCCTCGAACCTAAGAGATGTAATGTCTTTCGAAGAACTAACGAATTTTCCGATTTTTTGTTGTTTTGTCATCAAAATAATATAATTCTTGGATTCGTTGGACTTTTTGACATCTGCTTGCTTGTATACACCACTTAAGACTTGTTTGAACGTAGCTGTGGTCATAGGTGTAAGATCTTTATAAGGTTTAAATGTTCTATTCAAAACTGTCATAAATCTGTCATGAATCTGCTTTGCATCGATGTCCATGTAGTTAGTAAATGTTACTTGAACACTTTGGCCGTTAGCTTCAAAGGCAACTGGCAAAATTGCTGGAAGTAATAAATTATAAACAGTTTTTCTTTGCTGAAAATCTTTTTCGAGATAGCCTTCTTCATTTTGGGTCTGGTTCATGGCCAAACATTCAATTAGGAAAACAGCACATGGAAAAGCAATTTCTGTAGCAAATTCTGTAAATGATTCAGGGGAAGGTATCTTATCCATTTCGTTTCTGCATAAATTGGTCTGTAAATCATCTTGAACATCTGCGGGAAGGTTATAAGATTGATCTAAATCAATAAGAGGATCTGTAAGGGTATAGCCGTATTCTAAAGCAAGTTGTGCAAATGTATACATGTTTTTGATTCTATCAAGCTTGAATGTTTCGTTAATGGCTCTGAAAAATTTTCTTTCTGGTTTATCTGTTGGCATTGGGCCTTCTGGAGTAATATTACGTAAAGATATTTTGCCAAACATGAGTTGCTTGCTGTAATCGTTCCTTTTGGTAAAAGAAACGTAAGCAGAAAATTGAAAATCGTTACTTCTGAAAATTATCTTGTTGCATTCCTCTGGTGATAAGTATCCGAAGACAATATACAATATTTGTGCTACATCAGGAGAAGTAGTTAATTCTGCTGAAGTTTTATCAGGATTTGAAAATTCAAACTTGTATTTAGAGATCAAATCATCTTCAGCTGTCTTAATTTGAATAGCGCCTTTCCTTTCAATGACATGGCCACCCAATGTTTTGACGATTGGTTTATCTTTTTTTTCTTCGTTTAATTCTTGGCTAAAATAGATATTATTAACTTCATCTGGGAGATTTAATGTCTCCTTAACCCATTTGATGATAGGTTGATCATTAATTATTGCGTTATCTCCAAAAATTTGTGTATCATTAGACATCTCTGTTGATTGTAGTCAATTTACATATCGTTCATAATTTTTTCTCTTTTAATTATGAATAAATCAACATTCTAAATATTATTCTTTGATAATCCAATTATCGTCCATATCAAATTTTGTAGACTTCACAATTCATATTTGTTTGAAGAAGGAGAAACTCCCCTTGATAGGGGAGGAGGAAAAAATATTCATTGCTCAGGGCCATCATATGACATTTGGAATAGATTCTATAGTCCTTCAACTTATGATACAGTTGTTGAAAAAAGTCGAAAAGTCACTGAAAACACACATGTTTTTGTTGACTATATTCTTTTCGAAAACTTCAATCAAAACGGTGTTATACGAATCTCTAATCCAGCAGGTGACACAAAAGTTCTTGTTTCATCTTCTGTTTTTTATAAGTCATCCTCTCATGAAAATGGAGGATGTATATATCTTTCGCTTTCAAAATCTGGAGCAGGATCGTGCGTTCAATACAAAATCTGTAGTTATGATGCTAAAATACCATATAGAAATGTTTTAGGATCATTTTCATATGATTGGGTGACAGATGATGATAATCACAAAAATTATGCTATTGAATCTTCATTTACTCAAAATGAAGGAGCCAATGCTGTGCTGTACCTAAGAAGCGGATCCCTTCTATTTTCATCATTAAATATATTTATTTCAAATATTGAAATGAATGCTGCATTTGCTAGTTGGCAACCATCTTCTCTTTCAACAACAAATTTTAGTAATTTTGATAATCTTTCATATGATAAAAACTGCTATTGCCTTTTCTTCCCTTACGAAAATACTCAGAATTTCTATTCTTGTAATTTTATTAACAACAAAGTTTTATTTTACCATATGGGAATTTTCTGGCTTAAACATGTTATATTATCAGTAAAACAAAGTTTTTTCAAAGGAAACAAAGCTTATTATTTATTTATGGTTGATGATGAATCAGATTCACCAACATATTATGCATATGAATGCCATTTCGAATCAGATAATACTTTTACAAAAACCGGAAGTTTTATTAGAAATTCAAAGAAAATGACAAAAATCAATCTTTCGATAATATATTCTTCATTTATATGCGAACACCCATTTAGAAATAAAAAAGATTCAATTATCATTCCAAGTATTCCTATTTCTAACTTAATTTCAGATAAACCATATATCCCTCCTAAGTAAACAAATTAATTTCAAAGATTAAATCATTTTTTTAAATGTAACTTGAATGTTATAGCATTAATGAATGAGAATTGTGTTTTGATCTATATCTTAGTCACATTCTATTATTATATAGTTTTGAAAGTTAAGTCTGATTCTAGTCATCTTGAGAGGATAGATGCTTAAGAATATATTAGAGTGAATTTTGATCGTCTTTTTTTACTTTTTCCACTCTAGAATGATATGAATTATAAGTTAAAGTATCATTTTCAAACTTAAAATGAACATTTATTATTAATAACCAAGAGATCTTAAATATTCCTTAACTTTTCCTTTTGAATACTTGAGAGCCGTAGATCCTTGATTGTCACGTGCATTTTTATTAGCTCCACATTGTATCAAGAATTGGACAATTTCAAAATGATTATTCCATGATGCATACATTAATGCTATATTTCCTGCCTTATTCTTCGCTTCCTTATTTGCACCTTATGTATCAAGATATTGAACAACACAAAGTTTACCGTTTGAAGATGCATCAATGAGTAGAGTAAATCCTTCATTACTCCATGCTTCAAAATTTGCTGCAGCAGTAAGAAGGTATGTGACAACATCAAGATGACCTTTAAACGATGCCCATATTAGTGCAGTATTTTCATGTTGATCTTTGGCTTCTAAATCTGCTCTAATTGAGATCAAATAATGAACAACTTCCAGATGTCCTTCATATGAAGCATAAATGAGTGGAGTCATATGTTTGGCACCTCTGGAGCCTTTATCGAGTCCACAATTGGTAAGATATTGGACACGTAATAAATCTCCTGCGGCTTTGGCAATTAATAATAATAAAAATAATAAAAAATTGCTTTTTAATATTAATATATGATGATATACTACCATAAACCAAGGTAGCATGATGAAATGAGAAGAAAAGATGTGTGCGTTATCATTTCGTTCTTCATTTGTTTCTTAAAAATATCGACACCGACGAAGTTAGTTTCGATGATGTCACTGCAAATATTGGACGTCTTATGGAATGTAGGAGATCCACAGAACATGCTGTGTTGGTAATCGGATCCGACAATAACGTTCGTTCCTTGTTCGAAAGAAGGGTTGAACTGTGAGAAATCTCGAGAGCCGCAAAAGTAAACAATTCGGACTCCAGTATTCAAGAATGCAGAAGATCCAATGTATTTTACATGTGTACACAAACGAATAACACTTGGAACACTGGTTCTGATGAAAGATGAATTTCCGATGTATATAACATTTTCAGGAATTTTATTGATGTTAAAACAGTTTTTGAAAGCAAAATTTCCGATTCTTTCTACTGAACGCGGAATATTGAAAACGAGATTTTTACAGTCTGTAAATGCGTAATCTGAGATATTCACTATATTCTTGTTTATGATGATTGATTCTAGATTATTACAACCAAAGAATGTTCCAATAGGAATAGTGTAATATTCAGATTCTACAGACATTAATCTCTTTGAATAAATAAAACTTGTAGATTCAAATGGTGAGTTCAAGATTTGTTTTATATAAACATTTTTCAATGATGAACAATTCTTGAAAACATATGATGATAGAGAGACTTCGCAATCAAGATGGAATGACTCAATACTTGTGTTACAGAAAGCATATTCTTCGATATTTGAAACTGTAGTCCCTTCTCCGATGTTTATGAATCTGAGATTAAAATTTGTGAATGCATTTGTGCATATAGACTCTATTTCCAAGTTCGGTAATATGTTTACTGACTCAATTGATGGCGCACCTCCGAAACATAATGATGTAATCCGATTAAAAGAGTCTGGAATTGTATAGTTCGTCAGAGAAGTACAACCTGAGAATGCGGTTTCGCTCAGAGATGACATCTTTGAATGTAACTCGAATGTTAGGTTCGATAATGATTCGCAATTGATGAAAGCATCTTCTTTGATAGTTGTGCAGTTTGCAGGAATGTTAATTGTCTTAAGTTTCCTGCAGTTTGAAAATATTCTCACACCGAGAGCGTTGAGGGCGCAAAACTTACCGAATGTAAATGTCATCAATGATGTACAGTCAGCAAAAATTAATTCTGCATCTAAGTTCACGAGAGAGCAGTTTGGGAATGTAATAATTGTCAGGTTAGTGCACCCTGCAAAAGCATTTTGCTCAACTGCTCTCAATGATGTTGGTAGATCGACTCTAACGAGTGCAGTACAAGAGTAGAAAGTTCCATCTTCAATTGTCTCCAATTCACAGCCATCTTCGAATGTCAAGTCGCGAAGTTTACTACATCCATAGAATGCATTAGAGCCAATTACAATAATATAATTGTATATGAGAGCTGCTTCTTTTCCTCCTGGACAACAAATAAGTTTTAGTCTGTTGATAGTGTATACAATTCCATCTCTACTTGTATAGTATTGGTTTTCAGATGGGACATTAATACTCACTAAACTTGAACAAAATGCGAATGCAGATGGTTCAAAAGATGAAACAGTCAATGGAATTGTGATTGTTGGTAATGATGTGCATGATTTGAACACTCCACCACCAAGGGATGGTAAATTTGTTTCAGCTGCAAATGTGACTGATTTCAAACTTTGACAATACTGGAAAGAATTCACACCAAGAAATGTCAGCGTTTTTGGGAATGATATTGAAGTAATTGCTGAATATTGAAAAGCCAAATCTATAATTTTGCTTAATTTGGAATCAGAAGGAATTACAAAAGTTGTCATTGAATCTGTATTAGAAAAACAACTGTCACATAATTGAATTACATTTTTAGGTAACGTAAAACTTTTTAATTTTTTACATCTATTAAATGTTTGATCTTCTATTGATGATAATGGACAATTCGGATCGAATATCACTGTTTCTAATTCCTTTGCTTCTAGGAATGTATATTTTTCAAGAGTTTCAAGATTTTTACCAAAATGAACTTCTTTCAAACTACTATAAGTAAATGACCATTCTTTAATTGTTTTTGGTCCGTTGCCATTAAATGTTATATATTCTACTATTGATTCATAAAAGCAGTGGCTACCAAAAGCCAAAACAGATGCAGGAATATCTATTCTCTAGAAACACGTTCCATAAAATGAATATACTTCTAATTCAGTCAATCCCGGATTCAATGTTATTGTTTTCAGGTTTTTACACTTGAAAAAACAATAAGAATCAATTTTAATGCATTCATATCTGATTGATACTGATGTTGCTTCACCAATGCATGATAGAGCTCTCGTATAACCTTTGCTGTAAACAATTCCACCGTTTGTATCAAAATTAGTGTTTGATGATTCAACATTTATATTTGTCAACGATGGACATGATTGAAACATTGTTGGTCCGAATTTGCCAACTGTTGACGGTATTGTAAAACTTGTTGATGAAGTAGGAATAAATAATATCACTGATTCATCTTTTGTCATGATAGACAAGAATTTTGATTTATAGACCATATTGTTTGGGTCAATTTCTATTGTTTGAATACTTGTTGTACAAGCAAAGGCTTGAATATCAATATTTGTTAATGAAGCTGGTATATAAACATATGTTATGAAATCATCAAGGTAAAATATATTACTTCCGATCGATGTGCATTTTGGAGGAATGATAAACCTTGAAATTTTAGTATTATAAAATGCCATACCTCCAATAGAGTTCAACAGAGATCCTTGTTCAAATTCAATGGTTTCTAATTTGCTATCTTGCGCAAACGCTTGATAAGCAAATGTTTTAACATTTTTTGAAACAAAAACATATTGGAGATTCCTCAACCATTGCCAATATGAAATTTCTTCCAATTTGCAGCCGGGTTCCATGACAATTCTAGAAAATTTACATTGAATAAATATATTGTCATGCGCTCTTTCAATATTTTTAGAAATTGTAAATGTTCCATTAATTTTGCACTCGAAAAATGCATATTTACCAATTATTGTAGTTTCTGGCGGGAATTCAAATGATTCGAGAATACATGGTGCTCTTATTATTTGATTTTTTCCTTTGAAATATAAAGCGCCATATCTATCGAGTTCTAAATATTTACTACCGTTTGGAAGATAAATATGAGCTAATACATAACAATAGTACAAATCATATCCTGTCATTGAGGTTAAAGTCGATGGTAAGTAAATATTTTTTAGTGAAGCAAAGTAGTAGAATGTTCCACTTTCTAATTCTGTGCACCCTTCTCCAAGATGAATAATTGTAATCGAGTTACGATCACATTTTTGTTTAACCAAATCCGCAGTAAGTCTTCCACTGCCTTTGATATATAGTGTTGTTCTTTTGGTCTCGAAAGTGAATGCATAGGATAGATATAATAATAAAAATATCATTAATTTCTTTGAAAAATATCAAGTCAATCGAAAAGAAAATTATAAACTATGATAAGATCTGAATATTCTGATAATTTGAGAGAAATTTTGTTATGATATAACTCGATCCTATTGAAAATTTCGATTGTTTGAGAAAAATTATTTTGATTATAATGAACGTAGAATCTTATTAAATTGTTTACATATACTGGAATAGTTTGAAATCGAAACTTATATACATGAAAGAACCCGGAAATCAATTTAATCAAAATGTTATGAACTTTATTTTAAGAATAATGATGTCATTTTGTGAAAAATGTCTATGCTAACATCGACTTTTATTAATACGAGTGAAAAATTAGAATTAGAATCGATTACAAGAAAAATGTTATAAATGGCAATGATAATTTTAATAAAAGTGACACCATATGGAAGAAGATCAAAAATGTAATCTTTATTTGTATACTAGAATTAACGGATAGATAGACATCACCTCGCTCACTTCATTTTTCTTTTAAAACAAATAAATAGCACCAAAATATAACACTTCATCAATTGTTTCGAACATAAAAGTAAAAATAGTTTAAATAGTTTACGGATGCCAATTATTAGGCATGCAAATCTGGAAACTAATTAGTATTTATTTAAAAACAGAATATAATTAGATTTGGACCTTGCCATATAAATTTTGGATTTTAACGATAGCATTCGCTTGGCCGGACAGTGGACAATTGAAATTTTTCTGAAATCTCATAACTGAGTCGTAAAAAATCTAAAATTTTATTTCTTCTTTGGCATGAACATAAACCGAAACACATAGTGGAATTATTTTCTTTGATGGAAATAAAAATTCAAAATAACGTTTATTTCATTTTTGAATTATGCTAGTTGCATTATTTTCTTTAGCAATTGAAAATTTTTATCACTTCCCTAATTGCTCAAACATTATGCATGACGAGCTCTCATATGAAGTGAAATTTGCAGAAATAACAATTGCGGCAGGTGCATGCAGAGAACTCAGTGATTATTCATTTATTATTGCCAGTGAATCTGACTTTGTTGTTGATTTCTACAAGATTACAGAAGAAGATGGTCCACCAAAGGTTATCACAACAAAAAAGAATCCTTTTATCATCAACAATCCAACAGGGGATTCTGAGTTTAGATTTACTTCAACAATAAAATGCGCCGATAGTAGTAAAGAATGCAAAGTACAAATATTTGCAGATCCAATGTCATCTGTTGAAAGTAGTAATGAAGAAGAATCGCCCCACATTAAACTTTATATAACTTCAGCAAAGGAAGGAAAAATCGAATTTGATCGTCAAAATGATACACTTTTAATAGTCAATTTCTTAACGAATAATACATATAAAATAGTGAGTGAATCAAATTATAAAATTTATATTGGTGAAGGAAATTATGTTACGGATAGTCAATTAATTAATACTGGTGAGCACACTCTTACTGGAATTAAGAACATATTTACCTTACCACACGAGGATGCACCGGAGAACTTCGAACCACCATTTAAGACCACAATAACATACGAAACAACCAAAGAAGCTAATAATAAATTATTGTTCCCTGAGTTTGCTGGTTGGATCCCTCAAGAAGCAAATGTTTTCACACTTGATGATCTCAAAAATGAAGCAACTCCCAGCTCACCTACACCTACACCCACATCTTCCAAAAAACTTTCAGGTGGAGCAATCGCAGGTATTGTAATTGGTTGTGTTGCAGTTGTTGGTGCTGTCACCGGTGTTTGCATTTGGCTATTTGTATGCAAGGGAGCATCAAAGGTTGCAGCAGCAGAAGCTACTCCATAAAAAAAACTTTTATGTTTTCAAATTGGCACCATTATTTAAGCATTTTTTTTAAATTGCAATAAATGCTTACATTTAACAAATTTGATGTATTTTTTTTGTCAATAATTATTGAGTTTTTAGATAAAAATGAATTATTATTGTTTATCCATGGAAACCAAGATTCATCTGTGATGCAACAGAAGAAATATAATTCTTCAAATTTTTTGTTTGAATCTGGATAATATCAATGAGTAGAGTGTATATCATTTATTACTCTGAGTTTCAATATTTGATCAAACATAAAGGAGATAAATGAACCCAAAGATCAAATTCGAATATTCTCTGGCTTCACATCTGCTCTAACATAGATTTTTTAGATATCTATATGTTTGAATTTAAAATTATACTTATGACTTAGTTATTAAGGGTGCACTTACCACTTTCTGACATGCTCCAATAATATCAATATATCTTTATTGTGATTGCAAAAAAGGATAACAGTAATATAAGGTACTAAGAAGTGATTTAAAATAACTTCTTCCCGAACTAAGTTAATGACTTTTTACATTAGAAAATTTGGTTAAGGGTGCACAAGGAGGATTACGGTTTTTTAATCCTCCTTTTTTTCGAAAAAAAATCCTTGTACTTTGGGTACTTCGAAACATGAAAAAAAGCGAAAAAATGAACATTAGTCCAAACACATTCATTCATTAAGTACTTGCTTCCCTTTCATTCACAGCTTCTAAATTCAAAATTTATACCAAATTAAAATTATTATTTCGAATTTACAGCAATTAATTTCAAACAGATCAGTTATTGTAAATTTCAAACCCACACTATGATTTTCGTTTTATTAATTGCGAAATTTCAAACAATTGTCTCCTACCAGCTTTGTTATATGATTTGTATTCAGACATTAATAGATTGTTGTGTTACTAAACAAATAACTTTTAATTACTTTTTTTTTTATTTTTTTTTATTCATTGGAAGAATGAAGATTTACCTTTCTCAATTTATGTACAAATTCATAATTTGAGGATTTTATGAGTTTTAGGAGAATTTGGCAGAAATAAGAAATATTATTTCAATTGCATCAATTTTTGCCAAAAATAATATAGAACATCTAACATATGCCATTGATATAATCTGTCATATGATTTTGAAGACTAAATCTTCACTTTTTAAAATTTTTGGGCGCGTAAAGGGTTGGCGTCGAGTAGGTGACAAAAGTGCATACTCTTAAACAACCGTCGGATTTCCGGGTGAAATCGTGACACACTTTCGTCTTTCGTAGGCAGTGGTGGTTGTTACAAAAGGTAACTTCGAATGTAGCGTGAAATCTGCAAAAAAAAATTCTGAAATTTGAATGGAGAACACAAAAATTGAATAGTTTACGTCAATAAAAAGGAGAAAAATGAAGCCAATGTGTCTCGAACCTAGGACTTGGAGCAGCAATCCCACTGTTTATCACATTACACTACATGCATCTCTCACCTCAGTGAATGAGATCAACTATATGATAACTTTTTCCCCATTATATTCTTGTGGAAAAGTGACAAATAGCAACTTTGACCCTCTCTCGGTTGGCGTCCTAAGGCGTCCTGATGTAAACTATTCAATTTTTGAGAAGTTTACACCATAATTGAATAGTTTATGGCGTCCTGAGAGGAGATTTCAATGGGTATGGCGTCCTAAAAAATAGAAGAAAATGATTTTTTCTCGATTTTTCTAGAAATTGAATTTTTTAAAAAAGAAAAAAATCAAAACGTATACATTCAAGAAAGACTATAAATGAAGATTTTTCTATTTTTTTCATTCTAAAACATCTTTTTTTGGATAATTTTTTTTAATAAATATGTCAGAAAGATTGAAGAAAAAGTAAATTTACTTTAAGAAAATTCGTTTTACATGATGTAAGACCCATAACAACTATAAATATTCAATTATTTAAAATAAAAAAAGAAAAACAGATTAAATGTATCTCACATCAAAATCCATTGATCTAAGGATGTTAAGTTTCTGTTTTTAAAAGTTGATATTTTTTTTTTAATTTTAAGAAAATTAATAGCATGTTATTAGACAATAGGAGTGTAATGATATTGACTAAACAGAAATGAGAGAATAGAGATATAATTTTGATAAGCAATATTGCGAACAAATTCTGAAGTAAAATCGCGATCAATAATTGAAAATTACGATCATGTACTGAAAAATGACGATCGAATTGAATGAATAGAATTATATCTAAGAAAAAATAAATTGTATTTAGAAGATGAACAAAGAAAGGTGTATGCTAAAAATCATTTAACAATAAATGGAAATAAAACGAAATTGTTAAAAGAAAAAAATGAAAATTGTTAAATAATATATTATTTTTTAGTCATAAGAATAAAAATATAGTAGTTATAAAAGGAATTAGACTTCATATATCAATTCTTTTTCTCTGTAGATGTGGAACGTTTGCTTTTCGATCTCTTTCGATGAACTTGAAAATATAAGTTATTATCGCTGAGAATCCTTTCCGAAATAGGAGCTTTACGTTTAGGAGGATTGTCGGATGAATTTTGTTTTTTATTGTTTGATTTTGTTGTTATGGAAGATTTTTTCTTATTTTTTTCAGAATTTTGCTTGCTATTAACTGAAACTTGTTTTGACGGCCCAACAATAGCATTTGTAGTAGGAAGAATTCCCAATAACGAGCGCATTTTCGATAATTGTTTTTCAATATGATCAAGAAGGTCCAGCTTATGTTCTAGATTACTAGACATTTGATTTGTAGAAGGATGGTTTTGATTTTCTGGTTCTAAATCTGTAGAGTCTGCAATATTTGAATTTTCGGAGCGAATTGGAGCATCTGAACCTTGATTTGTATCGGCTTGCTCAAAATTAGTTTGAATTGGAGTGGATGAATTAAAATCTGGATGATTTAATGTTTCATTAAATAATGCCATAATTTTTTCTCTTTTTTCATTAATAAACTTAGTGATCATTGTATCTTTATCTGTTAGATCGATCGATTTGAGTATATCTGCATCATGAACTGGAATATTTTCGAACAATGAACTCGATTCTATGGAACCATATGGAGAAATCTCGTTCTGAGCCAAAGAAAGATCACTTACGTTGTATTGTTTGATAGAAAAAATTGTTTTCTCAAGTTCTTTTTGAAAGCAGTCAAGAATATAATTTTTGTAGCTATCAGTGATAACGGTTTTTATATGGCGCTCGATCTTCTGGTTATTTTTGATGGCGTTATATTTATCTAATTGGATTTGAGATATCTTCTTAATAGCTTCATAAATGTTTGGATGTTTTAACGAAGAAAATTCTGAATGCATACTCTCGAGGCAATCATTAGTGAATATTGCAGTTGCATTATTATATTGAGATATTAAATTGTAGTGCGGCAACCAAACTTTGTTGAAATAATCAATATAATCTTTGATCGAATCAACTTTATTTTGATTAATTATATGCATTGTAAGTACAAATTCTTCATGAGACATGAATGGAGTAATAGAATATAGCTTAAATAAAGAATTTTGTAAAGTATTGAAATTTTTTGTATAAAGTGCTACAAGTTTCCTGTGTAAAGCTTGTTTGAAATGAAATAGGCATCCAATTATACGGACTTTAGGGAAAATTTGTTGAAGTGCCTCTATCATTCCCTTTTCAAAATCACAATGAATTTGAATTAGCTTTGAAAATTGAATACCCTTGACAGTAAAAATATATTCAAATGCCTTCTTATAAGATTCAAATGTGCGGTTTTTCATGAATATAAATAAAAGTGGTAGATATTGATTTGTTGAAGGTTCACAAATCATAATTGTTAGCATCTGTCCTTTTTGAAAATGTTTTGGTGTAATTTTAAAAGTTCCATCGCAAAATAAATCTGTGGCTTCTTTTGCAAATTGAATTGCCTTCTCAAAACCAAAAAACATCGTCTCACAATTTGCTTGAAAATCATGGCCAATGAAAAACTGCTCGCCATTTATTAAACAAAAATTAGCAATTTCATCGTCTGTAATTTTTTCTCCAACAGAAAATTTTCTGGACTTATTATAAACTTCCCTGACCAATGAATCTTTAATTAATGGGTTTTCATCAGTACCAACAGCAAGTTCTGTCATAAATTTTTTAATCTGCTGAAAAGTGCCGTTGTCTTCAGAAAATTTTGCCATTGCCTTATTGTATATTTCTGTCAGAGTCATTGATTTATGAAGATCATTTTTTTCATTTTGTAACTTTTTAAATTGTCTGCATTCGGGTATATGTTCCTTTTGTAAATCTTCGGAAACTGAACTGTTCTCAATTTTAACTAAATAACGTGCTTGACAAGAATGATTGATGCAACGGTAGTAACGTTCAATATTATTTGAATTAATAATATTTGTATGATCATGCGAATAAAGCATATCTTTGCGAACAATTGTATCAGGATATTTTCCAGTAACTGCGGGAATATTTTTAACTGCAATATAACTAAAATATCTTCTGACAGCTTTAGATTCATTTTCGTGGTATTTAATATTAAAATATTGAAGAACTTGTTTGATTATATTCGTTTTTTCATCTCTCGATGTTGATTTTTGGTATTTATCAGATTGTTCCCTGATAAATATTTTATTTTCGTCTGTAAAGTTTGCTCTTTTTTGATTAAATATATATGATTTTCCCATTAAAAAATGAAATGATGCAAAATTTACGAAAACCGTTCGAAAATTGAATCAAAAATGAAAAGTAATACTTAAATAAGTAATTCTTTGAGATATTGGTCTTAGATTGAATAAAAACTTAATATCAGGATCTAGTACTCAATGTCTATAGATAGCAGAAAATTACTGAAAAATCACAAATATTTAAATAAATTCAAACATTTAATAATTGAAATTAAATCATTCTGATGTCAAGAGTTGAATAACATCTCGAGGTCTTCGATCAGGGCTATTAGGTTTAGTTGATGGAAGTCGAGACATCTTCAGTGGAGGTCGCATAGAAACAGAAACAGTTGCTTTCTGCGCTGTTTGTGGCTTCGATGGCAACTGTGAAACAGATGAAGATGTGTTTCGTGAGTTTGTAACTGTTCTAGTGTTTGGAGATGGAATTGGTGCTTCATCAAGCATTCCTGCTAAATGTGCACGTGGACGACCACAAAGAAGACAATGGAATTTAGATGATGCACCTGCTGTATCTGTGTTGTTGTTGATCATTCCTAAGAACTTTTGCAAAACAATTTCAAGTTCATCACGTGTAATCCAATCAAGGAATGAACACTGTAAGTTTTCGATTTTCTCATTTAACTCTTTGATAACAACACGGAATTTGTTGAACATTTTCTCAACAAATGTACGGTCAATCTTGTTGTCAACGAGAATGACTGCATCATTAACTTCTTTCTTCATCTCTTGAAGCTGTTTCTTGACGTCTTCTTTGATAACATCTTGCAATTCATTGATAACACGCCTTGCTTCTTTTCCAACTTTTTCTTCAATAAGTGCTTGTGAAATTTCAATAGGATTAACAACTGGCTGGTGAGAATTATAATCATTAGGACTTCTGTAAGGAGATCTTGATCGTTTCGAGTTATCGATAATAATTGTTTTACGTGTTTCTGTGATAACTTTAGGAGGTTCTTCGAGTTCTTCTGCTCTTTCTGGTTGCAAAATTTGTTCAGGAATTGTTGCTTCGTATCCACCTGCAGGATCTAATAGAAGTGGTGTGAATTTACGTTCAAGATCATCTTCACTTGTATACAAATCAATATGTGAAATTTGTTTTTGGCCACTGTCTGAAATAGAAATGTTTTCTTTACTTTTCTCTTTTGAAAAGTTGTTTTGAGGAACATTTCGTTGTGGCAATGCAAACATTGATTGTCGTGGTGCACGATTATCAATTGTACTAATAACGAAATGACCAATATCATCAATTGTGAAGTGACTTGATGTAAAAGTGAAATTATAAACTTTTCTGATTGGTTCTGTTGGTGTTACATTGATTCTTTCGTTTTCTGGTTCACTTCTTTGTGTGTTATTAGCGGAATCACTTATAGATTTAGTAGGAAGAGGTGTCAATGCTTCCATTTTACGGATATTCTTAGTAATAGTAACTTTTGGTGTTGTTTCTTCTTTTGGTGATTTTGAAACTTCGACTTTTTGAGGACTTATATCATTTGTTGTTGCCAAAAGAGAAACCATTTTTCGTTGAAGCTGTGATATTGAATCATTCACTTTAACACTAAGGTTTTCAATGTCATCTTGAACATTTCGTAATTGTGCAACTAATTGTGTTTCTTTCGAATTGTGTGCTGCATTAATTCTCATCAAATTATTTGACAAATTATCTTGGTTATCTTGATTAACACGTATTGATGTTTGAAGCTGTCTGATTGCTGCGTGATGATTTTCAACAGCTGAGCGAAGCCATTCGATATCACTGACAACACGCTGTGATGATTTAAGCTCTGTTTTATATGTGTGTGTTTCAATGATTTCGACTTTTTGTGGCTTTTCAACATTGATTTGGAATGGATCTTCATTTTTATTAGAAATTGTTGTGTCAATGGGAGAACGCGTTGGAAGAGGAGGAAGTTCTTCTGATAACAATGTTATTTCTGGTCTTTCAATCATACTTTCTCGAAGTTCTTGTGTAGAAATTTGTGGAACATCGTCTATCAATTGTATGTTGTTTTCTTCATGTTGCGGTTCGGGAATTTGTTCTTCTTCTTGTTGTTTGTCGTCTTCTAATGGTTCAATTTTCTCTTCTGATGTTGGTTTCGAATCCGGTAATGAAATTGGAGCAATTTCTCGGTTTCCTGGGATTGTATCATCAACAATAACTGTAATCGGTTGTTCTACTTTAGGCTGCTCAGGAATTCGTGGTGAAGTTCCTGCGTTTTTGGTAAATGTATTAATATTCGGTAAGTTCTTGAAAGAATTGTTGCCAGAGTTTGTATGGAACTTCCAGTTATCGAAAGCATTAATAACTTCGTTAACTTTCTTTTCAATTCGCTTAGTAATTGTTGGGAATTGCAAAACTAAGTTACTTACATCAGTTTCCATTTGTGGATATGTCTTAATTTTGTTTGAGATATCTTGGACTTTCAATGCTAATGCGTTGACATCGTTTCCAATAATTTTATCATCCGGTTGAATCTTCGGTATTTTGTCCATCTCTTCTTGTAATTTATCAAGTCTTGCTTGTACATCTTTCAATGTCTCTTCTGTTTCATTTGTTTGCGGTAGAAAATTTGGTGCAAAATTTTCAATTGATTCGTCTATCATTCTTTTCGTTTCTGTAATGATAGAAAGGTGTGTGCTTTCGATGTCATCTCTCATAGTATTCAACGCTTTGTCATTATCCAATTTAAAGTTACTCAACGCATTTGTTAAATTTGAAATAGTTTCTCTTGAATCTTTTTCGTGTTGTAAAAAGTTTGCTTTAAGGATATCAAATTGTTCTTTCGTTGCCAATCTTGGCATTGTATCTTCGATTTCATTTAATCTGAGTGTTTGATTTTGGAAAAGTACTAAAATTTCGTCAAGAACCTTTTGCATGTGATTTTTGTCGTACTGGATAGACATGAGCCTATCATCTTTGATAAGCCCTTGTAAATCAGCCATAAATTATCAAAAAATAAATTTGAAGTTTTTTTGCACGTTAGTAGATTTTGAACATTTTGAATTAATCTATTTTAAGAGAGAACTATAATAGGAACTATCTACAAAACATTTTTCACATGGAAATAATTGCCTTCTCGTGGTAAGATAAAAATATAGAGAATCAAATTTACTACAAATTCAATCCAAATCCTTATAACATGATAGTATATACCGAATATTCGGTGAAAATTGTTTGGTTATCATCATTCTTTCTCAATACATAATAATCTTCTTCAATTGATGCCAATTTTATATGTTTTTTAGAATTTAGATTACGGTCTATTAAATAATAACTACATTATGCATATTTCATCTTTAGACACATAAGCCAAAATAATGAATTACGAATTTTGAGATTGAAGATTCAAAGAAATTCCTACCCCAACTTAAAGTAATATAAATTTGCTACACACATGTGCAACTCTTTCGACATAGATAGTGAAGAATTGAATATCATTAGTTTTGTTCATCCCGATTTATTCAAATCTCGATTTTGTGTATGAATTCATGTAACAGATTAACGTGTATCATGAACAAGAGTATATATGTTACCTTATAATAGTTATGTGGTCAGATGCAGGTGTTTTTGTCAGAAAGATTTGAATGAATTGAAAATTTTATATCGTTTTTTCTAATGAACGCCATGATAATTAATGGCCTGAAAATGGCCGGTTTCTTTGCTGTTACAACACTTATTCTTGTCTACTCAATGTGTGGAATTGTTTCCAACATGGTAGTTTCAATCCTTTTCGGTCTTTTTGAGTTAGCCATTTGCGGCTACTTCTGCTATGCAGCTTGGAAGAAATCAGATCAATTTAAAGTTCGTATATTATACGGATTCGTCGCTTTGACAACATTAGTTTCAGCAATTACAAACTTTTCAATTCATAAATACTATTTCACAGACTACGGAAATGCATCTCGCTGGATGATCGTTTTTTGCATCTCTCTTGGCCTTTCTTCAAGTGCTTCTATCGCTTTCACATCTTTCACAGAAAAATTCATGGGCGAAGTCATCTCACAGAATGGAATCGACGAGTTCATGGAACAGATCATATACCTCGTTCTTAGTACTGCTATTCAGGTCCTCCAGGCATTCTTAATGTGCAGTATTGGCAATAGAACAGAAGCTGAGATGGTTCACGTCATTTGCATCAGATCTATCGGCACAGTATTCTGTGGCCTTCTCGTTGGCCTCACTTTCGGCGTTTATCTCGGTTCAAAGGCCGAACCAACAAATCTTGGTTATGTTCAACCAGATGAATAAAATAAATGACTTTCAATCACATAAAATATTTTATTAATCTTGAAATTATCTATAAAAAACTAAATATTAAAATAATATTTTTGAAAATTTGACTTTTTAGACACAGTTTCTATGAATAAATATCTACATTCTATATGACCATTATGCTTATAAGGTATAGATTATTGAATTTAGAATTTTCGAAATTTCTAATTTAATTCTTATGAATTTCTAAGTAATACATATGAACAAAATGATATTAATTTGTTTCTAAATATAATTATTGATAAATTGTTCAATAACTCTAAATCATGCTTTCTCGCCGATCATGAATTGAGTGAAAGAAGTTTTATCCCCACAATGCTGAGGACACCAAAAGCCGAGAAAACAGACGGAGTGTTACCTCAGGCATCGAAGAGAGTTCAAGATATTATCAACGATGATGAGAAATATTCCGATTTTTTGTCGCAAATTTCAACATTAGCCGATCAAACTTATTATGCTGCCTTAAAACGTAGAGATATAGCTACAATAACAAGTATTTCTCCATATCCATCAGAAGTTGCTAACTGTGGATCAGGAAAACTTGGTTATTTGAGCGAAATTAACAAATATTATTTAATTAACAGTCAAAAAATATATTTATGGACACCACTTAAATCAGATACTCAAATAGTTCAAGAAGATGGATATGATATTCTCGCTGTTGCAATAATGGAGCCAGATTACGATTTAATTTCAGACAAAGTTAGTAATTTTTTGGCAATTTCAACACACTCATACATTAAATTATATCCTATCATGGATTCAAAGATTATTACAGACAGATTTTACCATATTGAAACAAATTTCACTCCATTTTCATTGGTAGGCGGTCCAGACAATTGTTTGTACGCAGGATCACAACTAGGTGACATCCACATCATCGAAATCGTCTCCAAACAAGATTTTCTTTCAAGATGTTTAGGATCTCTTCCAAAGAATATAAATCCATTTACAATGCTCGATCCAGAGGTAGTTCCAACCATTAAGAACGGAACTGCATCTCTCTTTTCAGAAATTACACCAGAATTCATCAGATTTAGAGATCACGCTTTAATTAAGTTAGCTTACGATCCAACGACCAAATACTTAGCCGCCATCGATGAGGACAGCAATATCTTCTTCTACAAGTGCTCAAGAAGGCATTTATTCCATGTTGGATCACATTATTCCGGAGATGTTCCTATTGTCGATATTTCTTATGTTCCGAACAGTGATTCAAGACTTATAAGGTTTGTTGGCTTCGATCAGCAAGGAAACAGACTTTATTTCGGTTTTTCAGAAAAATTATTAGGAGTAAGCTCATCAATCACTTTACAAGCACTCAGGAAGCCACCGCCAGAGTACGAAGGCAAGAAACTACTCAGTGGAGCTTATTCCCTTGGTTTTTGCGCATTAGTTTATAATGAAGGAGTTTTCGTGACGAAATCGACCATTTTAATGAGGCCAAGCGAAGAATTCAACAGTTTCGTTGTTCCTTGCTCAGGAGCTCATGTTTTTTCGCTCAGACATAATTTAGATTATTTATCTCCACAACCAGTCTTCACTGATGCAGAATTATGGCAGCATGTTATTCCAGCACCACCATTCCTTCTTTGCTCGCTCGACGGAACAGCAGAAATCAAGCCAACAGTACCTTTCGAAAATCTCACTCGTGCTTTCTTAGAAAGCCAAGGTAAACTTACAGAACATCTTCAAATATTCCTTGGTAATCCACCAAATACTACTGGTTACGCTAATTCTTTACTTGCTGCCCAGAAAAGACCAGAAATTGGAAAATCCGTATTCCAGATCTTCAAATCTATCGGAAACAAGCCAGACAGAGTATCAGAGTCCTTCTATAAACGTGCTGGAAGGCTCCTCAGCCCTCTCCTTTCACTTCCTGTAATAGAATCCCATTATATCAACGTAAACATCCTTAATTTAACCAATGGATACGTTGCTGATATCAAGGGCTTCATTCCTATCCTTAAGGAATATGCTGATGTCCAAGCTGATCCCCAAGAAAAATCATCAATCGCTGAATTGATCGATTACATCTCAGAAATTTCTGAAGTTGTCACTTTTTTGGTAATTTGTTCGAAGCAAGAACCAAAATATTTCACAGAAGCCTATGGAAAATTATCAGTTAATGACAGATATCAGCTTCAACAGCCTCTTGGCCAAGGAGAAAATGTTTTGGAAATAATGAAGACATTTTTAAGACAATATGTCTTAGTTATTCCAACATCTGCCGAACTTGATATGCTCTGCGCCCAGTTCTTCTCAGAATGTCCTTTAATTGCTGATTCTGAAGAAGGATTACTCGAACATGCTGATTCTTTGCTGAACAATGCCTCTCTTCTTGATGATAAAGAGAGAATTCCACTTCTCCGTGAAGCCGCAACAGCATATATGGAGCTTGTGGCCTTGTTTGGAACAAATCTTTCAGATCCCATCCGTAAACTTACGGAATTAGGAACTCCTTTGTTCGCCATCGAGCTTGCTATGGCATGGGCAGCCAAGGTTGACCCAAGCAAGAGAGCTTTGGAGTGGTTTGAAACAGGATGTGATAAAAATGACTCACAAGGCTCAATATTGTTCTCAGAACTGCATAGAATATACTTAACAACCATAGCAGCAAGCATTACTGACGAAGGACTAAAGGATTTGAAGGAAGGAAAGCATGATAAATTATATTGCTACACAATCTATGATTATCTCCTTCAAGCCAACTTGCAAGAGAAGCTATTATCTCTCAAAGCTCCATATCTCGAAGGTTTCGTTAAAACAAACGCCAGAAAACTTTATTGGAGATTAGTAGTTTTAGCAGACAAGAAATCGGCCATTGAAGAGCTCATTCACCTTGCAATTGATGGAGATAACATTGAGCTCAACGAAAGAATCGATTTCCTTAAAGAAGCTTTGAAGATCTCCAAAGAAATTAATGATAAGAAGAATTTCTCTGAAATCCAGAAATTCATCACCTCTGCGGTGCTTTCTACCAGATTAGATAAGAAACCAGACCGAATTCTTCCAATAAAAGAAGTTGCCGACATATCCGAACAACAATTAAACTTCGAAGTGGCCTTAGCATGCTACAACACATTGGAAGACATGAATGGTATCGAAAGAGTGTGGAAGAACTTGTTGCAAAGAACTCCTGAGCTTGCAACACAAATTTTGATTGGACTTCCAAAGAATTCTCCTGCTGCTGATTTACAAATGGTCATTCCTTTGTTAGAGGACACAAAGATATCGAACAAAGAGTTACCTGATGATTTCGTTATCTCTACTTTGATAAAATCAAATGTTTCTCTCAAAGAATGCGCAAGAATCTATGAAAAACTACTTGATATAGCATTAGGAAACGAAAAGGGACAAGTAATGATAACTGCTTTGAAACTACTAAGTCTTCATTACGGAGATGTCGACAAAATTAAGAAATTGGCCAGAGAAATGGCAAAAGATGAATCTAACCCTTATGGAAAAGAAATTGCTCAATTGCTTGGAGAAAACTAAGAGATCACTGTAGTTTTATATTTATTTTTTTATTTATTTATATATTATTATACAAGTTTTATTTTATTCATAAAGATTTTTTTTTATTTTTAAAAATGTTACGTTTTTATCACATCAATAAGTTTTGTTTCTGACTAAAATATAAGAATAAAAGGGTAATTGTTTCGATAAAATGGTTTGCAAAAGTAATATGCGTTACAATGAATGAGAACTAAACATTAACAGTGGTTGAATGTAGATATATTTTTCTTTTCAGATGTCACTATTTATACATCAGAATCTTTATTAGAAATCATCAATCAGGATAACAACTGTTTAGTAACAAAACCTTGATCAGAACTATTTAAATAACAGACACGCATTATATGAAACAATATTTAGACATTAAGTATGTTGAACATCATGACATTTTCCTATCTTTAAATCATGATTAGAACTTGCAATATCAATAGTTTTCCTTAGAATATACCATATCTATATAATATTACATAGTATTTAAGTAATACCAATGGCCTTTAACCAGAAAGTGCTTGCTTTTTTGTTCATATTTATGTACCAACCAGTATTTGCTTTATGATATGTAAAGTATTCAATTTTTTTTGTCAAAAAAATTAAGTAAAAGAGAAAGTATAGAAAGAGATAAATTCAAATGGCTGGAATACTTGTTATACTACCGTTATTAGCCTCCAGTTATTTTGGAACTGAAATTGTATCTCTTTTACTTTATAAATACATTGAATTAGAGATGAGAATCTTGCTTGGTGCAATTTTCGGAATTCAAATACTATCATTAGCATTTGTAGCCATTTCAGCGTTATTTAAGCTATCTTTTCTTATTGGAATTTATATTTCGATTTTCTTTTTGGTTTCAGGACTGATAATACATGCTTTTTCTAAACCATTTCAAAGTCAAGCATTGTTACCGAACAGAGAATATATATTATTGATCATTGTTCCAACAATTTTTGTTTCATTTATTTTATTCAACGGATCTTTTACTGAAAACTCACAAGTTACATATCCACAGTATAATTGGCTTCCAAAAGATGTCGCTTTTATCAATTCAATTGCATTTGGAGCGAATTCAAATCAAAAGTTTTATAAAAAATTCATTGATACTTATCTTTCACAGACAAACTATAAAAATCCTAATCTTCCTGACTTCCTTTCAGCTTGTTTAATCAAGTGTTTCGATTGTTCGATTCATTCTTCGTTAATTATACCTTCCTTCATATATCTTTACGCATCATTTTATTTATTTTCGAAATTAACATTAACTTTTACAAGCTCTTCAATTTCCCTCGTTTTCTCTGTAATAACATTTGTATTTTTCGGGGGAAGAGGTTATATATTCCTTGCAAAGCCAAATTTACTTGGAGATTTGGATATTGACTTTATGTCCAACTGGGGAAAGAATAGATATCAATTTTGTTTCCATCCAATTTTTCAAATCTTGATTGGACAAAGAGCAACTTTATTTGCGTTTCCAATATGTTTATCTTTGATAATTTTACTCATTAATGATGAATATGGCAAGCAATCTAAAGCTTCCTCTCATATATTTTGCGGAATTTTATTATCTTTACTTGCTCTGATTGAAATGAATGCATTTTATTCCTTATTGATATGGGTGATTTTATTCTCCATTTTGCAAACGTCATTTTCACTTCAGCAAAAGAAGATTCTGTTAATTTCGAAATGGATATATTTTTATGCAACATTTATTGTTTTAACAATAATATTTTGCATATTGGGCGTATTTCCGAAACCAGAATTCCTTGTTTTCAAACCTCTTTGGTTTGATATTGAAAAATCCTTTTTTAAGTTCTTAAACAATGGAATGCACATATTTTTACTTTATAGTTTACTTCATGGAACAATAACTCTTGATCGAAAACAGTTAATGATATATCTTCCTTCGATTTTTATTTTTGTGATTTCAATTTTGTTCAGGTACCAAGAATCAATATTTTTTAACTATAATTTGATTCTTTATAGCTTTATTCCTCTTTCATGCGCTGCAATCGGCAATTTTTTGAAGATAATTTGGACAAAAATCACTTCACATTCTATTTTATTCTTTGTTTTAATCGTTTTACCATTATGGACATCTGGTATTATTTACTTTATCAGATCATTTGGAATCACTCAAATATTTCCAAATCCAATTGAGTCTTTCGAAATTGGAACTTGGATCAAAGAAAATACTGATCCTGACTCAATATGGATATCGAATCTAGTGAATCCATCACCGCCAAACATATTTGCAGGCAGACAGTTGTTTTCTTTCCATGAAAACAACGAAATTGAAAAGATACGATACAAAATTTCGAATTCCATTTTATCCAATCCTGACAATGTATCTTTATCTGATTTCTACAATATTAGTTACATTTGTATTGATTCAATGCAATCTACAACTCTATCTAAGTTGTTGCAATCAAATAATTGGGAACTTGTATTGGCTTCATCTGTTTATTATATATTTAAGAGATTTTGGTAATAATAAATGTTTGTATACGGTGTCAAAGAATTTTTTTTGAAAACATATGATGCTGAAAATGATTTTAAATGCAATGTACAAGGTATAGTTAGTTAGGGATAAGATCATTTTTGTTATAGTTTTGTGACGGTAACTTTTATTCGGAAGATGAATAACTACAATCCAATTTTGTTTTAGAATGATTAATGATTGCAAAATAGAGAATATTCTAAAGAAATAAAGATGTGTAATTTTCTCATTCCATTTGAAAAAAAAGTCATAAATATCGAGTTTTAGCTTATTCATCTAAAGGACTAATATACTATATTTTCATGCAAAGTTTATCGAAAAATGAACGCAATTTCGAGTCGGTTCTATTCAAATTTGAAACGATAAGTCGATTTTACAGTTTTGAGAAAAAATTTCAAATGTCAATGGATAAATAATTTGATAATTAGAAAATCAATAATATTGGGAGATTTTAACGATCATATATCTGAAATATAAAAAATTTCTCGTATTTATAATGAATTTGGGATTTTTATGTTGATTAAATCACTCATAAGATATTCATATTCCTTAAGGAATTCATATTTTATAAATCAAAATACCAAAACGAGTGAAATTGAATGTTCAAATTTAAGTGCTCCTTTAGAGTTAGTAATTTTTTGAAGTAACTAAATTAAATTATAAAACAAATTCAAATAACGTGTCAAAAATTTGAATGGTTGATAATATCTGAAAATAAACATTTAGTATTAACATTGTATTTTTGCGAATATTTTGTTAAAAGATTTTTAAATAATAATTTTGAATGTCTATTTAATTTTTCATTTTTCTTTAGAGAAGAAATGCTTACTCTATTATTTCCAATCTTGACACGTCAAGAAGTAACATGCGATAAAATTACTACACATCTTAAGTTTCGTGAACCAATCTCTCTAACCTGCACAGGATTATCTCAGGATCAAAGTTATAAAGTTAGGGTTACTGGAAGTGATTACCCTGCTACTTTATCAAATTCAAATACATTAACATTTAAGGTCACGGAGGTATTTGAAATCAAATCTTTTGCGTTAATACAAGATAGAAATACTATTATTTATAGGCAGGATGTAATATTTGAATCAAATCCCATAATGGATGATCTAAGAATTCAGAAACCAGTGATTTCAGGTAGATGGTCTTTAATCAATCCAATATTTTATTTTGGTTCTAGGTATTATGGAACAGGAGAAGATAAAGTTGAATTGGCCATTAGTGATAATAGAAATGAAAACTCATTTGATGACAATATGATTCATTTATATGATAATGAAAATTGCTTCATTCCTGGAAATTTACCAGCAGGAGATTATTATCTTTTTGCTCGTATTCGATACATTGATGGTGAGACTACCAAGGTCTCAAAAATAATTTGGGTGGACATAAATGTTCAAACACCAAGCATCAAAAGTGAATTCAGTGTAATGCTTTCTTCTGACAAAAGTGTATTCAATCCAAATAAAGATATTTGGTTTTACATAACTGCTGCACCTTCAGTTCCACATTTCAAAATTATGTGGAAATTTGGTGAGTATTCAACAGATTTAGACCAATATACACAATGGGGCGATTATCAAGATCCTGTTGATTATCGTAGAGCTTTAAGATTCGAAATTAAATCTCCAAATGATATTACTGATATTCAAAACGGCATAGTATTTATTTCGATTGATACAAAAACATCTGAAATCTTAAATTACACCGAGATCAACAATGTTAGATTTCTTCCATTTTTAATTTTAGAAGGCTATCAAATAGATCAACCAAAGTATAATGATGAATATGTATTACAAGAAGGGGATTTAATTACTGGAACCATTTCTTTTAAAAATGAAATTAGTATTGAGCACATGACTGTATCTGGTTTTGGTTCTGAAGGAACAATTTACTCAATTCCAAACGAAAACAAAAAGATTCGGTTCGAGCTTCTCAAAAAATCCGATTACCCTAGTGTTATCGATGTCGATGAGGTAAATGCGCGACAACGAATTATTTTAGATTTTTATAATTTGGATATGAGTATAAATATCAATAAAAATTTGCCTTTTTCAGGTATAATTCAAGGCAATATCAAGATCAAAACAAATATTGGCTACAGAACCAAAATGCAATTTATTGCAAAATTTGGTGAATTCGAAGCGGATATTCAATCATATAATTTTAATATTGTTACACGTTCAGCTGATAGGGATTTTACAATTGATCTCGGAGATAAAATCAAATATGATGTTAATGGAACATTGCCTTCTCGAATCACATTTGCAATAGTTATAGATAATATTATAATGGTGCATAAATCTGCCGACTTTTCAATTTTTAACCCCCAATTATCGAATCAATAACAGAATCTGGAGAGATACATGAATATAAAACAAATTCAAGGATGGAATTGAAGATTAAGATTATTGATGCAAGCGGAGTTTATGATTCATCATTTAAATATGAATTCGTTGACCCAGAAATGAATATGACAAATGCGAAATCAATTAAATTAATTCTTAAAAAAGTTGAAAATTCAGAAAATGAGTATACATTTAAAATTCCAATCCCGAATAATGCCGAAACTGGTCAGAAAGAATTATTAATAATATTCATTGATCCTGCAGGCCAAGAATCATCACTTTTCAGAATACCAATAACAATTATATTAGGAAGAAGTATAACAGAAAATTCAATAATCTGCAGAACGACTGAAGATATAATGGCTGCTGGCAGGAAGAATCTATTCAAATGCAATATTGATAATATTGAAACTAGCCCTGTTTACTATAAAGCAAAAATTGGAGCAAAGGATGATTACGGCCATTACGAAATTGATACTGAATTAGAGGAAATTGGGCTTGAAAATGAATTTAATGTTCTTGTTGATATTCCAGATCAATATTATGAGAAGCATACTATATCTTTTGCAATGATAAGATCAAGCGATGATGAAATCATAAAATATTTTGATCTTTCTGATGTTAGGATTACAATTGAACCAAATATCGAGAAATCCTCTAGTTATTATAATGTAGAAAAATTTTCATTAACAAAAATGATATTTAAGGTCAAATATATTTGCGATTTCCAAACACTTAGGGTTTTATACCGCAACTCAGATGGAAATGAAGAATTTCAAAATGTTATTATTTGGCAAAATGTCAAAAGTATGGTTATATGAAACATTGACAAATGCAAAAACGATTCAATATTAGGCAAGAGTCTAAATATTGTCAAGCATATAATATAACATGAGTTATAGCATAAAATGTTATAGTATATGTCAAGAGTATGGTTATAGACGCTTGACAATGATGTTATATGTTATTATTATTATGGAAATCAAGAGTATGGTTATATGAAACATTTTTTGCATTTGGACCAGATTCAACAACAGAAGGCACAGAATTTATTTCTCTAGGGAAAGTATATTCATATGATTCGAAAGAATTTAACATTAATAAAGAATTAGCAAATGGAGATTATTTAATGACAATTAAGGTTGAATATGTAAATGGGAAAAAAGTCGCAACAAAATCAAAAGTAATAAACTATGTAAAGCCCATTCAAAACATTGAACTTGGAAGGATTAAATTAAATAATGAAGTTAGAAATGTTAATTCTGGATATAAAGTTTTATTAAGTCCAATAGATGACACAAGTTCCGTAGAGGTTTATGCCGAAGTTGGTGACAAAAATTGTACTTTACTTAAGAATAAAATAGTAGCATTTGATTTCAAAGAAGCAGGAAAATTATATTGTATAGGAAATGTTGAAATCTCTGCAATTGTTCTATCAATTTCTGAAATCGAGACTGATGATATTGTTTATATGATAGGAAATGGAGAAATATCAATTGGAACTTCCAATGCTGCCAAATATAAGTTGGAAGCTTCAAAAACTTTAACTTTGATAATTTCAACATTTGATGGAAACGGAGAATCTACTACTTCAAATGATTTCGATAAATCCAAAGTAACTGTTTCATTATATGACATTAATGGGTGTTCGATTAATTCTAATTCCAGAAAAGCATTAGTTGATGATAATAATATTATAATAGAAAGAATTAAGCTTATTGCCCCAAGTTATCAATTTAACATGAAAGTAAGTACAACTTCATCATCAGATAAAGAAACTGTTTTAATTAATCCAAAAATTGGTACACATAAAATTGTATCTGATGATCAAACGGAAATTGAAGTTAATCCAGATGGCAACCCCGATGGCAATCCAGATGGCAATCCAGATGGCAACCCTGATGGCAACCCTGACAAAAATCCAGACGGCAACCCTGACAAAAATCCAGATGGCAACCCTGACAAAAATCCAGATGGCAACCCTGACAAAAATCCAGATGGCAACCCTGACAAAAATCCAGATGGCAACCCTGACAAAAATCCAGATGGCAACCCTGACAAAAATCCAGATGGCAACCCTGACAAAAATCCAGATGGCAACCCTGACAAAAATCCAGATGGCAATCCAGATGGCAATCCAGACGGCAATCCAGATGGAAATCCAGATGGCAATCCAGACGGCAATCCTGATGGAAATCCAGATGGCAATCCAGATGGCAATCCAGATGGAAATCCAGATGGCAATCCTGATGGAAATCCAGATGGCAATCCAGATGGCAATCCTGATGGAAATCCAGATGGCAACCCTGACAAAAATCCAGATGGCAACCCTGACAAAAATCCAGATGGCAACCCTGACAAAAATCCAGATGGCAATCCAGACGGCAATCCTGATGGAAATCCAGATGGCAATCCAGATGGAAATCCAGACGGCAACCCTGATGGAAATCCAGATGGTAATCCTGATGGAAATCCAGATGGCAACCCTGACAAAAATCCAGACGGCAATCCTGATGGAAATCCAGACGGCAATCCGGATGGAAATCCAGACGGCAATCCTGATGAAATGATAATCCAGATGGAAATCCAGATGGAAAATCCAGATGGCAACCCTGACAAAATCCAGATGGCAACCCTGACAAAAATCCAGATGGCAACCCTGACAAAAATCCAGATGGCAATCCAGATGGCAATCCAGACGGCAATCCTGATGGAAATCCAGATGGCAATCCAGATGGAAATCCAGACGGCAACCCTGATGGAAATCCAGATGGCAACCCTGACAAAAATCCAGATGGCAACCCTGACAAAAATCCAGACGGCAATCCGGATGGAAATCCAGACGGCAACCCTGACAAAAATCCAGACGGCAATCCGGATGGAAATCCAGACGGCAACCCTGACAAAAATCCAGATGGCAATCCTGATGGAAATCCAGACGGCAATCCGGATGGAAATCCAGACGGCAATCCTGATGGAAATCCAGATGGTAATCCAGATGGAAATCCAGATGGCAACCCTGACAAAAATCCAGATGGCAACCCTGACAAAAATCCAGATGGCAACCCTGACAAAAATCCAGATGGCAATCCAGACGGCAATCCTGATGGAAATCCAGATGGCAATCCAGATGGAAATCCAGATGGCAATCCTGATGGAAATCCAGATGGCAACCCTGACAAAAATCCAGATGGCAACCCTGACAAAAATCCAGATGGCAATCCAGACGGCAATCCTGATGGAAATCCAGATGGCAATCCAGACGGCAATCCTGATGGAAATCCAGATGGCAATCCTGATGGAAATCCAGACGGCAATCCTGATGGAAATCCAGATGGCAATCCAGATGGCAATCCTGATGGAAATCCAGATGGCAACCCTGATGGAAATCCAGATGGCAACCCTGACAAAAATCCAGATGGCAACCCTGACAAAAATCCAGATGGCAACCCTGACAAAAATCCAGACGGCAATCCTGATGGAAATCCAGACGGCAACCCTGATGGCAACCCTGATAAAAATCCAGATGGCAATCCAGATGGCAATCCTGATGGAAATCCAGATGGAAATCCAGATGGCAACCCTGACAAAAATCCAGACGGCAACCCTGATGGAAATCCAGATGGCAACCCTGACAAAAATCCAGACGGAAAGCCCGACAAAAAACCAGACCATAAACCTGAAGGAAAACCTGACAAAAATCCGGGAAGCAAACCAAATGATGAGAATCGCAATTCAGAAGGAACTCCAAAGCCAAACAATAGCAATACTGGTGTCATTGTAGGAAGCATTATTGGAATAATAGTTGCTGTTGTTATAATTTGTGTTGGCATATTCTTTTTCTTGAAAAAGAAAAAGAATACAGAAGAAAATGAATCAAGTAGTGTCGAAATTCATGAAGATGCTTCAATGGAAGATTCACCTGGGGTCTAAAAAATTATTGGAATTAATAAACATTAATTAATCAATTTAATTCAATATAATGATTTTTTTTTCAAATATATAAAATGCAGAGTGTACTAGTACATCATGTGCTTCACTTGCGCATTTGATGTTTTCGGGATTTCTAATCACTATCGTGTATTCTTTTAACATCATTTTAAATTTCACATTTTTTCATGCTCATATTTGAAAAATTTGAATTTTTTATTTTATATCTATTTTGTCTGGGAAAATCAATGTTTGTTGTTGGGAGTAAAAAAAGTTAAATAAAAATAAATAAAAAAGGTTTTAGTTAACGAGACCCAAAAGGATTTTGAGGTTTGCTGGGATACAGTTATGGTTGAAGATTGTGACATCTCTGTTGCTGTATTCTGGCTGAGATGTCATGAACTTGATAGCGTTTTCCTGGTCACCTTTCTCCACAGGATCTGTTGGCATGACAGATGACATGTAAAGGTAGAGAGATTTATCAGAGCAATCGATGATTGCAGCTCCCTTCTCTGGGAGAACATCGACTGTAATTGATTTGGAAACTGCTGGTGTCAATGTCTTTCCTTCAACGAAGCAAACAACGTGGAATTTGACCTTGAAGAAGTTGTTTTCGAAGAAAAGTTCATCTCCAGCTTTTTCAGTGGACTGAATCTGATCAATATGACCACCAATGGTCTTGATCATCTTGTTGAACTCTGGACCTTCTAATGTGCGCTTAACATGGACAATCGAAACTGTTTGGTATTCATCTGAATATGCTTGTAACAATTTCTCGCCTTGAGCCTCTAATGCTGGTGGGCAGTCCTTACCAACGAAGAGATACAATGAATTATCAGGTAATTTGTGAGTATCATAGATAAATGCACCACTATGTGTAAGTTCTGATGATTTGCATGGAACATATACAGCGATTGGACGTGATTTACCGTGGACAGAGATCAACTGGTCTAAATCAAGATGGTTAATAGTACGAATCTTACCAAATGAAAGATCTGTAATTGTTTGTGATGTTTCCTTAACTTGGCTTGTCCATGCGGCCTTCTCTGCTTCATACTTCTCTGCTAATGCCTTCTTTTCTGCTTCTGCGCGCTGTTCTAATTCACTAATTTCACGATCTTTGCTTGCTGCAAGGCGTTCTCTCTCCAAACATTCTGCTTCAGCCTTTTCTTCTGCTTCAATTCTGTTCTTCTGCTCTTCGGAAAGATACTGGTTCATCATTGCCATCTTTCTGTTAAGCTCGTCGATTTGCTCTTGTAACTTCTCATTAGCGGACTTAGCTTCATCTAATTCATGCTTAAGCTTCTCAACTTCTTCTGAATTGGCAGCAGCGGCCTGCTTATCTTCTGGATTAGCACCTTCTGTTCCTTCTCCGTCCTTCTTTTCGGCGGCTTCCTCTTCAACTGGTAAGTCAATATCACGTGTAACAACTATTCCGTCATCCTCTTCTTCGTTGGCATTTTCTTCCTTATTTTCTTCTTTCTTCTCTTCCTCTTCTTTATTCTCTTCTGGCTTTGGCTCTACATGATTCTTGAAAGCCATAAGCAAAAGGAAGAAGTCTATGATCATAAGGATCACGTAGACAATCTCTCCACTCATTTTTTGATAAAATATATAAAATTTTATTGAATAGTCATTCAAATATATTTGATCAACAATTAATTAAAATGATGATGTTACGTAATAAAATCCTGGACAATTGCACATTGAGCCTGATCTTATCGATTTTCACCTAACCTGCTTAAGTATTGTATCACAATGTTCAAAATAAAATTTAATTATAGTTTTGATTACAAATGTTCTATTAATTTCAATCAGTACCTCTTTTTTAATTTTGAATAAATATTGAATGCAATTATCCAATGCTAACTCATCTCATTACATTACCTTTCCTTATATCATGAGTTTTCTGTACTCAATTCAAATAGATCAACATAATAACATCAGAATATAAAAAGTTGATCAGTTAAGATGATTTACACATTTAGTGCATACCTAAATGTAAATGACATTTGTATAGTAAATACAAATTCTAGTATTTTGATCATGAGAATGAATGAATATTCAATGTTTAATAAAGCATAACTAATAGTGCAAATATATGTTTTGCTATGCATTGAGTATACTAACATTTCAAATATCGAATCATTTTGATACTGTTCTCATGACAACAAATGAGGCAGTATTTTTTGACATGTTTAAAAACTTTCAAAATCTAGAAGATCAAGCATGTATTGATGATATAAAATTGATGCTTGATCAACATTTCAGCTTTGATGACTTGAAAGGACCCAAATCTCGAACATTGCTACATTACTTTGCATTAGAAAAGAAAACATATGATTATGATCTTTTATTCAAATCATTTGTTCGATACAATCATACAGATGATGATAGAAATACGGCTATTCATCTTGTCCAAACTCCGAAATTTTTAAGAGAGCTTTTACAGCATGGCGTTTCACATTTAATAAAGAACAATGATGGACATACACCAGTAGATGTTTTATTACTTCATGATCGTGATGATTTACTAATAGAATTAATAAATTTCCTTCCCAGTTGGGTTTCAGAGAATTTTTCACTACTCATCAATACATGCATTGAGTTCGGATCTTACAAATGCTTCCAATATTTTGCAGATCATCATTCAAAGCAATTTATTGAAGTTTTTAACAAATCATCACATAGTTTTAAGCTAATTATATCAAACAGCAACAAATACATGCTCGATATTGTCTACAAACTCGTGAAAATCCCAATAAATCAAATTCCATGGAATCCATTTCCTTCAAAAGTTATGATGGAATCGATACTCTCCCATTATGTCGTACAGAATCTTAGAGAATTTGACATAAAATCGGTGCCATACCATCGAAATAAAGAATATTTACAAAAAATTATCGAAGAACATATAAATTGGACAGAATTGAACAGCGCGATACTTAAAACTCCTTTACATAATACATTGATGTACAGCCAAGACGGATACATTGAAAATCTTCGAATAAATAAAGTCGATCTTTTAGATTACAACGGCAAGACCCCATTATTCCTTGCAACAGAATGTAGTTCCGAAAAAGTCGCCAAACATTTCGTAAAACATGGTGCAGTCGGAACTTACATTTGTTGCGGTTCTACGCCTCTCCACGAAGCCGCAAAGAGAAATCTGAAATCGGTGGTTGAAATAATCGTTCACTCAAGGAATAATATCGATATTTTGGACAAAAATGGCTTATCTCCTTTATTTTGTGCAATTGAATCGAAATCTGATGATTCTGCAGTGATATTACTTAACAGTGGAGCAAGGGTTGACTTGAAAACAAAGTCTGGAGATACAATTTTGCATTTCGCCGCTAAAAATAATTCATCACCTGAAATATTAAAGAAGTTGCTAGAAAAGGGAGCACCATTATACGTTAAAAATAATGCTGGAGAAATACCAATGGTCACTGCCCTTAAAAATGGCTATTCTGAAGGATATATGATTATGAAACAGATGAATGGCAACTTTGGCGAGTTTTCTGTTGATACTTATTCATCACCTGAGATATGGAATAATTCCTACCTATACGAATTCCTTAAATTCTATCCAAAAGAGAATTTAAATGATATTTTGAGACTTGCTGTTAAACACGGCCATGTACAAGGTTTCTCGAGTGTTATATTGACTCTTACAAACTCAATTTCGGAGAGTAGAAAGATGGAACTCCTCAAAATTGCAATTTTTGCAAATAATATTTTTACTTGTTCGTTTTTGATCGGAATTTTCCCAAATCTGTTGACAGCATCATCAAAGAAAGGTGATACAGCAATGCACTGGATCGCAAGATGCAATCCGCCTTGTTTTGATGCAATTTTTAGGTCAATTTACAGAAGTTTTGACCAAATTACGGTTGTGAACAAAAATAAAGAAAATCCGTTCCACGTAGCCGTAGAAGTCCGAAATCTGACGTTTTTGAATACGTTTTTACAGAAAAATAATGATCATGAAAAATATAAAATATTTTTGGACGGAACAGACGATCAGATCAAAGAAGCGTTGAATGCAAAGAACAAAGATAATCTTACGCCACTTGAACTTGCTCTTTTAAGAAGAGATGCCGAGATTTCTTTATTGATTTCGGATCTCTCACCTCTTTCCATATTTTCTGCAAATATCACTCCGAAAATATTACAGAGAACATTCTTTACAGGTATCGATGGCTCTACTTACAACACAGAAAGATTATCTTTATTATCTCATTCAATTATCACAGCAGAGACAGAACAAGACTGCTTGGAATGCGTCAAATTAATCATAGAGCAAGGTGGCGACCCTAATGTCCCAGACGACAACGGAAAAAAGCCGGCTCACTACGCATTTGAGAGAAAATTCACTTCTGTGATAGATTACTTGATGCAGAATGGCGGTTTATTGTATGGAATTAACAATTTCCTTGAAACAATTGATAAATCCCTGTTGACAGACGAAATTATGGAAAATATCCATAGACATGACCTCCGAGCCAATTCTATTATGGAATTATATAATAATGAGAAGGATTTCTTGGCTCAAATGACTTCTTTTGTTGAAAAAAGTGAAAAATCAAATTCGAAAATTCCGACTTCTTCAGTTGTAGTTATTTCTGCAAGGAATATCATGAATCTCTCTGAGAGATTAGTTGATTATCTAGGCGAAATTTGCCATAGATTGTCTCCTTCCTCTTGTATTGCTCGAGGATTAAAAGTTACAGGAGATTTCGCAACTTGTTATCACGCTTTCGTCATGGTTGTTAACAAAGTGTCCAGTTCTATTGACGAAGAGACTCAGCAGCTCTTAAACAGCAAACCAGAAGGATCATCTATTACTTACTACCAATTTTTCGAAATTCCGGCTTTACATATCCACGAATTTGTTAATTTGGTTGATAGAATCATAAGAGCGACCCCTGAAAAGCATCCGGATTCCGAAATTTTATTTTCCGCCTTAAATATTTGGAAAGAAATGGATCGTAGATGTCTGAATGAAATGAGAGTCTTCCAAACATTTAAAGCAACAAAAATTATGAAAATGAATTTCGCAACTTTAATTCCGGACACAGTTGTGAAATTTCCAGCCGGATCCATCCTTTTATGGCAAGGAGATGTCGTTGTAAAGAAATTCCCGTTCCAAGATGGTCCTTTGAAGAAATTATTTTCAAAAGAGAACGTACGCTTATATTTGTTCAATACCATTGTATGGTTTGCTTCTACAGGTCCTAAATTGAAGAATACTGTCTTCTATCTCCTTTCAACTTCGGATATTTTCATGGAATTTGTAAATAGCAATTTAATGATCACAGGAAAAGGATTTCAATTCGAGATATCCCTTGTTAAGCAAGAAGATAGTGCAAATCTTGAGAACGCGCTCACAGAACTTGAAAAAGGATTTATATTCCAAAGTACTTCCCAAAGAATTGTAAAATGCTTCTATATGTTGGAAGAATCAAACACTATAGAGTCAACCATGATGATTCTGAACTGTTCCAACAAAGAATCAGCTGTTGCCGAATTTAAGAGCTTAAACAAAGAGAAAATCAAGAAATTCAGCAACGGAATATCCGAAATGATCAATATTGTACCTATTGGAAAGGAACTTCAATGCGTTTATTGCAATATTAAGAAATAATTTTTATTTTTGTTTATTATTTTTTGTTTTAAATAGTATTTTTAGTTTACATCATTAACAACAATATTTAAGGAGATTGACTTCCTTTTTCATCATCTTTTGAAATATTATCTAAATTATCAAGTTCTTTTTCTGCTTCTTCCTTCTGTTTCTCATCTATTTTATCATTTTTGCTTTCTTCAGCGCTATCTTTTTCTACATCTTTATCTTTTTGTGAATCATCAAAGTTATCTATTTCATTATCACCATCTTTTGATGATTTATTATCCTTTGATGACTTTTCATCACTTGCTGATATCTTTTCTTTTCTGCTTTCTTTGATAATATCATATAGAGGCTTGAAGATTAAAGCTCCACCAATAACTAAACCTGTGCATGATGCAAGCCAAAAACACCAAACGACTTTCTCTGGTTGATGTGGATGAATTGCATCTATTATATATATTGATGCTAAGCATGTGATAAAGCTTGAGGTCATACTCACAATCATTGCTCTTTTTCCTCTTTGCAAACTTTGAAGCATTGATTGAAGGGTGAAACGAATAAACATTAAAAATGCAGCCCAGTTAGCAGCTTTGATTTCTTTTTCTGCCCATTCAAGGAACTTTTCATCATGTCCAAATATCTTTGCAATCTGTCTCGGGCAAGTAAAAGCAAGGATATTTGTAAAGATACACCAAACTAGAGTAATCCAATTCAAATGGATTGACAAATGTAAATATCTTTTGAATAACTTTGCAGCATATGCATAAGATCCTGGAGCTAAGAAACCTGTGCAAATACCCAAGATAATAGCGGTTTCAAGTGTTGTGTATCTATAAGCAACATTCAAGCCACTTATCATTAAATCATATTGGCTCTTATCAAGAAGCGATTTACCCATTACACGACGCATAAGAATTGCAGGAATTGCAGTGCTGAGTTGTGAAATAAATTGTGAGCTACCAACAACTAATCCTTGGAAGGTATGTTTGTTGAATGGCTTAATGAGACCCTTAAGTTCTGGTTTTGTTCCAAATCTTCCACAAAAGAACAATATAGTTAAAATAATTCCAGGAACGCCATCAGCAATGATTGTTGAAATTGAAGGGCCAATAATTCCAATCTTCAGTTTTCCCATGAATAAAGGATTCAAAGCTCCCATTCCTAATCCTAGTGCAACAACATCTATTATACCAACTAGAAGAGTTCTTCCTTCTGCTTGTAATACACCAATATTGGTATAAAAAATGCATGTGAGAGCATTTCCTGCTGCTTGAGGCAAGATATATCTGAAAGCCATCTTTGTTGTTTCTTCTGTTGCAAGACACCATCTGGCATATGGTTTTATAGCTGGAATTAATATTGCTGGCACAATACAACCACATATGAGAGCTACTCTATATAAATCGCATACAACTTGTTTTGCATCATCGAATAGTTTCTTTCCAAACAATGATGATATTTGTGTACTCGCAGCAATTGATAAAAATAAACCAAACGCTCTTGCTACGAACTCCCAAACTACAACAGTTGCAACTGCGGACATGCCAACCTCTCCAACATATTTGGAAATCCAAAATGTATTAATAATTCCATATAATGTACTTGTGATTTGTGAACATAATGGTCCAATACTCAAGAGCAAAATGGTTTTGAGCGGTGGCCTTCCTGATAGTCTATATATCTCTCCGGAATTCATTATAGCTTGACTCGAGAATCAAGAATGGAAGTGTGAATTCATACCATCGGTTTAACATAAAAACTTTGAATGTGAATTCACACTCCTTTCAATTAAAATTGAACCAAAAAATTGTAGAAACAATATCTCATTTATAAACTAAAATCAATTAATGGAAAAAAATGTAATTTATTTAATTCATAATTTATTGAATTGTGAAATTCAATAGGGTCTCAAAGTAATAAATTACAAAATGCACAGTCCCATTATTATTTTCGGAGCTTTTTTTTCTCTTCACATTTTACATAAATTTTATCTAACTCCTTTCAAATTTTGATGTCAAAAAAATTGACATATATCCCAAAAATCAAGTAGAGATCATATTTAAATCAATTATTTTAATAGAGATTGAAGATTATACTGGCATTGTATTCATTGTTCCTCATTATAAATGCTCATTTTTTCGATTTATTTAAAAAAATGATTTTATAATGATAATTTTCATATATCATTTAAAATCATATATTATATCGCGTTACATGATCCAACTCATGATTTACAATATTGATTTCTGAAAAACAAACCAAAATATCACAAAATTAATAAAAAATATGATTATTCAAATCAAAAATACCGAACTATGCAATTAAAAAGAGTGATACTTAATGGTTTATTAATAATCAGAAAAATTATCAATCATATAAAAATTATGCTTCTTCAAAAGGTTTGTAACGGATGCATACATCTTTATTATTGATGTTAGCCCATCTGTAACAAACGTACTGCTTTGGCTTTCCGTTTGGAGCGACTTTTTCATCTTCACGTACATATCTTGCGCAATACCTCTTTTTCATCCATGCAGGATGTTTCCACAGTCTGCATTTATAGGATGGGAAAGCACTGTTTGGTTCTGCGAATCTATTTTGCGGATCAAATACTTTATTATTTTCTTTATCGTATACACAGTAATGTCCATTTTCTTTTTTATACGTTAAGTCATTTCTGAATACAGTGTTAAATTGTTGAGCTAAACTGTAACCGAATTTCGGAATTGGTGTTTTTATAAATCCATCTTCGCGAATATGTCCTTCCTGAACAGCCCATTCAAGTGCTGAATGAGCGTCATTTTTAGATATGCTTGCCATAAAGCAAATACACATAAAGAGCTCGCTCATAATTGGAGCAGGCATTTTTTTAAAAAAAAATTGGAGCGGTTTTGCCAAATTTTGCAATAAATTTGTAGAATAGGGCTTTGTTAAGGCAAAATAGTAATAAACAACATAAATTTTACTAAGCAACCACAAAACTAGACAAAACCATCAATTCAGCAACCTCCAATACACAAAAAAGTGGCATGTTTTCGGATAAGGATTCTTAAATTAGTTATTACAGAAGTTTAAGAAGAGTTTTTAAATGTACCCACTTTTAAAGTGGATACATTCCTTCCTTAGATGCTATCAATCACGTAAATTCAAAACTTTTTTCAAATTTCAAAAAATAAAATTTAATTATTTCAGTAGTAACACTATCATTTATGATTAACATCTTATTTACAAAAGTATAAACGATATTTAACATGTTAATTATGAACATATTTTCATAAATTAAATCTGAACCAAATATTCAATATAAAGTTAACGATTTCAATACAAATTCAGCAATAATTATCGATTTAAACAATAGTTACAATATTTACAATCAATTTCGTTCATTTTTAAAATATTTTATTTCAATTGTTTTTATTTTTTAGCAAATCAAACTGGGATAATTTTTTCGCTGGTTCACAACCTACTGATTACAAAAATAATGCCCCTATTTCTAATCAACAAGGCAATTTTTATGTTCATGATGTTTTCTTTACGAATCATAACTCAGAAATTATTCATCTCAGAGATGATGATAATAATAAACTTCTTGTATCTGACTGCGTTTTTAATTGCACAAAAGGTGGTAATATTTACCAAAATTTAGGTCAGATTGTTCAATATCGAGTCTGCAGTATCAAACCAAACAGTGAGAGTTATTTTAGTGCTCCACATTCACAGATCACAGTAACAGAAAATAAATCATTCAAAAATTACTTAAGTTTGTCAACAATCACTGAAAGTCAAGGAGAACAAGAACCAATTATTCATCAATACGGAGAAAACATTATTAAAAATGTAAATATTTCTAATACACTAACAAGAATTAATTCAGTCTACTCTATTTCAGGAAATTCTGATTTAAATGCAATCGTTTCATATTCAACATTTATTAAAAATAGAGCTCTACAAAACAATTGCTTATCACATCCTGCATACGGAGCTATTATTCACCATTGCATTATTCATTCAAATGATTGCGGTTTTTACGGAATTAGTTCGGTTATTTCTGCATCTGAAAATGTCAATGTTTTAATTTCTGAATGTATTATAATGTACAACACAGGAATTTATCTATTTTATGCATCATATGATGGTTCAATTTCAGTATTGTCTTGTTTCATTCAATCAAATACTGAATCAAATTATGGAAATGTTCGAATTTCAACAACTGATTCTTTGAATATTGAAAATTCACATATATCTACAGCACTTTGTTATCCAGCTTTTCCGATTTTTGATTTGATGAATATTACGACAGACAAAGCAAAATACAAATTTGGAGAAGATTCAACTATAAGAGGAACAATTTCATTTGATCGAATTAAAGAAAAACCATTTACACTTAAAGTTTGGATTGGCTACAATGATCTAATTCAAGTCCCTCAATCAAGTGGATCTACAATATATCCATATTCAATCAACATCCAAGATTATTTCTCCACTGGAAATTATATTATTTCATCCAGTGTTATTAATACAAATGGTATTGAATCAAATACAGTTTCAGTTGAATTTGAATATGAAGTTTCATTTTTTCTTAATTTAGAAGATCTTGAAAGAAAAGAATACAACAAAACACTTGATAAAAATATTACAGTCCGAGGAAGTGGAATTTACTCACATGGTGATATTTCTATTAACTGCAGTATTGGAGATGTAAATAGTACATTCATTGGAAATATTAATAAGAAATGGATTACACATCAATTTACTTTGTCAGGTGTTTGTTTGATTCCAGATTCTATTGCAGAAGAAAAAAACTATTCAGTTACAGTTTGGGCAACTTATATAGATAGTGGAGTAAGTACAGAGTCAATAACAAAAGAATTCGAATTTTATCGAAATTATCCAGTTCTAAGAATATCAGATTCAATCAAAGAAACATATTATCACAATGTTGACAAATTCATTTCAGTTTCAGGATTTGTTTCAGATTATGATTGTGATGATGAAATTGAAATCAAAGGATATATTGAAGGATATTCAAATAGTCAAACATCACAAAATATTTATATTCCAGATTTAAATAATCATTTATTCGAAATTAATATCCCTATTCCTGACAACCTTACAACTGTTGAACATAATCTTCTTATTACATGTTGTGACAATGTTAATAAATGTGATTCATTTAACAAAACGTTTTCTTACGAACTAAATAAACCAGAAATTAGTATTGTTAAATCACCAACATTCCCTGTTTATATTAACAAAGATAAAAATCTTGAATTTGTTCTTTCTGTTTCAGACAAAGATGGAAACAGTAACATCAGAATTTTTCACATTCTCAACGACACTGCAGGAAACAATGTCAACATAAGCTTTTCTAATGATCTTCCAGTTGATGTTGAATATTCAATTCCTATTCCAGATGATATCGATGTTGGTGTTTGTCAACTATGTATCTATGCAGTAGATGAGCATAATCTCTATTCAAAGAATATTTATCTCGATGTAGTATTTTCAAAATTCACATATGATGAAATTAATGAAGATCAAAATCATAAAAAACGCAAAAAGAAACCAATTAAATATTCACCATTCTTTTTTGTTCTCGCACAGAAAGTTTCATAAACATTTCTAATTACAACAAATTAATAATGAATTAATAAATTATATGAAAAAAAATATAAATTATCTGATAATATCAATCAAAGTTCGCTTTGCAGATGAATTATCATAAAATAACAAAATCTATTTTTAACATTTGATAAGAATATTGTTTCGATTTTTGAAAATATTTTAAGTCTATTATCAAATGTTTCTTTTAACCTTGAAATATTGATATGTGTAATTCATTTCAATGAAGGCTTAGCGTACACTTTATAATGTTTATTCATCGAAAATGTTTATCCTTGGAGATCGTAATATTAATATTTTAAATTCTTTATATCAAAAAATAATGATAGAATTTAATAAAAAAGGGTCAAATTATATTTCAAATTTTTAATGGAATTTGAAAGGATATAAAATCGATTCAATTCTATTCAATTTTCATGATCCAATTCTGATTCAGTCTGATTTGGTCATTAAAATGCAAATAAATGGTTAATAATCCTTTATTTTAGAAGTTTAGTATTGTTTAAGTATCTTTCCATTTTTAACTGCAAAGAAAATTTGATAAAAAAAGTGGATCTGTTTTAGACTATTTTTAATGGGAAAATCAGCAAACAATATAATTTTAATGTTATCTGAAATCATTAGAATTTGAATGAATGTAATTTAACTTTTATTCAATTTTCTTGATCCAATTTCAAAAGTATTGCCCAAATTGCAAAAGAATTGCCCAAACCGACATGCTTATTCCCTTACTTGATATTCTAAATTCAATATGCGGATTATTTGTGTATTTAAAAATCAATCCGTGTAAAGTAGTCAAAAATGAATGAATTTTTAATAAAGGTCAACTTCAAAATTTTTCAAATACGCAAAATATGTCCCTTAAGCAAATGTATGGGGAGGATATAAAATTGAGAGGTATAGTTTGATTTTATACTCCCAAAAAGTGACATATTTTCTCTGATCAGATTATCTAATGTTAAATAGTTATTTTAGTAGTTTAAAAAAGTTTTAAGAGATATCCACCTTAAAAGTGGGTATGTTCCTTCCTTAGATGCTGTCAATCACATGAATTCAAAACTTTTTTTGCTCAAATATCAAAAAATAAAACTTAATTATTTCAGTAGTAACACTATCATTTATGATTAACATCTTATTTACAAAAGTATAAACGATATTTAACATGTTAATTATGAACATATTTTCATAAATTAAATCTGAACCAAATATTCAATATAAAGTTAACGATTTCAATACAAATTCAGCAATAATTATCGATTTAAACAATAGTTACAATATTTACAATCAATTTCGTTCATTTTTAAAATATTTTATTTCAATTGTTTTTATTTTTTAGCAAATCAAACTGGGATAATTTTTTCGCTGGTTCACAACCTACTGATTACAAAAATAATGCCCCTATTTCTAATCAACAAGGCAATTTTAATGTTCATGAAGTTTTCTTTACGAATCATGACACAGAAATTATTCATCTCTCAGATGATGATAAATATAATAAACTTCTTGTATCTGAGTGCGTTTTTAATTGCACAAAAGGTGGTAATATTTATCAAAATAAAGGTCAAGTTGTTCAATATCGAGTCTGCAGTATCAATCCAATCAAGCACATTGATTTTGAAGATCCGCATTCTTATTCCACAGCGCCACATTCATACATTTTTGTAACCCAAAGTAGAACATACAAAAATTATTTAATTGAATCAACAATAACTAGAAGCGATGGATCTTTAGGACCAATTATTCATCAATACGGAAGAAATATTATTAAAAATGTAAATATTTCTAATTCACTAACAAGAATTAATTCGGTCTACACTATTTCAGGAAATTCTGATTTAAATGCAAATGTTTCATATTCAACATTTATTAAAAATACAGCTGTACAAAACAATTGCTTATCACATTATGCATATGGCGCTAAGATTCACCATTGCAATATTATTTCAAATGAATGTAGTCAATCCCAAAATAATGCAGTTATTTCTGCATCTGATAATGTCAATATTTTAATTATAGAATGTATTATAATATTCAACACAGGAAATTATTTATTTTATTCAGATTATGATGCTTCAATTGCAGTTTCTTCTTGTTTCATCCAATTAAACTATAATTATCAATTAAATAATTCGGAAAATGTTGAAATATCAACAATTGATTCACTAAATATTGAAAATTCACATATATCCACAGCTCTTTGTTATCCGGCTTTTCCAATGTTTAATTTGATGAATATTACAACAGATAAAGCAAAATACAAATTTGGAGAAGATTCAACTATAACAGGAAAAATTTCATTTGATCGAATTAAAGAAGAATCATTCACACTTAAAGTTTGGATTGGCAACCATGATCCATATCAAATACTAAATAAAGAAAGTGGATCTTCAACATATGAATATTCAATAGATACCCTCTATTATTTCTCCACTGGAAATTATATTATTTCATCCAGTGTTATTAATACAAATGGTATTGAATCAAATACAGTTTCAGTTGAATTTGAATATGAAGTTTCATTTTTTCTTAATTTAGAAGATCTTGAAAGAAAAGAATACAACAAAACACTTGATAAAAATATTACAGTCCGAGGAAGTGGAATTTACTCACATGGTGATATTTCTATTAACTGCAGTATTGGAGATGTAAATAGTACATTCATTGGAAATATTAATAAGAAATGGATTACACATCAATTTAATTTGTCAGGTGTTTGTTTGATTCCAGATTCTATTGTAGAAGAAAAAAACTATTCAGTTACAGTTTGGGCAACTTATATAGATAGTGGAGTAAGTACAGAGTCAATAACAAAAGAATTCGAATTTTATCGAAATTATCCAGTTCTAAGAATATCAGATTCAATCAAAGAAACATATTATCACAATGTTGACAAATTCATTTCAGTTTCAGGATTTGTTTCAGATTATGATTGTGATGATGAAATTGAAATCAAAGGATATATTGAAGGATATTCAAATAGTCAAACATCACAAAATATTTATATTCCAGATTTAAATAATCATTTATTCGAAATTAATATCCCTATTCCTGACAACCTTACAACTGTTGAACATAATCTTCTTATTACATGTTGTGACAATGTTAATAAATGTGATTCATTTAACAAAACGTTTTCTTACGAACTAAATAAACCAGAAATTAGTATTGTTAAATCACCAACATTCCCTGTTTATATTAACAAAGATAAAAATCTTGAATTTGTTCTTTCTGTTTCAGACAAAGATGGAAACAGTAACATCAGAATTTTTCACATTCTCAACGACACTGCAGGAAACAATGTCAACATAAGCTTTTCTAATGATCTTCCAGTTGATGTTGAATATTCAATTCCTATTCCAGATGATATCGATGTTGGTGTTTGTCAACTATGTATCTATGCAGTAGATGAGCATAATCTCTATTCAAAGAATATTTATCTCGATGTAGTATTTTCAAAATTCACATATGATGAAATTAATGAAGATCAAAATCATAAAAAACGCAAAAAGAAACCAATTAAATATTCACCATTCTTTTTTGTTCTCGCACAGAAAGTTTCATAAACATTTCTAATTACAACAAATTAATAATGAATTAATAAATTATATGAAAAAAAATATAAATTATCTGATAATATCAATCAAAGTTCGCTTTGCAGATGAATTATCATAAAATAACAAAATCTATTTTTAACATTTGATAAGAATATTGTTTCGATTTTTGAAAATATTTTAAGTCTATTATCAAATGTTTCTTTTAACCTTGAAATATTGATATGTGTAATTCATTTCAATGAAGGCTTAGCGTACACTTTATAATGTTTATTCATCGAAAATGTTTATCCTTGGAGATCGTAATATTAATATTTTAAATTCTTTATATCAAAAAATAATGATAGAATTTAATAAAAAAGGGTCAAATTATATTTCAAATTTTTAATGGAATTTGAAAGGATATAAAATCGATTCAATTCTATTCAATTTTCATGATCCAATTCTGATTCAGTCTGATTTGGTCATTAAAATAAAAAAAAAAAAAAAAAAAAAAAAAAAAAAAAAAAAAAAAAGGAAGTGGGGCTTCCAGGGGCTGCGCCCCTTCTAGCCCCGAAGATGTTTAGTATAAATGAAGTTCTTATATACGGGTCTTCCAGGAGCTTTTCACAAAATATATATGTTTTCATGTTTTGTCACTTTTCTGTCACTTTTCAGGTAAAAAACATTTTTATATATATATAAATGAATTTTACAAAACCACCGTTACCGTTCTTTGGAAATAAGAGTAAATGTAAAGATATTCTATTGAGAGAACTTAAGAAACTACCGAATGGTCTAACATTTGTAGACTTGTTCGGTGGAAGTTTCTATATATCTCATTTGTGCCATACAATATTTCCTGACTCAAAGATTATATGCAATGACTTCGACAACTATATGAACCGTCTCAAACATATACCAGACACAAACAAAATATTGAAAGAGTTAAAAGAAAAGATACCTATAGGTAAGATGGAACGTATACCATTAGATAAGAAAAATACTGTCAGAGAGGTTTTGAAAAAGGCAGAGTATATTGACTGGATAGTATATCTGCTAGACTATTATATAGTGGTGCTATAAGAGTTCATGACATTGAAACACTTATGTCAAAAGTTTTATATCTTAACTATACAAATGTTTTCAAAGAGAACATAGAAAAATATATTGAGGGTATAGAGTTTGTGAGATGTCATTGGACAGAGTTGTATGAAAAATATAAAGACAAGGAAAATGTTTTCTTTATAGTGGACCCGCCGTTCTATAACACATGGGATTTTCAATACCAAGTAGACTGGACTTTGAGAGACTCTTAGAAACTTTAGACGTTTTACATAACCATCCATGCTTTTACTTTACATCCGATAAAAGTGGTTTGGAAACCGTTATGAGATGGTTAGAGGACGTACATGACTATGAGTTTAGATATGACAAGATAGAATATGAGAGAGGTCCTATAAACCGGAGAAAGTGTCATAACAAAAAATTTTACTAGTAAGTAAATGTGGTTTGAAATAGGACTACTTGTTTTAGGTTTTTTCCATTGTGTCATTTACTTATTTGACGTGGCAGAAAGATATAGAGAATATGAAGATGAACCAATGCCTGCAAATGTTCAGCATATGTACTCGTAAGAGATATTTTTATCTAATATTAAATGGACGCACAGAACTTAGCGAATGCACAGCAACCTGGACAACCAAACCCAGAGAATATTCCAAATGAAGTTAGAATACAAACTGCAATGGCAAACTATGGTCAAGTGCCAACAGATGTACAAATGCAAACTGCCATGTCAAATGACGCTGCGTTAGGTTTGGCCACCATGGTATGCAAATATGAGATGGAAAGAGTTTTATACAAACCCTGAAGTGGGATATAAACAACTCTATGCAGATGACGCGAACACAGGAGTTGACCAGAATATGTTTTCTACCAGAGGAGAAACAGAATGTATGAGCTCCAGTTAAAGAATGCTATGGAACTCAACAGGAAACGTAAGAGACTAGGCGGACATTAGATTTTTACATATAGTAAAATGGGTTTCTTCAGTAGTATTGGAAACTTCTTTCGAAATGTTGGAAGAGGTATATGGAATGGAATAAAAACCGTAGGAAGAGGAATTTGGAACGGTGTCAAAAATATTGGTAAAAGAGTAGGTCAGTTCGTTGGTATTATACCCAAAGACCCTGAACCAGAAGAGCAAGCTCCTGTTATACAACAGCCTGAACCTGCACCACAGTCTAGTTGGCAACCAAATCCAACACCTCAACCGTATTAAAAAATTATATTTTTATCGTTCGATAGTAGTTGTATATGAAACTAAGTTCTAAGTAAAACGCATGGTATAATGGAATTATTCTTTTTCTTCCATCTGTTGTAAACCATACTTGAAAGTCTGAAATACTTCCACTCGGTGGTTCATATAGCTTTGTAGGTTTTTCGTAAAAGTCATTTGCCAAGCATAAGAAAGAGTTTTGGGCGCCAGAAAATGAAGCATGAACAATAATAGCAGCTGGGTCGAAAACATCTTTAAATAAATATGGTTCATCTCTTGCATATCGACTGTAAATATTTGCTAAAGGAAGTTCGACTTTCTGATTTAACATTCTTTGCAAATAATACCATGACATTGCAGTGAATTCTGTATATATTTGTTCGTCTTTCTTTGGATTGTCTTCGTAGATTTGAAATGACACTTGTGAATTTTGTTTGTCATATACAATTCTCACATAAAGTGTGCTCTCGGTATTTGCATATTCATCAGCATATTTTGCATAACATGAATTTATTTTATCTTCTATATTTTTAACGCAGTCTGTAGAGAAGATGAAAGGTCAACTTGTATTAGCTCAATTTCTTCCCACATTTTTCGTTTCCCTTCAGATATATAATCTATATGAAACCTTACAATAAATGGAAAACTTTTATCTTCTACAGACACAAACCTTCATTCTACGAAAGCCAACAGCTTTTGTGACGGATGGGTCTCTTACCATCTAAGTGGGTAGTCAAAAACGATAGCCTTCATGCTTTACGGTCTCTGTCTCAAACTTTTGACCGACGTTAGTAAAAGTTCATCTAATGGTTTAGTTGTAGCAACTCTTGAATTTTCTTTTTCTATTGGAAGCATATTTTATCTATAATAAAAATGTCAAATGAAACAGCGTCTATGAGAGAAATACAACACAACCGACAACTTCATTTTGCAAGCTCTAAATAAGAACACAACAAACTTTTCAAACTATTCTAAGATATCTGAGTCATTGAAAGAAGGAAACTTAAAACTGACATTAAACCCAATGACAGATGAAGTTTCTGTTTCAAGACAACAAGAACCATACTGTCTGTATAAATCCAACAAAAGGAACTTTAAACGAGAAGCCTATAAAAGAACTTCTTTTGAAAGCAGATGTTGACAACAAAGCTGACAAAGAGTATGTCATTGAAAAAGTTCAAGAAGAACATGACAGAGCAGATGCAACATATGCAACGAAAGAACATACTCATCCTGAACTAGCAGACAAAACATATGTTGACAATAAAATGTCAAGTGAAGTGACAAGAGCTGACAAAGAATATTCTAAAAGACTCATACACATACCATTGCAAATATTACAAACTTACAAGAAAACCTTAAACAGGAAAAAGTGACGTTGGACATACACATACCATTGCAAATATTACAAACTTACAAGAAACCTTAAACAGGAAAAGTGACGTTGGACATACACATACATCTTCTGAAATAACAGACTTAAACGTTAGCCTTGAAAAAGAAAGCAGATAAAACATATGTCAATGAAAATATACCAAAGTTTAGTTGGAACAAAAAAATTGAAACTATGGTTGGTGACTTTTCTGTCTATGAAGAAAACAAATATTTTAGATGGGAGTTTGTACAGTCCTTAGAAAATGGTACACGTATAAACTCATTCCGAAAAATAACAATGAAATGTATGTAAGCTATAAAAAGAGTGATGGTACACAAGTTAAAGTTCCATTAGACAACAACTGCTACTTAAACTTCTATGGAGACGAAACAAAAGAATTTAAGAGTTTATGAAATGACAGATATGACATTGCCTGACCAGCTCCAGCACCATACTATTATGACTATGGAGATGACGTTAGAACACCACATGTAGATGAACAAAAGCTAACATTATATTTAGATTTTTATAGATATAAAAGATATAATGCAATAGAAAAAACGAGAATAGTATACTATTATGAAGATGACAGAAATAAATATTATAGTCAAGACTTTACCTACCCTGAAAACATAAGATTATATTATAAAAAATATTCTGACACAAACCAGAAGAAACCTGAAATAGTTGCACTATATTTTAAGTTCAAAGAGACAATCCTATAATGTCTCATATGTTTGATTTAATGAACCCAGTAGGTTCTATTTATACATCTATGGAAGCAAGAGGTCCTCAAGTAATGTTTGGTGTTGGTGCATGGGAACAAATAGTCGAACAGGTTTTTGTATTGTGCAAACTCTTCAAAGGAAACAGGTGGAAGTAAAACGATTTCAGGTGAAAATTTACCTGCACACAGTCACTACATAGATTTAAGTACATCTCAAGCAGGTTGGCATAAAGCATAGATATTGGGATTGGTCAGGAAATGACAAAAGGTAAAGGATATGATGTTAAAGACGACGTTAAGTTTGCTATAAATTGTTACTGGAGTGACACTCAGGGAGAAGGAAACCATACACATTTCGTTTCAGGATATACGCAACAACGGGACAAAGTAAAGAATACATGCCACCTTACATGACAGTTTAACGCATGGTATAGAATTGCTTAGTCGTCATTTTCAACTTCTTTAGCATATTCGTCAGCAGTTGTCTTATATTTGTTAGGAACTGTCTTTGAAAGTATACCACCTTGAACTTTGACAAGTTTGAAACGAGGTCTGACAATAGTAGTTTTATCTTCTGCTTGCAGTGTGTACATTTTGCCATGTTTGCCTAAAACTTCATAATATTCTCTTGTATACTTTCTTCTATTTTT